TTTCATCTTCATGATGATCGGAGGGTGGCGGGGTTGGTGGAGGAAGTGGAGCCATACGAGCATCACCAGCTCCTCGCCCACCCCCTCGAAGCTCTCCACGTCGTCCAGGTGCCGCCCGATGACCTCTGCGCTCAGCCCCACCAGCCGGTCCACCCTCCTGCGCCGCCGTAGCGCGCTGTATCGTCCCTGCACCCGCCGCTCCTCCTCGGCCCACCGGGGCAGCAGCTCAGCCCCATCCTCTCCTCTCCTCTCCATCAACAAGTTTCGTTGCCGATCATTCAATAACTGAACGGCAAAACCCCAGCTTGTCTTCTTCGCAGAAAGACGTTGGGCCTCCCATCTTTCCTCCTCTTAGTTGCACGCAGGAGCAGGGGTGGGTCGATTGTTGACGGTCTACAGGGAATGGGCCGGTCACGGGTTCGACTCCCGTGTCTGGCTCCTCGTACTCCCAGGGTTCAAGTCCTTGACGCCCCTATTTCTCTGTTTTCGAAAAGACAAGAAGGGACCGCTCATGGCGTCGTGGCGCTTGCTGGTGGTGCTGGTCACCGTAGGTCTGCCTCTGGTGTGTTTGGCGCGGTACCAACCGACCTGGGGCTCCCTCGACGCCCGCCCCTTACCCTCCTGGTACACACGCTCTCTTGCACACAACCCTGCTTCATATGCGGTATGTACCCATACGCCTCTGTTCTGCTGCTCGCTACTCCAGGTACGACGACTCCAAGTTTGGCATCTTCATCCACTGGGGCGTGTTCAGCGTGCCCAGCTACTCGTGCGGTGGCGTGGCTGCCGAGTGGTACTGGTGCGTGACCCTCCTCCTTATTTTTCCTTTTATTTCTGCCTCTCGCGTGGTGTGCTGTGACCCCACAACTTACGGCGGAAGGTGGTCAGGAATGGACTGGAGACGGGCGCCGGCAACGGGTGCATCCAAGCGTTCCACAACAAGACGTACGGCCCTAACTTTAAGTACGCCGGTACGTGCTGGGTGGTGGGAGCTTGTGGTTTCAGTTTCGACCTTGGCTGGAGCAGCTGGTCTGATGGGTGACCGGTCCACGCACAGACTTTGCGAAGGGGTTCAGTGCTGAGCTCTTCGACGCGGCCAGGTGGGCCAACCTCTTCAAGAAGAGCGGCGCCAAGTATGTGGTGCTCACCAGCAAGGTGCATTTCCTTCCGTCAGTCCATCGCACCTGGACTCCCCAGTTCGTTCCTTTAGTTGTTCTCATGCCTCAAACCGGTGCGCGGTGCAGCACCACGAGGGCTTCACCAATTGGCCGTCGCCTCAATCCTGGAACTGGAACAGCGCCGATGTCGGTACGTGTCACTGCATTCCTTTGCGATTCCTCGTGAGGTAACAAATGACCGTCAGCGACCGGCCGCTGACGGTCATTTGTTGCTTGAGTGCTTGCACAGGTCCCGGCCAGGACAACGTCGGCCTCGTGACTGAGGCCGTGAGGGCAGCCGGCCTGCGGATGGGGCTCTACCACAGGTAACTGTGACACTTTAGAGGGACCCCGGACGCTGTCTAACGCAGCGTCTGTGGCACAGCCTTTTTGAGTGGTTCAATCCCCTCTATGTGACGGACAGGAGCAACAACGGCAGCACCACGGTCTACGTGGACACCATCCTACAGCCCCAGCTGCACGACATCGTAAACCGTTACAAGCCCGAAATCGTACGCACCGCACTCAACCCCACCACCACTTCTACAGGCCTTGGTCTGAACGTGATGCTTCATCGGCTCGCGTTCAAGATCTGGGCCGATGGCGACTGGGAGATGTACGACACCTATTGGAAGTCGAAGGAGTTCCTGGCATGGCTCTACAACGACAGCCCGGTCCGCGACACGGTGGTGACCAACGACAGATGGGGCAAGGACGACAGCTGCAAGCACGGTGGCTACTGGACCTGCACGGATCGCTACAACCCGGGCGTGCTGCAGGAGCACAAGTGGGAGAACTGCTTCACCATCGACTCCCGCACCTGGTACTGACTGCACACCAACCACCACGCAGCAGACTGGGCTTGAAGCGAAGCGAAGGTGTCTCACCATTAAGCTTCACACACACACACACAACACATACACACACAGGGGCTATGCGCGCAATGGAGGCATCGGCGACTACCAGACCATCGACCAGCTCTTGCAGGAGCTGATCTCCACCGTCGCCTGCAACGGAAACTTCCTGCTCAACGTGGGTCCCACCAGGTTTGCTCCCCTTGCCCTCCTGTGTGGCTTGGTGGGCTTCGTACTGACCCGACGCACCCTCGAAGTGACGGAATCATCACGCCGGTCTACGAGGAGCGCCTGCTGCAGATCGGGACCTGGCTGGACTTCAACGGCGAGGCCATCTACGCGACCAAGCCGTGGAGGTCACAAAACGATACGGCCTCCTCGGTCTGGTACACGGCGCCCAAGTGGTCGAACAGCACGGCCTACGCCATCTTCTACGCGTGGCCCGCGGAGAGCGTACTGCGCCTGACCCAGGTCGTGCCGCAGTCGCCCAACATGGTGGCCCAGTTGCTGGGCTACCGTGGCAACCTCGCGTGGAAGCTGAACGGCAACACCCTCGCCATCGTCCTGCCCGAAATCGCCCATCTGCCTCCGCTCCTTCAGGTCCAGACCGCCTTTACCATCAAGCTGGTCGGCGTACAGTGATCTTGCGCGTCATTATCCAAATAAATATTGTACAGAAAAAGGCAACAAAGGAAAGGAAATTGCAAAAAAGAAATAACAGAGTCGCCTGGCGCAAAGAAGATGGAGCACGGGGGCAGCTGGTGGGCGTGGGGCAGCGGAGGCAGCGGGCAACTTGGCCTGGGCACCACTGCAGACCATTCCCTGCCGTGCCGGCTTCCTCCGCTCCCAACGGGCGCTGGGCAGCTGCGGACCCTGGTGGGCGGCCCCACCCACACCCTGGGACTCACCCGTACGGGCCTCCGACCACTTCAAGCTGACGCTTAAGGACCCCTGGTGGTGCTGGCCTCACACTGCGCGAGCGCACAGATGAGGGCGACGTGTGGGCGTGGGGCTGCGGCGATGACGGACGGCTTGGGCTCGGGGCACCCTGCCGTGACCAGCCCACGCCCCAGCGCGTAGTGCTACCAGAGACAGTGGTCCAGGTGGCCGCCGGGTGGAGCCACTCGCTCGCCTTGGCCGGTGCGCGCAACTTCTATTCCTCGACCGTTCTACCCAGGCCTGCTGGTGGTGCTCACAGTAGTCACTGCAGCGAGCGGCAAGGTGCTATGTTGGGGCTCGTCTGGCTTCAACCAGATGGGGTGCCTCTACGAAGAGGAGGATGCAGCTGGGACTGAGGAGGAAGCGGCGCGGTCGCAGCAGCAGTTGGTGAAGCGCAGGCTGGTTCCTGCGCCCATGGCAGGGCTCCATAGCTCGATCGTGGTGACGTGCATCGCTGCGGGCATGCGCCATTCCGCTCTCGTCACACGTGCGCCGCCTCTGCCCGATCGATCCCCATCGTGCGCTTGCTGACCACCGCACACGCCACACGCACGCACGCACGCACCACCGCACACGCCACATGCACGCAGAGGAGGGACACCTGCTGACGTTGGGGCATGGCAAGTTCGGAGAGCTCGGACATGGCGACCTGGCCACGCGTTCCACTCCGACCCTGGTCGCCCATTTGGCTGAATCGCGCCTACGCGTAGCGCAGGTGGCGTGCGGGCAAAAGCACACCGTGTGCCTTACAGGTGCGTACCCCTCCTTCCCCCTCAATCCCCTTCAATCACAGTCGACCTGCAGCGGGTACTAAGGTCATGGCCTGCGCGTAGATGAGGGGTCCGTGTTTGCCTGGGGCGATAACTCGCACGGCCAGCTTGGAATTGGCGCAGACTCAGCGCAGTCACCCCACCAGGCCACCACTCGACCAACCACGTCTACTGTTGCCTCGCCTGGCCAAGGCGCAGCAGGCGGCGTGCCGCCGACCAGCAGCAGCAAGCCGAAGCCGCGGATGATCATCAGGGGCACGCGGCACAGGCGAGGCGAGACGTGCCACTCCACCCCGCAACCGGTCGATGTCCCGGCCAACAAGGTCAGCAAAATCGTGTGCGGCTGGAGCTTCACACTGATCGTCGCAGGTACGACCACCACCTTGTTGTCTACATCATCTCTCATGGAATGCGTCGTGATGTAGATGATGGGAGCAGCCTCTTCGGGTTGGGAAGGAACAACTACGGGCAGCTGGGCCTGGGCGACACGACGGACCGACCACGACCGACGCGCATTCCCTCTGAAGCGTGGAACGACGCCCCCATCGACAAGATCGTGTGCGGATGTGAACACACGCTCCTGCTGGCCGGCGGGCAGCTGTTCAGCTGGGGATGGAACGAGCATGGCAACCTCGGCGTAGGCCATGAGCACGACCGGCATTCGCCCACCCCAGCCTCCTCCTCCTCCTCCGATGTCATGATTGACGTTTGCTGCGGTGGCTGTCACTCCTTCGCCCTCGCACGTTCTTGACACAGGTCGCCTGGGATTGACAAAATTGATAAATAATTGCTCTCTGCTCTATTGGAGGACGGCGGGGCCGGTGACGAGGTGCTTGTCCTGGAGGAGCTGCGCGAGCTTGCGGTCGGTGACGAGCGGCGAGACCTCGACCATCTTGTCCGGGTCGTCGGCCGCGAGCTTGCCGCCGGCGCGCTCGATGCGTCGTCGGTAGTGGGCGGCCAACAGGCGTCGCGCCGATCGGGGCGAATCGACCTCGCTGTTCCAGCCGTTCTTGATGGGAGCGAACTCTTCCTCCCGCTTCACGAACATGACGGCCACCGAGTTGTTGGCGTAGGGCGTGCAGTCGACCAGGTACTTCTCGAACTTCCACCCGTTGGGCACGAGCGGCTCGGTCCGCACGCCGTTGTCGTTGACGAACGGGATCCGCTTCTTGGCCAGGTGGTACTCCATGAGCGACGGGTTGTCGGCGATCTTGCGCATGAACCGCAGGGTGAAGAACAGGTTGAGCATGTTGGCCGCGTTGTAGACCAGCTCACCCGACTGCTCGTCCCGCAGCTCAGCCACCGACTCGGGCAGCTCCGAGTACTCCACGCAGTTGATCACCCCGTCCCGCACGCACACCACGCCCGCCGTCTCCTGCGGATCTGTTCGCACCAAACAATCAAACATATGAGCGACGACAACGACCAACGACACACCACGTGGAGGGTGGTGTAGGTACCTCGCCGGTCGACGACCTTGTAGCCCATCTTGACGTTGCGCTGGATGCAGTAGCCCATGTAGGCCGGATCGGCCACCTCGCAGAGCGGGTTGTCGACGCCGAACGCGAAGACGTACTCCACCCCTCGTCGCTTCATGTCCTGCGGTGTGTGTGCGCACACGCGTATTAGCGAGGGCGTGTTGTGTGTGTGTGTGTGTGTGTGTTTGTGTGTGGCACGAACCTCGTATGCCTTAGCGTCCTTGAGCGCGACGAAGAGGCCGCCGTGGCCGTCGGGCGAGAAGACGACGGAGCACTTGGTGTCCATGATGATCTCGCCCGAGGGCGCCACGCACGGGAGCGACCGCTGCTTGAAGAAGAAGACCTGCTTGGGGCACAGCCCGAAGAACTGGTGCTTGATGAAGAACTGGTGCGTCTGCTGCAGCGCCTCGGGGCTCGTCATCACGTAGAACGGGATCTGGATCTGCTGCTGCTGCTGCTGCACCTCCTCGTCGCCGCCGCCGCCGCCGAACGTCTGCCGGACCTCGTCCTGCAGCCGCAGCAGCTTCTCGGCGTGGAGCTGGTAGAGGGACTTGTGCGAGGGCAGGTTGAGGTCGAGGAAGCCCTTGGGCATGGTCATGCCGAGCCGCGTGGCCTGCCCGCCGGCCATGAGCACCACCCCGATCTTGCCCTCGCGGAGGGCGCGCAGGCCGGCGTCTCGCCAGGCCGCCACCGCCGCCGGGTCGCTCTCGTGCAGCTTCACCCACGTGTGTGATGGCAGCGGCTCGAGCGAGTGCGGGTCGATCGCGCCCTTCTCGGCCTTCGATCGGCACTGGAGGTAGATCCGGCTCAGCTCGGCCAGGTCGATGCGCTCAAAGTCGCGCCGCAGCTTGTCGCGCTCCTCGTTGGTCATGCGCTTCCAGAAGCGCAGGAAGCGGCCCTGGCCCTTCATCGCGAATTCCTGGAATACCTTGCCCAGCACCTTCTCGCCCAGCACCCCGCCCGGGTGCCGGAGGCCGAACTCGGGCAGAGTGAACTTCATGCGGGCCGAGAGGGTGACGGCCAGCGCGTCGCCGATGGCCAGGCACACGATGGTGCTCGCCGTGGGCGCGATCTTGTGCTGGTCGGCCTCCATGATCTTGCCCGTGATGATCGACGCGTCCGAGTACCGCGCCAGCAGGCTGTCCTTGTTGCTCGTGATGCCGATGATCTTTCCCGCCAGCACCTGTGTGTGTGTGTGTGCGTGTGTGTGCGTGTGCGTGTGTGCGTGCGTGTGAGATCGCTGGTTAGCACAACACGACGGATACGGTGCCAGTGCATGAAGAGGAAGGTACCCGCAGAGAGGGGATGATGAAGATGAGCTCGGGCGTGTTGCCCGAGTTGGAGATGGCGATGATGACGTCCTCGGCGGTGATGACACCCAGATCGCCGTGGGCCGCCTCAGTGGCGTGCACGAAGAACGACGAGATGCCCAGCGACGAGAACGACGCGCTGATCTTCTGTGCGATGATGCCTATCGATCGAATGGCAAACCGCAAGCGTCAGGCCACACACACACACAACACACACACACCGGGGGTTGGTCGGTACCTGACTTGCCGACGCCGGTGAAGATGACGCGCCCGGAGCCGCGGCTCTCGATGATCTCCACCACCTTCTCAAAGTCGCGGCCCAGGGTGGCCTCCAGGTTCTGCAGCGCCTGGATCTCCTTGTGGATCACGTCGCGCGCGATGCGGGCCGGGGCCATCTGCTCGGGGCTGTTGCCGCTGTTGTGGGGGCTGTTGTGCGCGTCCTCGGCCGCGGCGGGCGGGCGGAGCCCGTTTTGGCTGGGCTGCAGGAATCGATCGATGATCTCCTGCTTCATGCTATCGAGGAGGTCGGTGGCGAGCTGCTCATTGGAGGCGTTGGCCACCTCGATGTAGTACTTGAGCTTGGGCTCGGTGCCGCTGCCCCGGAAGGTGGCTACGCACTCGTTCTCGAAGGTGAAGGTGATCATGTGGGCCGCGCTCGACACCGGGAGCACGGCCCGGTTGTGGGGCTGGCTGTTGTCGAACCCGGTGGTGAGGTCGCGCACGTACTGGACCTTGTGGTCGCCGCAGGTGCTGATGTAGAGGCCGTCGTTGCGGATCTCGTTGAAGATCTGGTCCATCAGCCTCGGGTCGTGGCAGAAGTAGTACCCCACCGCCATCTTGTAATAGCCATACTGAAATGTTGATGTTTAGGGTTGATTAACGAAAAGAGCGAAGAACGAAGAACGAAGAGCAAGAGCGAAGAGGGGGTGGTCACCTTGTGGTAGAGATTGTCGAGGTGGTCGGAGAGGGTGAGGCCGCGCTCGTAGAGGTGGTTGGCCATCTCGACGAACACGGGCGCGGCGCGCACGCCGTCGGTGTCGAGGCTCATGTCGCCGATCATGAAGCCGATCTCGACCTCGTAGGCGAAGAGGAACGTGTAGCCCGCGCGGACGAGCTCGTCGGCCAGGTTGCCCAGCCACTTGAACCCGGTCAGCGTCTCGCGGTAGTGGAAGCCCTCCTTCGCCGCCATCGCCGCCAGGGCCTTCGACGAGACCGTGCTGTTGAGCATCACGATCTTGGCGCGGTCCACCTCCGGGTGGCGCTCGGTGTAGTTGCGCCACAGCCAGTCGGCCAGCAGCAGCGCGATCTCGTTGCCGTCGAGGATGCGCCACTCGCCCGAGTCCCGCTGCCGCTCGGCCACGGCCAGCCGGTCGGCGTCGGGGTCGTTGGCCAGAATGAGCGGCGCGCCCTCGCGGTCGGCCGTGGACATGGCCAGCCGCAGGCTGCACCCGTTGGCCTCCTCCGGGTTGGGGAACTCGACCGTGGTGAAGTCGGGGTCGGGGTCGTGCTGCTCGCGCACGGCGATGACCGGCGGCAGGCCGAACGCGTCGAAGATGCGCTCCACGCTCTGCCCGCCGACGCCGTGCATGGCGGTGTAGACCACGCGGAGCTGCGCGGCGGCGTTCTGCTGCGGAGTGCGGAAGCTCCAGTGCCGGGCGGCGGCGAGGTAGGCCGCGCACACGTCGGTGGTGGGGTCGAGACACAGGGGGTGCTCATCGATGGCCTTGTCGTCGGGCATTCGGTCCCAGATGCTGAAGTTGGCCTCGATCGCCCGCGCGATCTGCGCGTCGTGCGGGGCGGTGATCTGCGCGCTGTTGGCCCAGTAGACCTTGTAGCCGTTGTCCTCCTTCGGGTTGTGCGAGGCCGTCACCATCACGCCCGCCGCACACTTGAGGTGGCGCACGCCAAACGCCACCAACGGCGTCGGCACGTCGTCCCTGAACAGGTGCACCTGCGCGCGTGTCACATTTGATTTTAGAATTATTTATTAACTTATTAATGTGTATCAAAATATCAGAAGAAAAAAATAAATAAATCATTGCGTTCCGTTTTGTGTTTAGTCATCTCTGGTGCTTTCGCGCAAAAGATTTGGGTAATCATTACAAAGCCGTCCATTTGAGAGAGCGATCGAAATCGGGAAGAATGAGGAGAAGCAATCAAAGACGGACCTTAATCTTGCGCGAGAGGAATACGGCGGCGGTGAGGCGTGCGAACATGCGAGAGTTGTAGCGGCCGTCGTGTCCGACGATGACGCCCCGCTCCCTGAGGTCTGTCAGGCACGGGTGGACCGTGCGGAGGTAGGCGCAGAGGCCCTGCGAGGCCTGGGTGACGGTCACGGCGTTCATGAAGGCGAACCCCCACTTCATCTTGCCGCGCAGGCCGGCCGTGCCGAAGGAGATGCGTCGGCCGAGGTGCGCCACGAGCTCCTCCTCTTTGCCCGCCGCCACCAGCCCCTTGACGTGCTCGCGGCTCTCCGGGTCCCAATCCACCGACAGCCATGCATTCACCATCTGCTGGGTCTCATCCGAAATCTTCCTCATCCGGCCGGAAACTCGGGATGCCATGTCGTCGTGGCGGTGGTTGACGTGGTTGTTGCTTCCTCCGTCTCCGTGTGTGCAAGTAGCAGAGGCCCACCACCTGAGCAGGTCGCTACAAGGCCTCGCCCAGAAGATTGCAGAAGATGGGTATGAAGAGTATAAACCGGCCTGAGTTGAAAACTAAATAAATAGGAGTGTAACGCAACTCCCCCAGTCACTGAAACGTGCGGATGAGGCAGATGGCGTACTTTCTACCACTGGCCTACGCCTTCCGGACGCGCAGCACCATCGCGTCCCACAGGTCCCGGCCCGCACTTTTCCATCGGCGATAGCTCCGGCGCGCCTTTTCCGCGGACAGGGAACGTTGGTGGTCAGAGGCGGAAGGAAAAGCGAAGACGACGAACTGCCCAGCAAATGGGAGGGACGCAGAGTGAAGAGCACACACCGGTGGGTGGGTGGGTTGGTTGTGTTAATCGTTCGTGTTTTCTACGTCGAAGCCAGGCCCTCGCATGTTGTGCACTTGCGTACGCAATGGTGCGGTGTCGTGCACTGGCTTATTCGTCACCCTCGACACTCTTCCTGACGAGGCGAGCGACCTTCTTCCGGTACTCCTTCTTGACCTCATCGTCGTTGGAGAAGTACATCTTGGCCGCTTGGACGTTGGCCCACGTGGCAGGGCTTGGGTTGGGATTGGCCTTGAGCAGCTTGATGATGGCCGTGAGAATGGTCGCTACCAGGCCTCGTCTGGCCGGTGCGACCAGGTAGAACGGGATGCCGTCGCTCGTCACTGCAGCATAGGTGTGTTGGTGTCATCCAGGAGCGAGGAAGAGAGCCAGGGTCTTGAACGTACCATGAGGGTGGAACATCTCAGTGATGAAGCGGACGCGAGGTGGGGCTTCATCTTCGCTGAAGATGATGTCCACGTTGTAGAAGCCGCCTGGTCAATGGTCAGGGGAATTGGGATGTGTCAGCCCTTGGTGCGCAAGAGGCAAGTGAAAGTGGGCGAGAGGTACACACCTTCCCATGGAGAGCCGTCGGGACCGAAGATGGAGGCCTGCCAGTGGTAGAGGTTGTCATCTTCCACGGGTGCAGCGCTCACGCCCTCGAGCGTCACCTTGCCCGATTTGAACTTCTCGGCCTCTTCCATGAGCTGATAGTACTTCCAGCCAGTCTCCTTCTTGGTGAAGACTGCGTGCCATCGCGCCAAGCCACGGTCAGCTCGACTCAAGCGGAAGTGAAGTGGACACATGCGCCGTTTTTTGTACCTTTGCCCTTTTCCTTCCATTCCTCGGTCTCTCGATCGATCCTGGATTTGAGATCCTTGAGCCGCGCGATGATGTTGGTGTAGTTGTACTTGCCCGCAGCGGTGTTGCCGTCAAACTGTGAGAAGAGAAGGCGGATGAGCGTGAGCCTCTTGGTCACGCTCGTTACGGCGCAAAGGCATGTAGAGAGCGTACCTCAAAGGGCATAGGGCGGAACTCTTGGCCCTCGAGCCCTCGAGCAAGCTCCCGCTCTGCGGTGCTGAGGTAGTTGTCGAACCAAAGCAGGAACTGGTGCTTGATCAGCTCATTCCAGGCTGTCCATTGAACAAAGCGAAGGAGGGGTGGTCAGGTCAACAAATGGTAAAAGGCAACAGCGACGTGATGTGGACATATACGTTCGTTCCTGCCGAGGATGGCGTCCTCCACCATGCCGCAGACGGCAATTCGCATCACCTCGTGGGTGATCTTGTCCGAGTAAGCGTTGATCTCCTCAGGGTTGTCATGCTCTCCTCCCTGGCCAAGATGTAAGGTGGGTCAGCACTGCACTTCAGCAGTCAGCAGAGGGAGCAAGAGCAAGCGTGTTACCTCTTCGTAGCCAGGTTCGTTGTGATAAGGCTTGGCCGTCATGATCAGGCTCTGGATGGCGCTCAGTACGTAGTTGATGGAGTACGAGGACCGCCACTCGTCCTCGGACTCGCCTGACCAGGTGCCCAGGATGCTAAGGCACACTGCGCGGATGAAGGTGGTGAGGCCATAGCTCCTGTGAACTGTGCTGCGTTGGCATGGATGAATACCTTTCCCTCCTGCGTACAGATTCGGGTTGAATCTGGTGCGCCCGCCGTTGGTCGTGGTGCTAGATTGCGGAAAGCCACACACAGGGATGAGTGCGCGCAAAGATGGCTGCGTAGAGCAGGTGCAGCTCGTACATGAGGACCTTGGGCGGCGTGTTGGGGTAGGTGGAAGGGAACTGCATGTCTGCACGACGATGGAAAGTCAATTTGGAGAAAAAGCAGCTGGGAAGATGGAGTGCCGCACCAAATCTAAAGAAGCCGAACGAGTACGGCGTCTCGGGCGGTCCCATGATGAGCGCATCAACATGGTCCAGCGAATCGCCAACAGGCAGAGCAAAAATCGGAGGACTATCAGGATTTAGCTTGTCATTTACTTCACGCAGATCCTTCTGAATCCTGCCGTGCGCAGTCGTTCGCGTGTCCTTCTGCATTGTTGTGATCGTTGAGATCAAAAAAAAAAAGGGAAAAACGAAAGATGCAGACCACCAGCAGTTTTCTTTTTCGCCTCACCCCAAACCCTCATGATCTCCTCGTATCTGGGGCGAAAAAAGGTGCTCGCCTTTTGGTCTCCAATCCTGCTAGCTGCTGAGGTCAGTGCCCTTCTTCCCCACCCAACGCTTCTTCTGTTTCATGGTAATGGGGCTCTTTCATGTGCACAGCACACCCCACACAAGCTGGCAAGGAGCCCAAAACAACATGCACACCATGGCCCTAGCCATACACATGTGTAAGTGTGCCCTGTGGCCAGTGTGTGAGATAAGATGGTTTTGTTTTTTGTATGGGTTATGTTTGGAAGATGTGGTGTATCATAAAGTGGATGTAGGAATGCTTGTGTTTACAGTGGATATATGTCAGTATTGCAGGCACAAGGGTCTCTAAATAATTCTAAATAAATAGATCATAAATCCGAGCATACCATGCATTCCAGCAAGTCTGGCGGGAATCAGAAGAACTACAAACGGAAGAGGCCGATCATGGATGAAAGTCACTGTGCGGGAGGGGGGGGGAATCATGTGCGCGTTGCTGGCAGAGGCCATTCCTTCAAACAAACGAACCACCCACAACGCTAGTCCCTTCAGCAACGCCTAATCTTTTCCATCTGTCGAAACGATTGTGACATGTCGCGTCTCTTTGAAGACCACTCGCCAGAGACTGGGCACGAGCCCGAGCCAGAGTCCCTGACCTCCTCAATCCTGTGGATGCTTTTCGTACGCACTTCGGGCATGCTCATCGTCGCGGCCATCATGGGCCTCCTCATCTACCGCCACGTGCCCAAGGGCGCCACGCCCTCTGGCGACTGCTCAAATCGCAGAAGGCCGAGTCGCACATGCACGCCGTGAGCGTGGCCGCGACAACGACGACTACCCCGTGTGGCGCGCCGCGGCGCCGAGCGCGGTGCTCGACTCGTACGGCATCGACCGCGAGTCCGTGAGCGTGAAGGAGGGCGACCTCAAGGGCCTCCTCTGCTCGCCCAACAAAGACATCAGCACCCTCAAAGACCTCCTCCTGTACGTCTCCATCCTGTGTCGTGTGTGTCGTGTGTGTCGTGTGTGCGTGTGTCGTGTCGGTTTGTCTGATGGGTTTGGCGCAACTAGGTACGCGGCGGACAAGCACAAGGGTGCGCGTGCGCTAGGGCAGAGGAAGTTGATCAAGGAGCACAGGCAAAAGAAGGTCATCAATGGCGAGGAGAGGGAGTGGACGCTCTACGAGAAGAGCCCCTACGAGTGGCTCACCTACAGCCAAGTCCTCACCCAGGTCAAGCAGCTCTCGTGCGGCATTCTCGCCCTCGGCATCAGACCCGTACGTCACGAGCTCTTTCATTGCTCTTCGCTCACACTTGACTCTAAGTGCACGACACGACACGACCAACGACACGACACGACACAGCGTGAATCGGTGTGCCTCTTCCTGGACACGTGCATGGAGTGGCAGCTGATGGCCCACGCCTGCTTCCACAGCAACTGCCGGTGGCCACGGCCTACGCCAGTCTAGGCAAGAAGGGCCTCTCGCACGCGCTCTCCCAGACCGAGAGCCGAGCCCTCTTCACTCACGCCTCCCTCTTCAAGACTGTACTCTCGCCCTACTCCTCACCGTGTTGTGTGTGTGTGTTTTGGATCATGTGCCGCTTGCTCATGAGCGAGCACTTTACGCGCGTCCAGGTGCTGAAGAGCCTCAAGAAGTGCGAAACGCTCCAGTACGTGTTCTACGTAGGCGAACCGGATGAGCAGGAGATGAAGGAGCTCGAGCAGGCCCTCACCAAGCGGGTCCAGAAGGCCGTCGACATCGAGACCCGCGTCCTCACCTTCGACAAGCTCATCAAGATCGTACATGCGCGCGCTCTCACCCCATTCCCCGCCACTCTAGTCCAATCCAACAATGGCGTGCGGCCCATCAACAGGGCAAGTACAACATGAGCGAAGCGGTGGAGGACCCCAGCCCCGACGACATTGCGCTGGTCATGTACACGAGCGGGGCCACGGGCACGCCCAAGGTTCGTGACCTTCTTAGTGTGGTGTCAAGTGCGCCCACGAGGCACAGGCACTCACTGGCGTGCGACCTGCAGGGCGTCCTGCTTTCTCATGCCAACTTTGTTGCCTCGGTGGCGGGCTATGCCTCCGATCTCGAGGGCAGCTTCGACCCCACCATCGATAAATACCTGGCCTAGTACGCTCACCACCGCCGCCGCCATCACCACCGCCTCCATTCATGTGCTGTGCTCAGCGTGCGTGTCGTGATTCTATGGGTCCAGCCTGCCCCTGGCGCACGTCCTGGAGTTCACCGTGGAGCAATTCGCCATCTACCTGGGCATTCCGATTGGCTACGGCGTACGCCACCCTGGGACGGAGGATACCGATGCGGCGCATGTGGGTCTGACGGTGCTTGGGTTGGTTGGGTTGGTTGTGTGATGGGCGAGCACAGAACCCGCGCTCGCTGACGGACAGCAGCATGAAGAACTGCAAGGGCGACGCCAAGGAGCTGCAGCCGACCATCATGGCCGGCGTGCCGGAGGTGTTCGAGCGCATCAGGAAGACCGTCGAGGCCCAGGTCAACAAGCAGGGCCTCTTCGCCAAGTACCTCTTCCGCCTGGCCTACGCCTTCAGGAGCAAGCTCATCGAGTACAGCAGTACGCCCGTCACCGTCTTGTGGCTTTTGGCACTCATTAGCTGCGCTTTGAACCCCACCCACTTACCCGCTCGCGCCGGGTCGTGGAATGTTGGCAGCCAACGTCCCGTTCCTGGACCAGCTGGCGTTCAGGAAGGTGAAGCAGGAGCTGGGCGGCAAACTCAATTTCGTGGCCTCTGGCGCTGCGCCCCTGTCCAAGAACAACCAGATGTTCCTCCGCGCGTACGCAGACACCTCGCTCGCTCGCTCCCTTTCAGCTTTCAGCGCTAAGCTCTGTCGTCACTCACGCGAGCCACATGGCTCTTTCAGGTGCTTTGGGGTTCAGGTCGTGCAGGGTTATGGTACGATGGCCAGCTCTCAACCGTGACAAGTCGTCGATCTTTGCTCCGTTGCGCACCACTGACCGTGAGTTTGTTTGTATGGTGCCCAGCGCTCACCGAAACCGCGGGAGCGGGAACGCTGCAGGCCTACGACGACCCGACCTTCTCCAACGTGGGCCGTCCCAACATGTGTTGCGGTGCGTCTCGTGCTGTGAGGGCTCTTCCTGTTTTTCGTGCGTAGCAACCGGTGGTCTGACCCGGGCGCGTGTTGTGCTCAACGTTCGCAGAGATCAAGCTCGTCGACGCGCCGAAGATGGGCTACACCACGGACGACGAGGAGGGACCTGCTGGCGAAATCCTTATCCGCGGGCCCAACGTGTCGCGCGGCTACCTCAAGCTCGACGATAAGACGTACGCCCCGCCTCCCAAGACGACTGTTGTTCGACGTGCGCGTGCGTGCTCACGCGTCGTCAACGCGCGCTCTCTTTCGTCCATCAGTAAGGAGGACTTCAAGAACGGTTGGTTCTCGACGGGCGACATCGGTCGTTGGATCGACGGCCGCCTGTACATCGTCGACCGGAAGAAGAATCTCGTCAAGCTCTCGTCCGGCGAATACATCGCGTACGTACCGCTCGCTCGCTCTTCTTTGCGCGACCCCCATGATGGGCCCACTCACCGCGATTCACACCCAACCAGGTTGGAGAAGCTGGAGACGCTGTACAAGGAGAGCAGCCTGGTGGAGAACGTCATGATCCACGCCGACACGGAGGAGAACGTACTCATCGCCGTCGTGCAGCCGTCCAAGAAGGCCGGTGACGACGAGGACGCCTTCAAGAAGGAGTTCGAGGCCATCGCCAAGAAGAACAGTGTACGCTCTCTCTTTCTTCCACTGGAGAGATATCCGTAACGCACCACGCCACACACAACACACACCACACACCACACACAACACAGTTGTCCAAGGTGGAGCGGATCGGGCGTGTGATTCTCGATCCGGAGCCGTGGACGCCCGAGAACGGGCTGGTGACGGCCACGGCCAAGCTCAACCGCCAGGAGCTCGAGAAGAAGTTCGAGTCCCAGCTCGAAGGCGGTGGCAAGGGGAAGAAGAAGGGCGACGGCAAGGCCGGGAAGCAGGAGAGGTGAAGCCGGCCACGCCCGCCGCACGGCGCCGAACAAAAAACAATCGATTTAGAACAAATATATTTAGTAGTCGTCGTGATCGTCGTTACCGCCTGTGTAGCCGTAGTCGTCACCATCGTCGTCATACCCGCCGGCGTCATAGACCTCGTCGTCATCGTATCTGTGTACACACATGCATTTACGAGAAAGTGTCATTCGGCGCGCACGGGCGTGGTGCAGAACTGTCGTGTGTAGTGTGCTGGGCTTGGCCGTACCGGTGCTGGGCTTCGTATTCGGACCTGTCCATGATAATCTCCCCGTTGGGTCCGATGGTGGTCTTTGGTGCTACGGGAGCCACATCGGCTGCCGCCTCCGCGCCGCCATCAGCGGCGGTTTCGGTTGGCCGCCCGATCGCTGGTGCGATGACGCTCGGGCCTTTGCGCGCTGCCGGTTGGGCCGCCGGTGCGGGCGCCGGGATGTCGGACTCTCCATTCTCCTTGAGCTCGCGGGCGCGTTTCTCCTGCTCCGCGATCGCCTTTGCCCTGTCCGCCAACAGCCTGTGCTCGTTTTCCTCTGTGACGCGCGCCGCGGGCGAGTGAGCATCAACCAACGCAGTGCCGAAAGAGTAGAAGAGAAGAGAAGCGAAGGAGGGCATACCGATGGGAAGACGACTTCGGAGCGCGAGGTCGATCCGAGGACCGTTTTCCTTCTCCTCCTTCTTGAACTTGTTGCGAATTTGGTCGCGTGAACGGTCGGGGAACAGCAGCTGGATGAGCGTGAAGTCCGTGCCATACCGACGCAGCGCCTGCTCTCAACACACACACGCACACACACACACGCACACACACGCCCACACACACACACACACACGCCCGCACACACACAACACACACACGGGTCAGTCAGCTGCACGAGCGATCAACAACGACGAAACAGAGGGAGTGGTAGTGAGAGATGTGTACGTTGTAGAAGGCGTCGGTTTGCTCTCGGGTCCACTTGTTGCGCTGGTTCTTCCTCCTATGTCGCTGAAAGTTGGTGTTCTTTGATTCCTGGTCCTCGTACGTGTACGAGTAGTTCACGCTCTCGTCCCTCTGGGTCGTGTTCACCAGCAGACTCTGCGAAGAAAAAAAAAGAAGACCACGGGCGGGTGGTGATGAGCACTCCCTCTCTCGAGAGGCCGGCGAAACGAGTGAATGAGTTGGTGTGGACGTGCCTGCTGGTCGATCACGATTTCTCCCGTCTCGGGATCGATGGTCACCTGCGGACCCATGGCCTGCCGTGGGGCAGCCGCAGTCGCCCTGTGCGCGTGCCACACGCGAGTGTCAGTGCCAGTTTTTCACCGGTGCTCGTGGCGTTCATGCAGAGCGAAAGCAGAACAGCAAACGTACGTTTCTTCTCGCGGCGCTGGCCGGTTGATGCTGCGCACCTGCTCTTCGGAGCCGGTGGGAGCCATGGGCGTGCCGCTGTTGGCGCGCACGACGTCCTTGAGGGTGCTGGCTCGCTTGGCCCTGATGGGCGGTGGCCCGCCGGTGCTGCTGGAGGGCGAGGCCGACGGGGAGGATGGCACTGCCGAAGCCGCTCGGCTGGCTCGGGCGCTGACGATGGGGCTCGGTCCGCTGCTGGTTGGGGTGGTGAGCGATGAGGTGGATGTGTCGAGCCTGGGCTTCTTCTGAGGTGTGGTTGGGGTGGCTTCCTCTTCATCACGGTCATCTGGCTCGTCATCTTTCTCTTTGCCCGTGTCCTTGCGTTTGCCTTGATCCAGATGGACGCATTGAGAATTCAAGCACCAGCCAAGAATTGCGAACGCAAGAGCGTTTGAATCAAAAAGCCTTACCTACTGATATCAGATCGGTCTGAAGAATTGGCAGCGCAGATGAAGGCGCTCCAGGCTGACCCAGGGGGACTGGCTTGCGACCACCGCGCCCTGCAAGGTTCGGCCTAAATCCACCCCTGCGCGCCGGTCCAGAGGGCGATGCTTCTGTCGCCTCCATCTTCCTTTTTCTTGGTTTTAGATTTTCCTCTTTGTTTTTCGCGCCAAGATCTCCAAGGGCACAAATTTAATCAAAATCACAAATCACGGCCGGGTCGCGTTGGTGCCCTTGCCTACAAACATGGTTTGTGCTCTATTCGCAGGCTCCTCGTCATGATTTTTCATTTATTAATCATTATGTAATTATGGCAATTCTCCATCGTCATCACAGATGCGGGCAGGATGCTGGAGTGGCGGGGGGCGACGTGCATGGTCTTCATTTCCCGCCACAACAGCTGCGGGAAGATGGACCGGCAGTCGCGCTCTTAGCTGTATCCAGCCGTTGGCCGACACGGTGGGCATCCGGCCGTACTCTACGCCCTCCGTGCGCCTCTTCCACCCAAGGTGCGAGCCATCACCCGCTTGCCTTTAGGCGAGTCGCACGCAGGCAGCTGATGGTGTGGCACCCACTGGTGGAGGGCAGAGAGAAGATCGTGAAGGAGGCCAAGCTTCCGCCCTTCATTCGAGCACGAGAACTGGCCAAGAAGCTGGGAATCAATCTCAAGGACATCACACGACGGCTTACATCCGAAGGGTAGGCGTAGCCTCTGCCCACAAGCATTACCTTCTTTCGCACGTCGCACCATTATCACTTACATTCCTCACATACGCGTCTGACGCTCAGATTGCGCTTCAAGACGCCCAAGGACCTGATCTTTTCGTGGGAAGCAACCTCACAGTTCGCGGAGAGCATCGGCATCGAGCCTGTGTTCGACGACCCTGACCTGCGGCGCGACGCCGTTTCCCACCGCGAGCGGCGCAAGGCCGGCCCGGCCGGTCAAGTCATCGGCAAGGGAATGGTCCTGCGACCAGGTGCCTGGCTCCCTCGCCGACCCAAACACACCACGGCATCAGCGAGCGCCTAACCCGATCTGTGCTTGTTGATCTTCAATTTAGGGATTGTGTCGGTGATGGGCCATGTGGACCACGGCAAGACGACGCTCCTGGACGCACTCCGGAACACCAACGTGGCCGCGCGGGAGGCGGGAGGGATCACACAGAGGCTGAGCGCCTTCAAGGTCCGCGTGTCTCAATTCCTACAACAGCAACAGCAGCCTGGCGAGGAGTCGAACCACGGCAAGGCCATCACATTTTTGGACACGCCCGGCCACAAGTACTACTTCCCCGCCTCGCGTGGTTCCTGGCCATACGGTATATTGACAAACGGGGGGGACTGTGGTGTGCCGCTTCACATGGCGACGACAGAGCATTCTTTCGGATGCGGTCGAACGGGGCGTACCTGTCGGACATGGTGGTGCTGATCATCGCCTGCGACGAGGGCATCAAGCCGCAGACCAAGGAGTCCTACGACCTGGCGCTGGAATCCGAACTGCCAGTGGTGATCGCGCTCAATAAGATCGACCTCCCGGTCGACACCTCGAAGATCAAGCGGAGGCTCGAGCGATTGGGATGGGTGCCCTCGCCCAGCGGCACAGCCGCCACCAATAGCTCAACTGCGCCGCCGTCCAACGTCAGGGCCGTCGTGGAGATCTCGGCCAAGGAGCGACGCAACCTGGACGTGCTCGTGTCGACGCTGGCCAACACTTGCCGGGAGATGAACCTGTGGGAGGACACGACGTGCCCGCCTGAGGCCACGGTGGTGGAGGTGTGGAGCGAGGACGGCTCGCGCGGGCGCGTGCTCAAGGTCATCGTGCACTGCGGCGTGCTCGAGGTGGGCCAGCACTTTGTCGTGGGCTACCAAGCCGGCCGCGTGCGCGCCATCTTCGACGAGGACCGGAAACAGGTGGAGAGGGCCATGCCCGGCGACCCCGTCGAGATCGTGGGCCTCTACCGCGGCACGCTCCCCTCGCCGGGCGATGACCTGTTCGTCGTCTCGCGCGACAAGGCCGAGCAAGTGGTCGAGTTCCGCAATCTGGTGACCGACTTCCAGGGCACCGAGGGCAAGTACGATCAGGCTCTCATCAACTCCATTCACCGAGAGTCGGCACACAGCGCAGAGGACACCGACGAACAGACAAACGAAGGAGAAGAAGAAGAAGAAGGCGACGATGAAGAAGAGGAAGAGGATGAGGATGAAAAGGCGACCGTACCCTACGAGGAGGAAGAGGAGCCGGTGGTGAACGTGGTGCTGAAGGCAGACAACCTCGGGTCGCTGTACACGCTGGTCGATGCCTGCAACGAGCTGTCGAGCCAAGGCGGACCCAAGGTCAACATCGTGCGGGCGGGCGTGGGCAACGTGAGCGCTACGGACGTGGCCTACGCCACCAGCGCCGAGTGTGCCATCTACACCTTCAACGTGGGGCTCACCCACGACATCAAGCTGCGGAAGGTCAACAACAAGCTCAAGATCCGGATCAAGCATTTCGACGTCTTCTACCACCTTCTCGATGACCTCAAGAAGGAGCAAGACGCCCTGCGGTAGCTAGAGCACTTGCAGTCGTTGTACAGCACAAGCAACAGCTTCATCACCTCTTTCCTTTTGTGGCCTACACTAGAAAAATCGCGTACCAGCGCTGGAGATTTCCGGTGGCAAAGCTCCGGGAAATGCGGAGTTATTAGTACCAGGAAGACACGGCAAGCCACAAAGAGAAGGCGTGGTGGATCGTCGTTCACGACAGGAATCTTGAACGCATCGGTCAACGACACCTTTCTCTTTTCTACAATACACCACCCATGGTTCGTCTGGCTTTCTTTGCTTGCGTCATAGCACCGTATTCACCTTCTACTCTGTGCAGGCGGCGACAAGATTAATCATCAATCTTTTTGTCTCGGGCAGCACCATCTTCGGTAAGGCCTTTGTCGATGCGTGGCGGCAAGCGAGCATCAGTACGCAATCGCTTCTCTTTTTCGTCATCTTTGCATCCCACAAATTTAATTTAATCTCAATTTATTGCAGAAGCGGCGCAAGGTGCTGCCGGCCGTATGTTGAGTGTTCAGGAGGCGCAAAAGATCTTGGGGCTGCGACCACAGTGCGAGATGAAGGAAGTCCTGCAGGTGCGCACTTTCCACCACTCATCTCTTTTGTGCCACCGCCTCTCGCTGACACTCTTGCTCATTTCGTAGAAATATGAGAAAATGTTCAAGGCCAACGATCCTGCGAACGGAGGATCCTTCTACTTGCAGTCCAAGGTGGTGCGCGCCAAGGAGGCGCTGGAGGCCGAGATGGCCAAGGTCACACGGCAAGCCTAAGTGGTGCCCTTCCTAAGGATGGAAATCACAAATCGTTGTACATATCCGGCCCTTTTTTTTAACCACAAAGACAGCCTGCATTCATCGCAACGCTCCATCGCTCCATCCATCCACTGTCACGCTATGAAGGTCTTGCTGCTTGCCAGCTGTCCCAACAGCCCAAGGTGGAGTTCGGTCTTGCGTACGGGGAAAATGGCCAGAACACAAAGCGTGAAGTGACCGGTGGACTTTCGGACTCAACAGGTGCCACTCCCTTTTAGGGCGCCCACCTCAACCTGTTGGTTTGGCCCAAAAGTGCACAAACAAAACCAGCCACCAACAACACTCTCACTTCCAGACTACACACAAAGATGTGCGGAATCTTCGCTATTTTGGGCAGCAAGGAGGACACGGAGACCCTCCGCAAGAAGGCACTCGGCCTGTCGAAGCGGTACGTCAATCCACCGGTGGCTTTCGTCACGATGTGTCCGACTGCCCCCTCTCGAATCTCACCACACGCGCGCGATCTGCACTCAATCTCGCACAGAATTCGCCATCGTGGCCCTGACTGGAACGGCATCTATGTGGACCACAAGCGCGTGCTGTGCCACGAGCGTCTCGGTATCGTGGACCCGGTGAGCGGTGCCCAGCCGCTCTACAACCAGACCGGCACCATCGCCCTCACCGTCAACGGCGAGATCTACAACCACAAGGCCCTGCGTCAGTCCCTCTTCAAGGACTACCAGTTCAAGACCGCCTCCGACTGCGAGGTCATCATCCCACTGGTGCGTCTCCCTCTCTCTCTCCTTCTCCTTCTCCACCACCAGCGCGTGCTCTCTCGCTTACGCAACCAGCCTACATCGTGATATTATATTTACATATATATTTATATATTTATATATTCATCATAAATATGAATATGTGCCACAGTGGGAGCAGTTTGGCGCCGAGGCATGTGGCCGCCTGGACGGCATGTTCTCCTTCGTCCTCACCGACAGCGTCAAGGTACATCACTCTCACGTGTGTTGGTGCTGTGTCGTGTGTCGGTGGTTGGTCGTGTCGTGTGCTCAAGCTCGCTGTGTGTGCGGCTGAGTCGTGTGTTAATACTAAATATATATACATGAATGTAATGTAATGTAAACGTAGGACACGTACCTGGTGGCGCGTGATCCGCTGGGCATCACGAGCCTGTACATCGGGTGGCACAAGGACGGGTCGGTGTGGGTGGCGTCGGAGCTCAAGTCGCTCATGGACGACTGCGAGCGGTACGAGGCCTTCCCGCCGGGCCACTACTACACGCCCGAGACGGGCTTCAAGCGCTACTACGAGCCCTCCTGGTGGACCCCCGCCTACGTCCCGCAGGGCGCGGCCGACCTCACGGTGCTGCGCGAGAGCCTGGAGAAGGCCGTGGTGAAGCGCCTCATGACCGACGTGCCCTACGGCGTGCTGATCTCGGGCGGGCTCGACTCGTCGCTGGTGGGCGCGATCGCGTCGCGCCACGCCGCGATGCGGGTGGAGGAGGAGGAGAAGGAGAAGGCCTGGTGGCCCCAGATCCACTCGTTCAGCATCGGCCTCCCCAACTCGCCCGATCTCAAGGCCGCCCGCGAGGCCGCCACGTTCCTCGGCACCATCCACCACGAGTTCAACTTCACCGTCCAGGAGGTACCTCTTGCATCCACTTTCTTACACGCACACGCACACGCACACGCACACGCACACGCACACGCACACGCACACGCACACGCACACGCACACGACACGCCAACGAGCTGATGATGCTTGGTGCACAGGGCATTGATGCGTTGGCCGATGTGATCTGGCATCTGGAGACGTACGACGTGACGAGCATCCGGGCCAGCACGCCGATGTACTTTTTGGCGCGGAAGATCAAGGCCATGGGCGTCAAGATGGTGCTCTCGGGCGAGGGCGCCGACGAGGTGTTTGGCGGGTACCTCTACTTCCACAACGCGCCGTCGCCGGCCGAGTTCCACCAGGAGGCCCTCCGGCGCGTCAAGAACCTGCACTACTTTGATCTGCTGCGGGCCAACAAGTCGACGATGGCCTGGGGCCTCGAGGTGCGGGTGCCGTTCCTGGACAAGGAGTTCCTGGACGTGGCCATGAACATCCGGCCCGAGGACAAGGTCTACGCCGAGGGCAAGATGGAGAAGCACGTGCTCCGCAAGGCTTTCGACACGCCCGAGAAGCCCTACCTGCCCGACAGCATCCTCTGGAGGCAGAAGGAGCAGTTCAGGTACCGTCATCTCTCACAACCCTCTTGCGCTGCGATTTTTGTCGTGTGTGTCGTGTGTGTCGAGCCCTGGCTAAACCCACTCGTGCGCAGTGACGGCGTGGGTTACGGCTGGATCGACGGCCTCAAGGACTACGCCGAGAAGCAGGTGACCGACGAGGAGCTGGCGAGCGCTGCCGCCAAGTTCCCCTACAACACCCCCGACACCAAGGAGGCCTACCTCTTCAGGAAGATCTTCGAGTCCCTCTTCCACGTACTGCTCCCCCGACACCAAGCAAGCTCATGTGAGTGCGGTGTGTGTGTGTGTGTGTGTGCATTCAGCAGGCTGACCGTGTGACATTGTGCAGGGCGAGAGCGCTCAGAAGACGGTCGAGAAGTGGATCCCCACGTGGGGCAAGAGCAAGGACCCCTCCGGCAGAGTGCAGCTCGTGCACGAGAAGCACACCGACGCGCCCCTCCAGCACGACAAGGACTACTAGGCGACTTGCGACCTGCGCTGGATCCACCACCACACGGCGCTGCACTCTCTTCTCCCCAATTAGAAAAAATAAAAATAAAATTCAGACGGCTCCTCTCACCATCATCAGATGCCAATGTTGACGAACTCGACGTCGCTGGTGGGTCCTCGCTGGAGGTTGACGGAGGCGAGGAGCTGCCAGAAGGCGGCGACGGCCTCCCGCTCCAGCGGGTTGCGCTCGAGGGAGAGCTTCACGATGGATCGGTTGTGTCGCAGGGCCGCCCCGAGCGCCAGCAGCCCCTCGCCCTTGATGCCGTTGCTCACCAGAGACAAGAACGCCAGTACCTCGTTGCCCGCCACCAAGTCCTCCACCGCTTTGATGCCCTACACACCCGTCCGTTAGCGCACGACACGACACACGACACACACGACACACGCACGCACCTCATCTGTGATGCGGTTGGTATCGAGGTTGAGCGTGGTGACGGTGCAGTTGTTGAGGAGACTGCGGGCGAGCACGGCGACGCCTTCGTCCTGCAGGCGGTTCCCGCGGAGCACGAGCGTGGTGAGAAGGCTGAGGCCGGCGTTGGCCTGCCGCCGGTTGTCGAGCGCCTCGGCGAGCGGCGCGATCGTGGCCGCGTCCAGTCGATTCCACGACAGGTCGAGGCTCGTCAGGTTGCCGTTGCGCGCCAGCGCCCGCGACAGCGAACGCATGAAGCGATAGCTCTGCGTCGTGCGCTTCACAGCGTCCTGGTCCTCCCCGTCCTCATCCGTGATCAACTCCTCGTCCATGGTGAAGGTCTCCTCTTCCTCCTCTTTGTCCTCCCGCACTTCGTCTTGGTTGCTGTCGACTGTTTCCAGGCGTTCCCGGGCGGCCTTGCGCGCGAGCCGGCGTCCGCGCTTGCCGCGGGGCTTGGGCTTGCTCGCGGCGGCAGCGGCGGAGTTCATGTGCAGGTTGGCGTTGGCCATCACCAGCCACACGAGCGACGTGTTCTCCTCGAGTATGCGGCAGATGTTGTAGGGACCCCTACTCGCCCTCTCGTCCCCGTCATCGTCGTCCTCTTCGCTGTCCTCCTCTTCGCACAGCAGTTCGATGTGCGACGATCGCTCGGCGATGGCCGCGCTCACCTCGTCGGCCTGCGCGGCCACGGGCTCGAGCTGCAGCCACTCCAAGAGGAACGTGTTGCGCAGGCGGTTGTGCGGATGATACTGATGGTGGTGGTGCGGATGTCGAGCGTTCGTCGTATCGACCTGGTGGCGGTTGCCGCCGTCGGCCTGGTAGCGATTGCGCGCCGGCGCAGACTGCGGCGGGCTCATCAGACCGCCGGCCTGCACGGAAGCCGGCGACGGTGGCGATATGGCCAGCAGAGGCACCACCGCGCCGCTGCCGCCGGACGAACGCAGGAAGCTGCGCTTGTCTTTCCACCGACTGCGCAGCGCCTCGTCGTCGTCGGGCGAGGAGTCCCGCACTGCAAACCGCGCGGGGCGGCGTCCGCACAGCGGGTGGTAGAGCGGGTTGCTGGAGACGTCCAAGCGGAGCAGGCGGCGGTTGTGCCGCAACATCTCACGCAGCACGTCCCAGCACTCGTCTCGCCCATCAACACCTGTGTGCCGTTCTCATGTTAGTCACACACGCAACACGCAACACGCACATACACACAGCCACGTACCAGAAACTTGTAGGTCGAGTAGGGAAGAGGCCCGGTTGCTCATCAGGGCGCGCGAGATGGCTGTGAGGCCCTCGTCAGTGATGAGGTTGCCCGACAGGTTGAAGAACCGCAGCGTCGTATTTCTCGCCAGCATCGATGCAAACGCCTTCCCGCCACTGTGTAGATAAACGCACATGTCCCACGAGTCAGGACTGTAACGCTGTGTTTGTGTGTGTGTGTCGAGTGTGCGGAGCGCACCGCGAGGTGATCTTGTTGTTCTCAAGCTCCAGGCTAAGAAGGCCGTCGTTGTGCTTGAGCGCGTCGGCGAGGCGATAGGCCCCGGCGTCGCCCACGCCGTTGTAGCTCAAGTACAGCTCGGTGAGTGTCTGGTTCGTCTTCAGCGCCTCCGCCAGCGCGCTCGCCCCCTTGTTCGATACGTGATTCTAATCGTGGGGGGGGGGTAAGCACAACAGCGGGCTCAGCAGTGTAAAGGTCTGCTCAAGGCGGCGCACCTTTTGGAGGTCGAGCTTGGTGAGCGTTGCGTTGGTGGCGAGCGCCTTGGCGAGCGCACAGACAGCGTCGTCTTCGAGGAAATTGTGCGCGAGCGTCAACACGAGCAGACTGCGGTGGCGTGATGGCGCACGGAGATGAGAAGTTCATTTGGAGGGCGAAGAAAAGACCTCCAGTGCAGTGACGAGATGGGAGAAAGGCGAAGGAGGCGCCATTCGCAGCACGCACCTCTGGTTGACGAGAAGCGATCGGCCGAGCGCCCGCACGCCCGCGAAGTCGATCTTGTTGAAGTCCAGGTGGAGAATGTACAGCGACGACCGGAACTCCAACGCGCTGGCCAACGCCATCGCCCCCTCCGACCCTGCTCACGCGATAGACGACGCACACGCACACATGCACACATGCACACAATTCATTGAGCCAAAGTTCGCTGACAAGTCGCCGAAGAAAGAGAGAGAGAGAGAGAGCGGATTACCGATGCTGTTGGAGCACAGGTCGAGATGGGTGACGGTGGAGTTGAGCTTGAGCAGGGCGCCCAGGTACTTGATCGCCTCATCGCCGCTCTCGCCGATGCGGTAGTTCATCTCCGTGGGCGGACTGATGTTGGCCCGCAGGTCGAGGCTGTACACCGACCGGTTGGTGAGCAGGAAGTCGGCGAGCGTCATCACGCCGTCCATGCCCAGCCTGGGCGCGAGGAATTCAGGGAATGTAACGTGGTTAAAAGGCTGCGAGTCAGCGAGCGGGCGCACAGAGGCCGGGGGCGAGGGCCTGGCACCTGTTCTCGCGCAGGTTGACGATGCCCACGCTGGTATTGTGGGCCAGGGCCTGCGCCACGGCGCGAGCGCCGACCACGCCCACCTTGTTCCATCGGAGGTCGAAGTAGCGCAAGGTGTCCGTTGTGGCGAGGAACCGCGCCAGGTCCACCGTTCCTGTACACGTGTGAGTGAGTGTGTGGGGCACAAGCGCGCGTCACTCAACCGAACCAGCAATCAAGAATGAAGGGTAGAGAGAGGAGAGCGAACCTCGGTCGTCGATTTCGTTGCCGCGGATGTCAAGCGAGGTCAGCTGCCGCCCGAGCGCTCCGGTGCACAGCAGATCGGCGAGTCGGTCGATCCCGCCGTCCCCGAGGCGGTTGCCGCGCAGGTCGAGCGACTTGACCACCACCGACGGCACCCTGGTTCCACCACCCGCCATTGGGTACTCATTCATTAATTACTTAATGTTAATCATAGGATTGGCGGGTGGGTGGAGACGTACGAGAGCACCTCGCCCAGGAGGGCGATGCCCTTGCTGCTGAAGCGGTGGCCGCGCAGGGTGAGGTTGACGTGGCCGCTCGCGGGCAGGGAGATGGCGGGCACGACGTGGTGCGGGAGCGGGTCCTTGGTGTCCCCGGCGCGGGTGATCACGTGGTCCTTCTTGAGCACCGACCGCTCGTACCTGCTGCCGTTCCACTGCACGCTCACCCGCTCCCCGAAGCTGATGTGCTGCTGCTCGACCTGCGGCCGCTGCGACGCGCCCTGGTCGGCATCGCCTTCGTCATCGTTCTCCCTGTGCCGCTTTTCCTTGGGCGGTGAATGGCCGTTGCGCTCCTTGATCTGCGCACGATCCGCCGCTTCGTCCTCCCGCTGGCGTCGCTTGCGCGTGTTTGTCCCGATGCTGAGTTCCTGGGCCGGATCGGCCGACATCGACGCGGTCATCGGCAACACTGCGATCGTTGTCCCTGTTGCTGGTGGCGCGGCTGGGAAGAGGGCGTCGTACTGGGCGCGGGGCACTACGCGGCGTATGGCGACGTCGTAGTGATTGGTCCACGCGTTGTCCATGAAGCCCGTGAGGCTGCCGCCCCGGCCGAATGTGGCCTCTTCGCTGAGGCCCCAGCCGAGGAACCCCTCGCCGTAGCCATCCACGTACGCGGCGGCGGCGGCCGCATGGCTCGGGCCAGACGACGGCACCATCGGCGGATGCAGCGGGGCCGAGCGGAGCAGGGCGTCGTGTCGCACGATGGTCCACAGGGAGTGGTCGGTGATGTGTTTCGTGGGCACCCGACCGGCCTCCCGCCCGCGGCACCACACAGCTTCCGCCGTGTTCTCGAGTCTGTCAGCCCGCAGAGATCATCGTGAGTGAACTGTGTTGTGTGCGCTGCGCGCTGTGCGCTGTGCGCTGTGCGCTGTGCGCTGTGCGCTGTGCGTCGCACCCGTCGTCGTGGGAGAGGATCCAGATGGGCACGTCCATGGGGAACAGGACGTGGATGACGCCGGCGAACATGCTCAGGAGGTAGTCCGCCGCGTTCTTGTACTTGCGATCGCATCCGTTGTCGTAGAACGCGTTGAAGAAGTCCGCCATCGCCCGCCCGCCCACGCTCCGCTCCGCCGCCGACCGCTCGTCGTCGCTCCCCGGGGAGCTGGTGCCCACGGGGCACGGGATGAGGTGCATGATCCCCTTCTCCGTCAGGCGGTGAAACGCGGGCGAGGCCGAGCCCTGCGAATAGCCCGCGCCACAGAAGCCATAGATCTTCACGTGCGACGGCACGCTGCTCTCCACAAAGTCCTATTAAATAAAAAATAAAAAAATAAAAATAACAAAACAGGCGTCAGCGACGACACACGTGTGCGCACACAACTTTGGTGCGGCACGCACAAGAGGAGAAGGGACCTTACAAGCACTTTGGCGCAGTTGTCGACGTCGATCAGGAGGAAGTGGTCGCCCGGCGCGACGGCCCCCTTCTGCAGGTGGGAGGGGCTGAGGAACGGGGCCAGCTCTCGCGCCCATAGCGTGCCAAAGAGGAGGAAGCACGTGAACGAATGCCTGGCACAACAACCAACCCAATCATCAGTTGGTACAGAGGATCGCACGTGTCGTGTGTGTCGTGTGTGTCGTGTGCGTCGTGTGCGTCGTGTGCGTCGTGTGCGTCGTGTGCGTCGTGTGCGTCGTGTGCGTCGTGTGCGTGGCGCGTGGTGTTACCTGGTCCGGTTCATGCCACCCAGATGCCAACCGCGGGGAGAAGAAGATGTGGAGGAGAGGGAGGAGAGGTTGAAGCACACGCAGGAAGGCGGATGCCCGCAGCCGCCACCGGTGGAGGTGCGTAGCGAGTGACCTCCGGCGGTGGCGGGTGATGACGGCACCGGCGAGCTCGGCACCGAATGTCGCGGGGAGGCCGGCTGCGAGGCCGAGCCCGCATCTTCCGCCGAAACCGACGCAAACCACCGCCACCAGTACTGCAGTGCGACCGTGAAGCCGTCAGCGCGCGCCGACACACGCACGACACGCGCGGAGAGTGAGAATGCATACCTCCTCCACGAGGAGCTTCCACAGGCCCTCGAGGTCGAGGCAGAGCACGAGGCCCTTCTCGCCGTTGACGGTCGCGGCGGCAGCGGGAATGGGGGTGCGAGCCATGCGGGCGACGAAGTGGGCGCGCAGCAGCGGCCACGGGTCGCGGCGGAAGTAGCTGGCCGCCTGCTTGGTCGAGCGCTGCGAAGCTGTGCCACCGCCGCCGGCTTGGCTCGGGTGGGGCGACCAGAAGGAGCTGTAGGCCTGCTGGCTCCACACGAGCTCGATGAAGGTGTCGTGTGCCCTCTTGACTACCTCCTCCAGCACCTGCAGGGCCTCCTGATCGTCATCTTCGTGCTTAAGGCTTTCATCCACTGCGGTGATTGGAGCCGGCAGGAGGGAGAAGAGGGAGATGGCTTCGCGCAGGATGGTGGCAGGGTCGGGAAAGCGAGCAGATGTGAGATGCGCCCCCCGGATGACGGCTTCCCCGCATTTGTGCACCGCAGCCAGCGGCAAGCGAACATAGGGTGCCGCATGCTGCTCATACCCCTCTTCCATCTTGCCGAACGAATAACACAGAACCGGTGATTTAATTATTTTAGCTTCATTTTAAATTATTTTATAATGAGAAACAAGAAGGTAGTAATGTAACTATAAACACGAAGCATGGAGCAGCAGCTGGTGGCAGAGATGGTGGGGGTGCTGCAGACGCTGGTGCAGGCACCCTCTGTGAACGGCGTCCACACCGAGAAGGCCACCGTCTTAGCCCTCGCTCGGGAGGCTCAGCGCCTCGGTCTCGACCACACCCTCCACTCGCTCGACGTACAACTCCCCCACAACCCTCCCTACTGCGTACTGAAAGGTTGTACTAAGCTTCATATCCTCCTAACTGTGCAGGAGGAGCGACCCAACCTGGTCGTGTCAGTGGGTGAAGGCGAGCCCAGCTTCCTCTTCATCGCCCACTCTGACACCGGTGCGTGTATGCTTGGCCCTTGGCCCAGCGCCTCCTCCTGCTGACAGCGATGGTGGTGGGACTACGCTATGCAGTGGGCACCGGCCAAGAGGAGCTGTGGAAACACCCACCATTCGCGGGGGTCGTGGAGGATGGCATCCTCTACGCTCGCGGCGCGTGCGACAACAAGGCCGGAATGGGTACACCACCCACAGGCAGACACAGCCGAGTGCTTTCTATTGACGACGTGGCGGGGCCGGCCAGTGTGTGGCCTGTACACGCTCAAGCGGCTGGCCGACACGATCGCCAAGTCGGACGATCGGTACAGGAAGCTGGGCAAGGTGCAACTGGCCATAGTCGCCGATGAGGAGAGCGGTGCGTGCAGCAAGATCGGCATGCGGTACCTGCTCGACGAGAATCTCGTGGGCGGCAAGGGCGCCATCTACGGCTACCCCGGCACGCGGGTCACTATCGGGCACCGGGGTACCGAAGCCTCCCTCCCCCATCTACCACACCCATGCAGACATTGACCCTGTTGCGTTAGGCCTTCTGCGCTTCACGATCGAAGTGCACGGCGAACCGGTGCATGTTGGTACGTGGCGATGATGGGGCGTGGTGCGTCTTGGGTACCCACAGCTCAGCACCACCGGGGGGTCACGTAACAGGAAGCAGCGAATGGACGAAGGGCATCAAGGGTGCGAATGCAACGATGGCTCTTGTGGACATCTTGTCGCGCATGGAGAAGCACGAATGGCCCTTGGACGAGCACGACAGCTTCCCCGGCCTCAACTTTGTCTGCACACCCGGCACGTTGATCAGCGGCGGCACCTACGAGAGTGTGGTACGTATCGCCAGAGAGTGTAGACGCAGCGTCATCATGAATATCAAACTTACGCGTGTCACCGTCGCTCGTGTCAGGTCCCCAACTATGCGCAGACGCTCGTCGACATGCGCCCCATGCCGGACACCAACGTCGAGAACATCATCGCCACTGTCGAGAAGATCATCAGTGACGTCATCACGGTACGAAAGGCTCCTTCTCGTTTATGTCCGATCACCTGCTTACGTGTGCGTGTGGGCGCCGGCAGGAGCGTAACGCCAAGATTGGCAGCGATAAGCTGAACGGCGCCATGAAGATCAAGGCGCGCCTGCCCGCAGTCTTCATTCCCAAGGACCATCCGCTGGCCACCTCATGCGTCAAAGCGGTCGAGAAAGTTCTCAACGAGACCCCAGACGTACGTCACTTCCTCGCACAACAGAACGCCCATCATGGGGCTGCCCGCGATGGCTGCTGATCGCCCATGTCACCGTGCTGACTTCAGGTGGGTGGATGTGGGCCGGCCAATGAGGGCTACATGCTGATCGAGAAGGGCATTCCCACCATCTGTGGCTTTGGACCCAAAGGCGGCGCCCCTCATGCGCCCAACGGTACCAGCTGCGCTGTGACAACGCGCTTGTTTCCACTGCCTTTGCTCACGCTTCACTTCAATCCGCGAACAGAGTGGGTTGAAGTAGCATCTCTGGGCTCCACCGTGGACATCTACTACGACATTGTGTGTCGCTACCTCGACCTCTAAGCCAACTAGTTGTGCTCTAAACGCGCTCAATGTGTAATGAATGAAGAACAAGCCCAAGCAAGCAAAAGGATACGGCACGGTGGATTCCCGGGTGGTCGCCCACCCCAGTACTAACACCGCCTGGACAGAACAGCGAATGAGGCGGACTGGTTGCGCACCTGCTCCTGACTACATCGTCAACCTCTCTCCTTCCGTCTTCTTGTCCGGTTGAATTGCTGCCAATAGGAATGGCCAGTGTGGGGATCGAACCCACAGTATGGCCGTATCCATTGGTACGCTCTTCTTCCATCAGTTCCCCACATTTGAAACGCTGCTCTGCCATTTGCCGGCCATCACGCACCCCTCTAAGTTGGGCATCACGAGCTGGACAAGCAGAAGAAGCTTGACTGGGAAGAGGAACTGAGAGTCCTGGCCCGCGATAAGCTACGGCAAGCTTGCGGCCACAGAGCCAAAGCGAAGAAAGAGGTGAAAGAATGAAGAGCGCAAAGAGACAAAGAAGTGTTTGGTGGACGCGCCTGAGCGCAGACGGGTTTGTATTTACTACAGTGTGTTTACCAACACCAGCGAAGGTGCTCGCTTAGAAGCACTTGCGGTGGACAATCGAGGGTTTCTTTCCCGCCCGATGTTTCTCCTTTCAAAAGCACTTGCGGTGGACAATGCTGGGACCAGACTCGTCGTACTCCTCCTTGGAGATCCACATCTGCTGGAAGGTCGAGAGCGAGGCGAGGATGGAGCCACCGATCCAGACGGAGTACTTGCGCTCGGGGGGAGCGATGATCTTGATCTTCATGGTCGACGGCGCGAGGGCGGTGAGCTCCTTCTGCATGCGGTCGGCAATGCCGGGGAACATGGTGGTACCGCCGGAGAGCACGACGTTACCGTACAGGTCCTTCCTGATGTCGACGTCGCACTTCATGATCGAGTTGTAGGTGGTCTCGTGGATACCGGCCGACTCCATGCCGAGGAACGAGGGCTGGAACAGAGCCTCGGGGGCGCGGAAGCGCTCGTTACCGATGGTGATGACCTGACCGTCGGGCAGCTCGTACGACTTCTCGAGGGCCGACGACGAGGCAGCGGTGTGCATCTCCTGCTCGAAGTCGAGGGCGACGTAGCACAGCTTCTCCTTGATGTCGCGCACGATCTCGCGCTCGGCGGTGGTGGTGAACGAGTAGCCGCGCTCGGTGAGGATCTTCATGAGGTAGTCAGTGAGATCGCGACCGGCGAGATCGAGACGGAGGATGGCGTGGGGCAGGGCATAACCCTCGTAGATGGGCACGGTGTGGGTCACGCCGTCGCCGGAGTCGAGCACAATACCGGTGGTACGGCCCGAGGCGTAGAGCGAGAGCACGGCCTGGATGGCGACGTACATGGCGGGGGTGTTGAAGGTCTCGAACCTGATGGGAGGGAGAGAAAGGAGGTGAGTCTATCTTTCACCTATATGAGTGGCGGTGATTGGAAAAGAGGAGGAGTCTCGTACATGATCTGGGTCATCTTCTCGCGGTTGGCCTTGGGGTTGAGGGGGGCCTCAGTGAGCAGCACGGGGTGCTCCTCGGGGGCCACGCGGAGCTCGTTGTAGAAGGTGTGGTGCCAGATCTTCTCCATGTCGTCCCAGTTGGTCACGATGCCGTGCTCGATGGGGTACTTGAGCGTGAGGATACCGCGCTTGGACTGGGCCTCGTCACCGACGTACGAGTCCTTCTGGCCCATGCCGACCATGACGCCGGTGTGGCGCGGGCGACCGACGATAGAGGGGAACACAGCGCGCGGGGCGTCATCACCGGCAAAGCCAGCCTTGCACATGCCCGAACCGTTGTCGATAACCAGAGCCTGAACCTCGTCTCCCATGTTGATGTAGTTGGTGGTGGTGGTGTTGTAGAGTTGTAGTAAACTGAAGAATTGAAGCTGGGGCCGTATTTGTAGTGTGCTCTTGGGCCCACTGCCGGGTATCGAGGCGACCAATAGGCCGCGTGGTCCTTGGGTGGTTATTACGTCAACCAATGGCGGGTGAGTAAAACGTTCCTGTGGCTACTGCGAGCGTTTGCACCACTGGGCTCGAAGTAAACCAAAATTTGAGGTGAAAGACTGCGGGAGGAGCGCTCCAATAAAGCGGAGGCAGCACTGCGCTCCTTTCTGTCCAATCGTACGCTTTATAATGATCGCTTGTTGCTACTGCGCACCTGTCCGATTTTGTACTTGTATTTCCTTCACCCTTTTTCTATTCATTCTCCTGTACCCAGGGTGGTTTTATTTTATTTAAAATAGTTAATTATATCAAAAATATAAATCATGGTAGAGGTGGAGCTGCCAGAGGAGGTGGAACTGCGCATCTTGGGTTTGCTGCCATGGAATGTTCTCTTCAAGGCCACGCTTGTTTGTTCCCGCTGGCGCCGCCTCGGTATCTTGCCCCCCCCCCAACAAACCTCCCTCACATCCCCGGACCCGGGCCAAAGGAGGAGGTTGCATGTGCCCCCCCCCCCAAAGCTCTGGACAGAAGCCTCTGGGAGAGCATCTTCGAGTCGGAGTTTGGATGCGCGGCCGCTGCCGTCGTGCGCGCTTGTGCCCCAGCACTCCCCCGGGTTCGTATTGCGGCGTGTGGCATCGTGCAAGGACATACATGTCGTGTGCTGCACAGGGTTGGACTCACACCCCATGTGTGGCGTGTGTGGTGTGCGTTGTGTGCGGTGGTACGTGTGCGGTTCGCTCGAGGGCCAGGTGATGGAGAACCTGTGGTGCCCCAGCCCCGACCACGCGCCCATCGACGAGTGGTTCTGGTGGTGCACCCGCCTGCAGTGCCCCCACCCTCACGTACGCCGATCCGGATCACCCTGCGTTCCGCTTCCGCTTCGCCAACAGCGCGGGGCAATGGCGTACGCTGTTTGAACTGCTCCTGCAGGAAGACCACAGCGACTATGACGAGGCCAGTGCAGAGAATCTGCCGGATGAGAACGATGAGGACCCAGGGTGGTTGCACGACTACGTGCTCAGCCTCACCGCCTCGCCGCCATCATCATCATCATCGTCACCGCGCCACGAAGAGGGCGGCGTGAATGGCAGCAGGGCGTCCAAGCGGCCACGACTAACTTCTTCTTCTTCTTCTGGTGTCGTGGATGAGGTGCGCCATCAAGACTGACGACAATCGATGACATCAACCCCTAGCCGTTGTTCATTGCTCTCTCTTCTGTTGTTGTTGTTGTTGGCAGGTGCCATGGGCCAAGGTGTTCAAGGACCACTACATCCTTCGCCATCGATGGCTGCACGGATGCGATCCGCGGCCGCGACGAGATGCGCCGGAGAATGGAGAGGCGGTGGAAGGGGAAGGGAAAGGCGATGCCGAACAGTGGCCAGACCCGAGCAGGATCGTGCGTGTGGTGGTGACGGGCACGAGGTCGAGCGGCAAGTCCTCCATCCTTCGCGCCCTTCTTGCCCACGACCAGCAGGATCAGGTGAACGAAGCGCGCCCGGTCAACGTGATCGTGGTCGAGGTCTGGGGCGTGCGGGTCGTCCTCCTCGAGGTCAAGCGTGCCCACGGTGCGCGGCCATCATCATCTCCGCCTTCTCCCAAACCAGACTTGGCTGATTGGACGGTTGTAATGGCAGGATGGCAGGGCAAGCTGTTCAATGGCGCCTCGGTCGACGGCGTGATGTTCGTGGTCGACGCGGAGGACTTCGCGCCCTTTGTGGGCCGGGCCATGTTGGAAGTGACAGATGAGGCGTTTGGCAGACTCGAGGCCATCTACAAGCTGTTCCACGGCGTCGCCGGCGAAGCCCATGCGGCCGCTCTCGCGGCCGTGGTGTGCGTGAACCGGATCGACCGCGCCCTCGCCACTGTCGGCGCTCGGGGCGAGCGTGGCGTGCAACCACCAGACCTGATCGAAGTCGTTGAGCGCAAGCTTCGCCTGGGGATGCTACAGCACTGCTCGTGGTACTCCGGGGCGAGGGTCTCGGCGATGGCCACATCGGTAGGGGCTGTCTCGGACGGTGGCCTTTGCCGCGCCGCTGTCGAGGCGTTTGTGCGGAACTGGACGAGCGTCCTCCACCGGGAGCTATGCGGGTGGACGAACGACGAGTGGGACACGTCGTGGATTGAGCGTACCTTCGAGCTTCAGGCCCTGGCCGAGGCGGAGGCGGAGGCCGAGCGGGCAGGTGCAATGGCGGAAACGCTGTTATTGGAATAAAAAAAGCGACAAAACACGAAACGGAACAGTTTCGAAAAAGTTGTGGAACAGACCGAAGCAAAACGTAGCGCATCCAAGGCTGCTTGCTGTAGAAGACGCAAAGGAAGCACAAAGACATGACCAAGTCGTGGAACGTGAGCTACTCGTGCAGAGTAAAAGGATGTAGGTGGGTCACCTCCAAGAAGAAAGCGCTCCTGTGCATCTCTCCGCACCTGCTCTCCGTGGTGCTCCCGAGCGACGCTACGTGCAGTACGACGAGACTGTTGGTGCGTAGCGATAGAGGAAGTGGACTGCCTGCGTGAAGTGGCGCTTAGGCATCTCGCGCTACATGTTCATAGGAGAGCATCGAGCTCTCCAGGGAAGGAAGCAAGCCGGTGATGCAGGTCGTCAAGGCCAGCATGTACTGCAAGGCACATCAAAGCCTTGAACGTTCGGTTCGAAAATGTCCTTGGCTGCAGCTTACCTTCTCTCAACGTTGGTGGCGCCTCTCAACAGGTGAGCGACGCGAGGGAGTTTCTGCTCCGATTCAACACCCCAACCGAGGTCAACGAATGCCAACGGCTCATGACAGACTCGGGAGCATTCGAATGGCGCCACGGCAGAGGCCTGCAGAGCCAAGGGTCTGTGCTTGACATCCCAACCGACACCCAGCTTCCGAGCTCACAGATGGACGTCGAGGAAGAAGAGATGGTACGTGCAATACCGTCCAGTTCCGCACACCTCTTGTGAGCCGGAGCTGAGTAGCTGCTTCAGACTCAATGCTCTCAGGTTGAGAGTAGCCCACCGGAGCCAGCCAGCGCCCAGGCTGAGGTCTTCACTCTGCTTCCTCGCTCTCACATCCCAGACCCTCCTCCAGCCGCTGTTCTTCCGTTCGCTGGGGCGCCCATCTCCCCTCAGCGAGTAGGCCCTGCCCCAGCTGCCTCCACACCGAACTACTCCTTCCCCCCACAACCCATCATGGTCGACGCGGCCTATTCTGCAGCGAGCAGCTCCTCGTCCACTTCATCCAGCGCTCCTGCTACGTCCTCCAGCTTAGGGCTCAGGGCGACGTTAAGCTCCGCACCGGTCCGCTCTTCTACCGCGGCAACGCCCGCCGCGACGTCCGCGGGCTTCTTCAACTTCGGCACCACGTCTGCTCCGTCCAACGCAGTCGCTACGGACGCCGAAGACATCGAGATCACCGAGGGCAACTTTGAGTTCTACCTCAGCATGTGCCTCAACGATCCGCGCTTCCCCAGTACTGTGCATCCGTCGGCTGTCTTGACTCTCCGCCACCAAAGCTGACTTTGGTTCGCCTGTCGTGACGTCGCGGCAGTGATCGTGGAGCAGGTGGAGAAGGCGTGGGTGCGGCACATGGGACTCGGCGGCACGGCGGCAGAATCTCTCGAAAGGCTCATGAAGTGAAGCCAGCTCGAGCTAACGTGGGGCAATTACACTCAACACGGAGACCGTCGGCGAACCCCCCCCCCCAATGGAGAGAGCAGCATGGCTAATAAAACAGGCAGTGTCTAGTATTGGGCCACGAACCTCCAACTGGCAGAAACACGAGGGAGGACGATCTTCGTGTGGCGAAAATGGCCGCTGGCAGCCTCTTACTGGGACTGCGGGTGCGAAGGGTCGAGGATCTCGCCGTGGAGGACCGGGTCCTTGTTGAGCGACAGGAAGAGGGAGTGGTTGAACTCCATTTGCCCCTCGGCGTTGACGTGCATCAGCTTCCTGGCAAGCTTGTCGATTGCCACCGTGGCCAGCACAGTCTGAGGAGAATCGATTCTCACGATGGTGAGTCGAAGTGGTGAGTAAAGCGAGTGGTGTGGCGCTGGGTACCTGGATGTAAGCGTCGATGAGATCGTCGGTGCCGACGCCGAGACGGTTGAAGTCGCGCGTGTCCATAAGCAGCAGTCGGTTCGTCTCCGTGCTCCAGGTGTCGTCGTCGAGCTTGAACGACAGGTTGGTACCGAGATAGTCCCAAGAGGTCTCGCCGGGGCTCAGGTTCTGAAGAGATTTGATGGAAGGAGAGCAAGAAAGCATTCAATAACCACAGCTCGCGAGGGCATAAGCCATATGGCTGGCCGTACCTGGGGCAAGGGCTTGCGGGCTCGCCGAGAGTAGATAGCGAGGGGACGGAAGGACTTGTGGATGTAGCTGTAGTGCACCATCAAGCGAATGTCCGCGCAGTAGATGTTCTTGTTCTTGTCCGGAATCTGCACTAGAACCGAATCAGCAAAGGTCCTCGGCCCAAGTGGCCTTTTAAGAGAAAAGGACGCCGAACGCACCGTGCCAACGTGGAAGTATTGGCCATGGCGTGTGACAGAGCTCCACGAGTAGTTTCCGATCAGGCTTTGCACGATGTACTGCTCATAAGCGCCTTGTTGGTTGAGCTCCTTCATGAGCTCCTCCAGCTCCTGCTTAGATGTGATCGTGTAGACGCTGCAGAAGCGAACAATTGTCGAGTTAGCCTTTGTCCCGATTAAAGCCTACCCGTGCCACGGACGAATGTACCCCTGGCCAGCGTTGGAGTAGGGCACCTTGACGACAGCGTGATCACCCATGGACTTGACCCACAGAGGGATTTCGTCCTTGGCCACGTCCTCCCTAGTTTCGGGAACGCGAATGCCCAGGCCTGTGAACCAAAGGGCGACACAATGTTGTCAATACACTCGCATGAGCGAGGGCGAAATTCCTCAAAGGGCGCGATCAATGTATGCGTACCCTTGGGCTCAAACTCGGCGTTGAAGAAGTCGTAGGCCTTGGCGGCGACGAGCTTGTTACGGCCGCCAGCAAGACAAGCCACCACAGGGTTGAGAATGAGAGTCTTGGCACCTGCCACAGGGAGCCTGGAGAAATCGTGAGAGCTCGGTCGTAGATCTCCCAGCATAGCATAGCACAGGAGAGGTACCGGCTCCAGGGCTTCTGCGTAACGTAGCGGAAGGCGGCACGGATGCGACGCCACTGGCCATCGGAGGTCCTGGCCTCGAGAACCCAATCGGAGGTCCACCGGACGTTGGTTTCCTCTTCATGGTCGTGGGTCTCCACCAGCAGCACTTCCTCATTGAAGGAGTCAGCCAAGCACGCGGCATACCCGGCAGCCTCAGTTTCATTCTGTGGTAAACACACTCACGTTGAGAGACCACAGGAGGGCTTGTGCCTGAAGCCGAGAGTACCTTGTCGAAAACCACAGCAAGAGCTCCCTCAATCATTTTGCCATTGGCTTCGCATTCCTCCAGGTAGGGCTTGAAGGTGTAATCGATGAGATACTGGTAGCCGTTCTTCTCCTCACCCTCATTGAGGAGAGGGAAGGATTTTTGACCAGAAGGACAACTGTTGGTCTCGATGACCACCATCTTGCGCCCTCTGCGATCAGGATGTTGAATTAAAAATCGCGATTTCCACAAGGACAGATCTTAAGGTGTGGCTAGGGTACCCTTTGGCCTCGGTCACGTTGAACAGATCAGCGCCAGACCATCTGAAGAACGAGGGCTTGTAGGCGAGCAACTCCTGCAGAGTATCAAAAATCGTGAGCAGCGCCATTCTCACTTTCTCACTTGGAGCCCCAAGCAGGTGGGGCTGTACTTCCAGAGCCTTACGATCTACGGTGGGGTACAGATGGGTGTAGCGCGAAATGATCCGTTCGTTGTCCATTCTCATGAAATGCGCCACCAGAGGATGAATCTGAGCACTGTGGTAACGTTACAGCGAAAGATCGTGCACGAGTGAGACGCGAGTGTGCGGCACAAGAATTAACCAAGGCAAGGCATCTTGTGGGAGCGCACTTGAGCACTTTGGTGTAGAAATGCTTGTCAACCTCGAAGGAGCCCTGCCTGACCACCACGGCGTACTTGGCCTTCTTGGTGTGTGGCTTAGCGACTGTCGGCTCCGCCTCGGACTTGTTCTCAACAACATCCTTGGGCGTCTCCATCGTGCAAGGATCGTACGTCGCCACTTTGCCTTCGAGAAGGAGAAATCAGTAGCGCGAACGACCACACCAGGGCAAAACCGGTCAAAAACCCGGTTTGGAAGGAGCTTCGCCACAACCCCACACCTGTCACCGGATCCTCCGCCTGATTTCGGGGGCATTGCGCTGGAGGGCACTTGCCATACCTCAAATACCTGGCTCGATCGGCCCAGTGCAGCACACACTGGAGCGACATTTGAGGAATGACAGGTGTGCTGGTGGGACCTTCGGCTGACCTGTGCCCTGTGACCTGGCCATCAGCACACTCGGTAAAACCACGGCAGCAACAAGAGAGATGAAGTTCGGAAAGCAACTCTTGCTGAAGCAATCGGAGGAATGGAGGGAATCGTACATCCACTACAAGCAACTTGTGCATCTGCTCAAGGATTTAGCCCGATTGGTGTCGCCCGAGGGTAAGGCGCCCGAGTACGCTGAGACAGAGAAGCAATTCATCGCTGCCATCGAAGCGGAAGTTATTCGCGTGAATGCAGCCTACCTGGTGCTCGAGGAGCAGGTCAATCAGGAGCTCAAGAAGCTCAGGGAAAAGTACCGGGAGAAGAAGAGCGCCCTCACGCCTGACTCGCTGTCCGTCCTCAGGAACGACGTTCTGGTGTGCTCGCAGTCCATCTTCTACCTCCAAGAGTTTGGAGGCCTCAACGCGACGGGCTTCCAGAAGCTCATCAAAAAGACCGAGAAGCTGCTGGGTAAGGGCAACGTGCCCTGGGCCAAGGGTCTCAAAGCCGTCTACAGCACCAAGGACTTCTACCTCTCCAAGAAGCCCGCCAAATTCAATCAAATCGCCACCGTACGCTCCCTTCCTCACTCCTTTCTGTCCGGCTTAGATTTATTTTTATTTATTTTTTTCTTAACGCTATCTCGCTGTGGCCCATGCGGCTGCGTTGCTTGCACACCACCACAGAAAATCCAGCAGGCCAACGAGCTGACTGACAAGTCGGCAGAGCCACGGATCAAGTCGGCCCTCAACCGGACAGAGCTGCATGTCGGCGAAGACCTCGATCTCGCCGCCCTCCCCCGAGATAGCATCACGCGCCTGTGGGTCACCCTCGTGCAGGATTCGATGGCCCGACCGATCGAGATCCCGGTCATGGTACTTCTTCTTCTTCTCTCATCTCTTAGGAGCAGAGTGACGAGCATCTCTCTCTCTCTCTCGATTCTATCAAACGCAGGTGGCTTGTGGCGCGTTCACGGGACCGGTCGTGGGCATTACGGCGGCGGTGCACGGTAATGAGCTGAACGGCATCCCTCTTATCCATCGCCTGTTCCAGGAAATAGACTGCAGCACTCTGTGCGGCACTCTTGTCGCCATCCCTGTCGTCAACACCCTCGGTATTCCTCCCCTTGCTTTCTCGCTCGAATGGTCTTCACCGACGAGCTCACAAGCACGACACAACCAAACACCAAACAGGCTACATCAACAACTCTCGTGGGTTCAGCGACGGAGCAGACCTGAACCGCGTGTTCCCTGGTTCGGGGGCGCCCAACTGCAGCAAGATCTTCGCCAACCGCTTCCTCCACAACATCGTCAAGAAGTTCGAGTACCTCATTGGTACGTCATGTCGAGGCCGGGTCATGCGTGCCGTGGTACTGCCTTTGAGTGCATGGCCTGATCGTATATGCCATGCACAGATCTGCACACGGCGTCCTTTGGGCGTGTCAATTCGTTTTACGTGCGTGCGGACATGAACGACCCCATGACCAGGCGAATGGCCTTCCTCCAACACCCGCAGATTATCGTGCAGTGCGTTACATGGCCCCCCCCCACCCCCCGACGCCACATGCGCCATCTTTTCTCACATTCTCCCCCTTTGGCCATTAGCAACACGGGTCCCGACGGCTCATTGCGAGGTGCGGCGGCGCAGCTCGGCATCAACGCCATCACCGTCGAGATCGGAAATCCCCACACCTTCCAGCTGAGGTACCTCTTCCCCGCCACCCGGTCTGCTCACACGGCCCTCAGTGGAAGTGTGACGCACCTCGAGGCTCATCTATTGTATTTTACGTTTGCCTGCAGGTACATCAAGAGCGCGTTGATCGGTGTGGACAACATTCTGGGTTTCCTCAACATGATTTCGCACGACGAACCTGAGAGGGAGTACGAGCCCGCCATCTGCAGTTCCTCCTACTGGCTCTTCACCGACGTCGGTGGCCTGTTGGGTTCGTCTCAATCCCAATATCACGGCTGTGCTGCTCTCTTTGCCTGACCTTGCTCGGGGGACAGAGGTGCGGCCCGAGATCAATACCTGGGTGCGAAAAGATCAGCTCATTGCTGTCGTGAAGAACATCTTTGGCGACATCGTCAAGAAGTATTATGCCCCGGAGGACGGTACCATATTGCCCATGCCGTGTGCTCTTGCGTGCCGAACTGCGCTCTGATTCTTGGTGAACACACACAGGCATCGTGATCGGCAAGAACGTCAATCCGGTCAACCAGACGGGCGACAGGATCCTCCACTTGGGCGTTGCCGGCAGCGAGTTCAGCAAGAGGCAGAACGACGGGCACTGAGCACTCCGCCACCCGCTTCTTCCTCCTCCTCATATTCGGCGGGTAGTAGTGGGCCGGCCGGTAGCCACGGCGGCCATCGCCAACCCACGCGAGGCCGACCAATTTATTTGGACAAAGCGCGCGTCCGTCTTTCCTTTGTACATCTCTACTTCTACAAGCACCTGGTCCTCTCCACCAAACGTTTTCTTCTTATGTTTTCCTATGTACATCCCTCCCCTCCCGCCTACACCTTGACGATCCGAATGCCTCGCAAGCGATTCTCGTAGATGAGCGGCGTCACTAGAATGTGGGGAGGAAGGGCTCGAGCCGCCTCTCGCCAAAGCGCCAGACAGCGCTCGGTGCCACCTGCCTTGTCCCCGTGGAGCAGCGCTTGGTGCGGTGGCCTCCCTGGGCTCGACCTGCGCATCATCGCCTGATCAGGACCCATCACTCGGTCCTCACGTGCGAGAGCCATCATCGTACCTTCGCAGGACTCGAGCTACCTCCGTCATGAACGGCACCAGATTGCAGGGCACGCCACAAGGCCCGCCCGCCTTGTTGATCTCACACAAGCATACCACCTGGAGGCGAAGAAAGTACGAGAGATGAGCATAAAAGGGGCCGACGTGACCAGGAGATGAAAGTTTGTTTACCCCTCTTCCCAGCACCAAGTCGAATGTGTCGTCGGGCCAGGGAAAGGGCTTGGTGTTGTCTCCCAACGTCTCGCCAGTGAGCGGAGCATCAGCGTCCACCCTCCCGTCGTCGTACACCTTGTGTGGAAATCAATCACAGGACGCCATGACGCCACTCGAGCCCGAGTGTGCTTACCTGGCTCACCACCTGGAAGTCGAGGCTGCCCTGCGCGAAAGGCCGCAGCCTGTGCAGTGCCTTCTCCTTTGAGAACCAGGGATCTGCTGGCGAAGGATAAGGCAAGGACGAAAGGGGCGGGGCGTACATGTGTGCCACGGTGCTGTGTCGTGTCTCATCCAGCGGTAGCTCGCTCAGAACCAGGATCGTCCTCGGCACCTGATGCACACGAAACGAAGCTTGGTGAGCGTACGTGCTCTCTCGAGCCTCGTGGGCGCGTGTGGTCGGGAAGGAGCACCCCAAGCTGTTGGTAGGCGTGAAGGAAGGACTTCATGGCACCGCTCGTGCGTAGGTCCCGGTGCCACACATCCTCCGGGTCGCAGTTGAACAGGAACAAGGGGTGGTCAGGGCCGCTCAACACCACTGTGCCCGCTTCGCCCAGCCTCTCCCCCGGCATCATCATCATCACCGCGCCGTAGCTGCCCCCATCTCCCGTCGCCCCCCACCAGTGGCTGCCACTTCCTCGACAAGTGCTGCTCACCTCCACCGCCTCTGACTGTCGCTCCTCGCGTTGCACCGCCACCACCTCTGCCCCGGCCACGGCATAGTGCTGACGATGAGGGTCTGGGTCATCAGCGCGGCCAGTGGTGCGCATGTCCTCCTGCTCGTGTGGTGAAAAACAGGTTTTACAAAATAGATTTTCTAAATCCAAACAAAACAATTACAAAAGAGAAGAGGGGCAGCTGAAGGTCCGCTGTACACGTGGGAACGGTCACTCACTCGCCCATCCCCCACTCAGTAGGTCTCATATTCGTCGCCGTCGTCGCCGCTGCTCTTGACGCTGCTCTTGCCTACGTGCTCCTTCCTCTTCTGTTTCTCGTTGAAGGCGCAGTCCATCTTGTGTCTCAAAATCATCTCCCCCTTCTCGTTTAGGCATAGCACGTTCACCAACTCCTGCAGGGGGGCATGAAGATGACGATGGTGATGATGATGATGAGACCCTTCCTCCTCACCTGCATGGCACGTGCTACCTGACGCCGTGGTTGGGGGACGAACCTTTTTCTGGTGAACGAACTTGGGATCTTCGCGAACCTTGTCGTTGACGTCGACCTTCGCAAACTTGAGCTCATCGTCCACCTTCTGCACGTAGGTGAAGACGAGCGTGGAGGAGGGCGAACGCGTCTTGAACGCCTTCGTGTCCTCTTCGGCCAGCTGCGAGGGGATGCGGAAGAGGAAGTCGCCTGTGTAACACGAACCAATCATCACGTTAGCCCATGAGCTGAGCAACGCGTTATCTCGAGGAGTGTGTGAGACGCACCCGGCTTGGCGCCCATCTGCTTGAGAAGTATCACGGCGTCCTTGTGTGTGAGGAACATGCGCAGGGAGTAGTTCTTCCATAGATCATGGTACTGCACGAGAAGAAGAAGAAGACAGAGGTATCAGCCAGGGGTCCAAGGGAGCGCGACACTGTGATTAGGGAGGGTTACGGATTTGATGGCCTGCACGGCGTTGTAGAGCCAATGGCCAACTCGAGTCTGCATGTAGGTTTCGAATGTAACGATCTCGTCTTTGCTGCTCTCCTTGCCAGCATTGGGTACGCCTGCGGGTCAAGAAAAGCAAACATGGTTGTTAGTTGTTTCATTCACTGGCATTGACGTCGACGTCTTGCTTAACGGGGGGGGGAGTGTGGATACCCAGCTTCTCGCCAAGGAAGCGAAGGGACTGAGGATGCATGGTCTCGTTTAATTGGCGCGTGTAGAAGTAGGCAAAGCGCTTCGCCAACTCGGCCCAGGTGAGCTGTTCGTACTCGGGTCCTTTGTCGGCGTACCAGATGATGATGGCCCAACACTGGATCTTGGCCTTGGTGTGCGGATAGGCGACCATGGGCAGGTGGCGCATCTCTCCGTCCTTGTAGAAGGCATCTGCAATCACGCATCCACGATTGATCACGATGAGAAACGGCAGAGCGAGAACAGGGAGAAAACGAGCGAGAGAGAAGATAACGGACCGAGGAGAACCGGGGCGCTTGGAGCGGGAGGAGCATGGAAGAGCCGGAACTGCACGTTGGCCACCTTCACGCCGCCGACGCAAGTCTTCATGACGGTGGGGAAGGGGAAGTGGCACTCGATAATAGTACACGTGGGCGTCAGTCTGTTGTAATCACACAGCACATTGAGCGTGTCAGCACAGCCCGCCCAGTCGGTTCGAATGTACATTGGCTGTTGTGGGGGGGAGGCGTGGCGAAGCAAATCGTACCGCTGGTCGTTGGAATCGTCGTGAATCGAGATCTGGGTTGGCTGAACAACGACGGGCTGCGGGAGGTTCGACCTGTTGATGAGGCACTCAACAGACAGTGGCCTCAACCTGGGCGCGGCAGCGTTGGCATTAGTGCGAAGACGGAGCGAGTACGGCAGAGGAAACGCTGTGCGTCGCGACACGTGTACGCAAGGGAAGACGAAGGATGGTTTCATACCCGGTGGGAGTACACATCAGGGTGACCTTGGTGGGAGTCTTGGCCGCCGAGAATATCACTTCGTCGTACAGCACCTTGCTAAAGGGGAGGAATAGAGATCGGTGAGTCGGGTGCCTGTACGTGAGCAGGGCTGGGCGAGGCGGTTGGCTGGGTGGGGTACATAATCTTGGGACCCTGTCCGAGGCCAGGAAGAGTGACACTTGGCTTGATATCGGCTACCCAGGTCGCCCCGGCGGCGAAGGGTGGAGGAGGCGAGCTGCGAGGCGAAGAAGGCGGGGAATGGCCCGGAGGCGAGTAGGGCTGGGCGTTGGGAGACGAAGGAAGTGACGTGATAGGGGACAGGTGGATCGACATGATCTGCGGGAACGAGGACGAGGAGGTGGGCGACGTCGAGAGTGACAGTGGCCCGCCGCCGCTGGTGGTCGCGGGCGCGGTGGGCGCCGGCAGGATGTTGGGAAGCGAGGCCTGCTTCTTCTTGAGCGGCTTCTTGCGCTTGTTGTTGGAGGCCGAGGAGGAAGAGGGCGGTGGCACCGCGACGGGTCCGGAGCCCGAGACGGCCGAGCCGGACGAAGCCAGGGTGCCCGAAGCCACGCTCATGCTGAAAGCGTGCATCTGGCCGGAGAGGGAGAGGGGAGACGTGTAGCCAGAGCTTGTGGGAGAGGAGCGTTGCACGACGGTCGGCAACTCTCCCGAGCCGGATAGGGTCGTGGCGAAAAAGGAGGTCAGACTCGAGCCCGTGGGCGACGAGGAGAACGATCCGAAATAGGGCGATTGTGAGGCTGAGCCGACAGATGGCCGTTCGGATGGGAATTCAGAGATCTGAATCTCGGGCAAGGGGAAGTGCAGGCTAGACCCAGATAAGGCTGAGGGCGTGGGTGCTGGGGACGTAATTGGTGGAAGCTGGAATTGAGGCTGGTGCTGATAGGGGTTGTGCAGTTGCTGCTGTGAATTGGCGAAGAAGGGATGAGTGGCTAGTGCGTCCTCGATGAAGGCCATCTGTGACTGGAGATTGCGCTGCTGCTGTTGCTGCTGGAGCTGTTGCTGCTGGAGTTGGGCGATATGGTCGCTGGTGCTCATCATGTCGTCGAGACCCGACCGGATTGGAATTTCGAAATCAGATCCATGCAAGGATGATGTTCCATCTAGAACGCTGCCGAAATCGAACGTGTCGAGATCAAGCCCCTCCGCTTCCTCCTCCTCTTTGACCGTGTCCCAGTCCATCGGTCTGCCGGGCAGAGTAAGAACAACGCTGTGGTGTAGTCTGGGGTGGTGCCGCAATCGCGCTGTCGATACTTGCAGAATCCGACGATAGTTATTTTTCACGGGGCTCAAAATTCGCCACTGAACCCAGGCCCACAGGCCAGCGGGAACCAGAAAAAAGAATGCGCAAAAAGTAAGCCACGGTTTTGATGAAGACTGTCTTTAGTGTTGAACGTAGTTGTGAATACCACCCGTCAGGCATCTCCTTATTCATCGCCAGCACCGTCTTCGCGGTCTTGGTGTTCTTCTTCGTCTTTGGCCTCTTCCCGTTCGTCTCCTTCCTCTCCTTCTGTGCGCGGTCTCTTGATGGTCTTCATGTCCTTTTGAATCTCTTCAATCGTTCGCCTATCCCTCTTTTGTGTGTTCAGCACGAACAAGGAGTTCGATCCCTGAAACCATTGATAAGTACAAGTGCACGAGGGCGACAGCTGTTCGCACATGCAGCGTGGAGGCACGTCACAGCGGTAAAGATCGCTTACCTGGAGCACACGAGCGTACGCCCCTGCATCCCTGTAGTTCTTCTGGGGCGAAGCTGCCGAAGGAAGAGGAGACGTTGGTGTATCTTTCGCAGCACTCTTTCGCTTGGCCAGCTCCACTTTCTTTCGCTCCAACTTGATTAACAGAGAGAGAGAGATACATCATTAGCGCTTGGGTTTCTTGTTTGAGTGAGGGGAGGGAAGGACCGCCCTACCTCTGCTTTGCGCTCTTCAGCCTCGGCCTTGGAGTTCTCGAGAATCTGCTCCAGGTCTATCTCAGTTGTCCCCTCTCCCACTTGCTGCCGCACGGAGCAGGGTAAGCATGTGATTGCAGCACCAAGCCCGAATGGTAAACGCGGGCATACTCGCATAAACAAGGCCATGCGAGGGAGAAAGGTCTACCGAGGCGATGACGCTGATCTCATCTGGCGATGGTGCTACGTCCTTCTTGAATACCACTGAGTACCGCCCCGGCAGCTCTTCTTCCTTGCCAAAGGAGTGGCTCGCCAGCTCGTGACTCTCGGCTATCTCGTGTCTGGTTGGGTATATGTTCGGCTTGAGCAGCAACAAGCACAAAAGGAAAACGTGCTGCAAGGGAACCCAATGCTGTCTGCACTGTCTCTGCTTCAAGAAGAGGCGGAACGTACAGGACTTGGCGGTAGTGCTTGGGAAGTGGTGGGAAGATAAGTTTCTTCCGTGCTTCGTCCTCGGTAAACCGCTGCATCTGATCTTCCGTCTGCGCTCGCCATTTGACAAGCGCCTCCTGCTCCGCTTTCTTTTGCCTCTGCAACCGTGCTCGCTCCTCTGCGCAGTGGAGAATTTGTTCGATTCAAATCATAATAATGAGCTGATTTTCTCGTTGAATTAAAATACCTCTTTCTTGCTTGCTGCTCGCAGCAGCCCGTTGGGTTGCCGTCTTATCCATTGACGTGAGAATGCTATCGAGCAGATCCATCGTGTGGCGCTATGTTGTTTCGCACGAGCCGGCAGGCTTGTGATTTCTTTGTCGATTTTTATTTTCTTTTTTTTCTTTTCCCAACACAACAGAAGACAAGATGGCGACTGGCAAGATCGTGGTGAAGGCGCTCGACATGGGCCAAGAGATCAAGGACGAGGCAGTAAAAGTTGCCAAGGAAGCCCTGGCCGAGCACAAGCTCGAACGTGACATTGCCAAGCATGTGAAGCAGACATTCGACAAGAGATACAGCCCTACGTGGCACTGCATCGTGGGCAAGAGCTTCGGATCCTTCGTCACCCACGAGACCAACGGCTTCATCTACTTCTACATCGACGACATCGCCTTCCTTCTTTGGAAATCTGGATAAATCGCTCCCATTCACATCCTCCCACGGTCGTCGCGAGAAAATTCTGGCCAAGAAGAAGCGCAACGCGTGTTGGCCCTCAAAGAACAGTTTTATGGCTTGTGTCGCTCTCACCCACCACACGCAGTTAACTGTTGGGTCACTCGGCGAGAAGCTCGTCGAGTTCGGCATCGTCGAAAGGCTCGGCGGCGCCGTTGATGTCGTCGATGCCGATCTCCTCCAGCTCCTTCTCGAAGTCATCGTCTTCGTTGGTGCTCGCGACCGGCTCGGGTTTCTGCTGCTTCTGCTGCGGCTGCGGCAGGGCCTTGGTCGTGGCGGCGCTCTCCTCTCGGGGACGCTTGACGCCTCCTTCCTTGGCACCAGCAGCACTTGCTGTTGCCTGCTTAATCGCTCCCTCGCGCATGAGCTCGTCGAGACTCTTCACCCCGAAGCTGGGTCTCGCCGCGGGGGCCTGGGATGGGGAGCCTGCAGAGTTCTTCTGCTGGCGAGCTGGTCGCTGCCTGCCGTTGGCCTCGCCGCCTCTCGGCGCCTGGTCGTTGGTCGATGTTCGCTGGGAGCTCATCTGCGGCAGCTGGGGTCGCTCCGACCTGGCTGGCCGGGCCTTCTCGGGCTGCTGCTGCTGTTGCGTCGCTGGGGCTCGCTTGTTGCGGACATTGTCGACGGCCTCGGTCCGGGACTGCCTCGGTTCGGAGGGCTTGATGCCCTTCTCCTGGTCCTCCTTCTCCTTCAAGATCTCCTCGAAGGACTTGACGAAGCTCTGCTTGGGCGCCGCGGCGCTGTCCTTCGCTCCGTTGCCGGTCTCTCCAACAGCCGTTACCCGATCTCGAGGGGGCAGATCTGGCAAGGCCGTGCCCCTCTTGCGAGGTGGTCTGACGGGTCCCGAAGCGAGCCGTGCGCCCGCTGCAGTCTTCATGACCGGCGAGATGGTCGCAGTGGGGCTGGTGGTGATGGAGGTGGTCTTGCTGGCCTCACGCGGTGTGAGTCCGGCCGTGAGCTCTGACTCCTGGTCGGGTCGGGGCGTGGCGGGCGACGCAGTGGTGCCCACGTGGAAGAAAGGGCAATCGGGCCTCGTGCAGGCTTGGTTGTAGAAGCACAACGTGCGCGAACCGTCCTTCTAATGAACGCAACGTTGAACCAAGAGCGTACGGAAACTCACGTGAGCTCGAGCTGCAGGCCAAGCGCTAAACCGAGGATCAGCACAAAGAGTTCAGTCCCGTACCTGGCGCGGGAGAGTGGGGTGCCGGTCGGTGCAGTCGGGGTCGTTGCATTTCTCGAGCAACCAATTAGTGCAGATGGGACGATCCTTCACCCCCTCCAGATGTCTGAATTCGCATCCGTTGCCCTAGAATTGACCGCAACGTTTAGGATCATAATCCTCTGGTCATCTGTCTCTGCGTGCGTTGGCGTACCTTGCTGCAGTAACCATTGAGGAAAAAGTAGCAGTCCTCTGTCTTCTTGTTCTCCATTGCGGCCAAATCTGATGTGCAGGAACAGTTAGTTGGCTGCTGTTGCGCAAGAAGGGCAGTTGCGATGAAAACCTACCTGTACTGGAAATGAAAGGAAGGACTGATCTGTCGAAATGTTAGTTGGGGAGGCGCGGAGATGGTGGAGATGCTTGATAGAAGCGCGCAGATGAGGCTGATGTAACTGACTGATGTAACTCCCAAAATTATCCATCGTCATCAGCTAGCGATCGATAACTTCGCGAGGTCGAGCGAACAATAAGATGCTTCGAGAGGTTGCGCCACAAGCTTAATTTTCTTTGCGATGCCCATTCGAATCGATGGAGGTCGCGAGTTGTTGGCTCCAAGTGGAGGGAAGCGAAGAACGGATGAAGATGGCTGCGCAGGGTGCGTAACGGTAACCGTACCACAGATGCGATCGATGCTGTTGTGGCTCTGCTCCTGGGTAGATTTTGGTTCGATTTTCGGCCTGAAAAAGGCTTTTGCTGCGCCTTTTCTGTGTCCCCCACGGACGCAACAGGAAGAAGGCGAAGGGGTCGTAGAATACAGCTGCGAGCGTGACTTTATTTGAAGCGTAAAGGGGTAGCTCGATTGTACAGAGGAAACAATGTTGCATGTTGGTAAAGGGGGGTCTCTATGGGGTAGGCGGTTGGTGAAAAGGGAGGAGGAAGACCTACTTCTCGCCGAGGCCGAAGTAGGCGTAGATACTCAGATCGAGCACGGTGATCTCGTCGAAGCACTTGCTGTTGTCGAAGCCGCCGTAGACGAACAGGCGCGAGTCGTAGTAGGTGGCGGTGTGGTAGCCTCTGGGCTGAGGCGACGTGCCGGTGTGCGGCAGGGACGTCCATTCCTGACCCCGCACGCTGAGCACGTCGAGCTCGTTGACGTAGTCGGTGCCGTTGTGGCCTCCGAACGCGAAGACGGTGTTGCCGATGGCGCTGACAGTGTGACCGAGACGAGGCTTGGGGTTGATCACCTTCTGCTTGCTCCATGTCGACGACACCGTGTCGAAAATGGCCACGTCGCTGAAGCACTCCTGGCCGTCGGAGCCTCCGTAGACCAGTATCTTGTTGTTGTCGAGCAGACACGACGCGTGATAGCCCCTGGGCGGAGGGACGTCCCCCTTGACCTCACAGTTCCGCCACGCCAAGAGGTCCGTGTCTGTGATAGAACGGCATCGTTCAGTTATTCCACACACTCCTCCAAAAAAAAGGGGTCGCGCCGCGCTTGCCGACGGCAGCAAGCCCACAAGGAGTAAGTGGAGTGGAAGGTACCGAGAATGAAAATGTCGTTGAGCGCCTTGCGTCCGTCGCCACCGCCAAAGATGTACAGGTCCTTGCCGACAAGTGTCGCCGAGTGCGCACGTCGCGGCCCCGGCCCTGCGTGCGCAGTGTCGCCGCTTTTAGTACGTGCGGGGGGGGGTATATTCATTCGATCATCCTTTTCCCTCCTAAATCGCATTAGGGGGGAGGGAGTACCGGTGCCGGTAACTTTGGGCTGCGACCAGGCCATGGTCTTGGTGTTCAAAATAAAGAGCGTGTCGAAGTAGTTCGGGCCGTCGCCGCCCCCGAAGACGAAGATGTCGCAGCCGTTCTGGACCAGAGTGGCCGAATGGGCTCGGTGGGGTCCGAACTCGGCCGAGCCCCGCACCTCTGGCTTGTACCAGAAGAACGTATCCGCGTCGAAAACCGTCACGTTGTTGAAGGAGTCGTCCGACGCCGAACCCCCTATCACGAACAGCTTCGATCCCACGCGCGTGGTGGTATGCGACCGCACCCCCGGGGGCTTGGTGCCCTCATACGTCGCCGACGACCAGTGCATAGTTCTCTCTTCCTCAAGTTTTATGCGTGTTGAGTTTCGTGTCGTGCTTTTGTCGATTCATTAATTTGATCTCCGCCTCCTTAAGGATACAAAGGGGAAAATAAATTAAAACAAAACTAGCGAAGGAAAAGGATTCCAATCGAGGGATCAAATCAGAATTCGGGCCATGTTCAAGCCTAATCCGGGTTTTGAGGCGATCGACGCCTTTCTCTTCCCACCGGACGAGGTGCGTACGCCCTCGCTTCTTGCTTGGCACCATGGGGCTGCCGTTCACAAGGCCGCGAACAGGAGGAAGTGCCGAATCCGTTTCGCAATGAGCAGCATTCGTCCAGTCAAGCCGAGACGCAGACACCAGAACACGACGTCGCTGTGATTACGGCGGCTGATGAGCCGCTGCATCACCTGCACATATCGTCTGTCGAGGCCACCAAGGAGCTCATCTCCTGCCTGCAGGAAGATGGTAGCCACTTCTACTTTTATTTATTTATTTAATCTTATTAAGCAGTGTTTTGCATCTTCTTCTAATCGCTTGTGGGCAGCGCTGAAGAGGTATACGTGGCACAGCAATGGGCTGCTGTGGACCGACTTCACCCGCTACACGTGTGGCTCGATCGTACGCAGCTACAAGCTGCTCCTCTACGCGCGCCATCCAGCGCTTACTGCCGTACGGAACACCTTGCAGGACTTCACGCTGGGCTACCTCGGTATGTGCTCTGCCTTTGCCTTTCCATGCCCTCTGCAGCTGCTCATTTAGCTCTTCTTGTAGACGAAGATGTTCAGAACAACACGGTACGTGCTACTGCACGCAACAAGGAATCATTCACACGCACACGCTTGACTGACCTCCTTCTTCAATGGTCGGCTTCTCATGAATTGCAGTATTTGAGGAAGGAGCAATTTGAGCGGTTCAAGGAGAAGATCTTCACCAAGGACAACTACGATAAGGTCCTGCAACAGATCACCGCCTACGGACAACGAGAAAAAAACAACGCCGAAGCGCTGCAGAAGGAGCTGCGGGTACTTTTCCCTCTCAACATCTCACCCCTCGTGTTTTCCATTCCTTACCACCTCCATGCCGCAGGAAGTGCTGCGAGAACTGGTGGTCGTAATCATGAGCTCGTGGGGCGTGGCCGAAAGACCTGCCCAAAAGTTCGCGGAGGACTTCTTTGTCGAGCGCTTCGACTACGACAACGTCATGCGCAAGCTGGCCCTCACGAGCATGGGCAAACTCTACCTCCCTTTCTGGACGGCGGCCATCGTGAGGTGAGTTTCGCAGACTGCACAACCACCAGATGGCTGTGCTTCACTGTGCTAATGCTCCTCTTCATGCTTCCTGATAGTCTGGGCGTGGTCACCTACGTGTATATGCAACGGTTAATCCTCCAATTGGCTGAAAGCTACTTCATGCACGACAAGCTCGTGTTCTTCAATCACGTTAACCCAGGTACGCTGGCATCTCTCCTACCACTGGTGATCACGTGTCTGGAGTTCTAAGCAATAGCGTAAACAGATTACTACGGCCGGCTTGCGGTGGCGTGCCTGGAGACGTCAATCTACGACTCGAGCACCTGGGAGGAAAAGCGTTCTCTGTTGGCATTTATCATGGACACCCAGGTCTGGCAACTCTTGTTGCGTTGCAAGCATGGCTCTCACACAATGCTAACTCAACATGTTCTTGGTGGTGTGTGCATTGTAGGTCTCTGAGCATCGTTCAACTGCGCTGGCAAGCAGCGAGAAGCTGGTCCAAAGCTATCTTCGGCGCTTTGACAAGGCCAAGAACGAGTACAACTCCACACCGTACTTCTTGGGTACCTCCTGCCTTTGCTGCTTAGTCTTCTTCTCGAGCCCTATTCTCAAGCGCCCCCAATCGCATGTGCAGTTGATCCTCTTGAGGTTGTAGGCGACGGCCCGGCGCTGGTCATCTTTTCGCATTTGGATCTCTTTAGGTACTCTGCTTTGGACCTGGGCGCTCAGCAGAGTTGCTTTTATCTCACGACTCCCTCTTTGGTCTGTGCAGCCTGCTTCGAGTTGGTGCAGTGTGCAAGAACTGGCGAGTCAAGTCCCTTAACGAGGAGCTTTGGAACAAAGGGTATCCAACACTCACAGTGAGCATACACTCCCAGCTTCCTCGACAACCGGTTTACGTGTGCTTATTCAGGGCGGAATACGGCGCATCGACGGAGATGGACGGAGCTTCGGAGGCCGTGCCCACCGTTCCTCGCTTCCCGCCAACGCACAGAGGCCGAGGTACGTCGCGCTCAGTGACCGGAAGAACGGGGCGTCGTGTTAATGTCGTATTTGTTGTTTTTTTTCCCCATGCACAACAGCCCTGCACGAGATGCGTAATGCTATCTTGGTGCGAAAGAGCATCTACTTCGAGGTCAAGCTCAAGTCGCTGTTGTGTGGCACGCCCTTCGACGAAGTGCGAAAGGACATCAGCATGCAGAGGAAGAAGAAGATCAAGGTCCTTATTCGCAAGGTTGGTGCCCTCAGCGAGAAGGCCGGTGTGTCCAAGGAGACCGGGCAGAAGATGGAAATGGAGGGCGAGAGGTAAGTGATGCCCCCCTGGACCGGTGCATGAAGCTCTAGCTGATAAGCTTAACCTGGTCATCTCCACGTGCCACACTGACAATTACGCTCAGGCTTGTGGACAAGTGGCTCTCGTGGGACCCTTGGATCCTCCAAATTCCTCCATCTATGAAGGGAAAGTATGTACCAGCCCCACGCCTATTTCGATGACCGCCACACTCACGCGCACGCAACACTCTGCAGGGAAGACATCATCACGGTCGTCTTCGCGTCTAATGAGTTTGGCCACATCAGCATCGACTTTGTGCTCCGCGTTGAGGCGGTTCGACCCTTTCCCCAATGTTCATTTGGCCTGGGTCACCCAGGTTGCACTCACTCGTTTCTGGTCGACATATCGCAGGCCACTGAAATGAACAAGATGACCATGCCGGGCCTTCAAACCCTCTCCACGGTACGTCCGGAGATACCGTGAACCTTATTCTCTCGGCGGCCCTTCATTCTGACGCTAGCGTTTTACTGTCGCAGGGCCATGTGCAGTTGGATGACGTGCTACGGCACTGCCTCAATTGGGACGGAGTGTGCCCACTTTTCGCCAATGGTACCGCTCAAACACCAGTGCATGCCAGCCAGGTGGCGATTTCTCACATGCCACCGCCGCACCAGGTCCTCGCATTCAGCCCATCATCTATGTGGAGCCGTTCCTCCGATTCATCGAGACCAATTTCTGGAGCAAGTGGTGGCGGAAAGGAGCAAGGAAGCTCACCCTCAACAACTATCTCAACTTCACCTGGACCTATGCTCCGCCGCCCGCATCGTTGAACGACTCAGGTAGATGTGCTTGCAGCGCAGCGCATGACAGGGCCTCAGTGCTGATCGTCAGTCGTTATCGTGTGTTGCGCTCAATCCAGGTGCCGTACTTCTCCAAGACATGAAAGAATGGGCGCAGGAGAGGAAAGCGGCCGAGGATCAGCGCGGGCGTCTTAGTGGGCGGAAGGCAAAGACGCTGCTCGTGGAGGCCGAGGAGGATGGCAGCAAGGCCAAAACTCAGCAACCGGCTGTCAGACGAGAGAGCGATGCGGAACTGAAAGCCAAGGCGGGAGGCGGAGTAGAGGCTCTCTTCAGCATTACCGACATTGTCGTCGACGCGCAAGAGAAAGAGGAACTGCGGAAGCTGCTGGCCGAGGATGAGGGAGAAGAAGAAGAATCCAAGGGCGACGCAGCACCGGTGGAGGCGACGAAAGACCGTGTGGCCGACGCGACAGCGCAAGGTAGTGATGCCTCACCCACGGATGAGGCGGTGAAGAGGAAGATCGATTGGCGGAAACAGGCTACACTGCAGTGTGGACAGAGTATGCTCTACGTGGACGAGGCCCCCGCGCCAGGTGCCGACGGCGAGGACGACCTGGCCGCTCTGATGGAGCGGAACAAGGTCAAGGCCAAGGAGATGGGCACCAACGTCGGTTCCGTCACCAACTCCAAGGGTCTTTTCGTCATGGAACGGATCGACTGGATCGAGGAGCTGTTCGTCCTCCGGGCTGCCGGAAGCGGGAGGAACATCAAGGTCAATCTCAACGGCGATCTCACGGTCTGCGACGAGCCGCCCTCTTCGCCCTCCATGTCGACCTACGTCTCGACACAGAGTAGCGCGTCTACATCAGCGTCGTTCCCGACTACGTCTCTGCGGGTGTCCTCGGCCACATCGTCCTTGTCGCCACAACAACAGGCATCGCGCTTCATGCTGCCGCCCACGTCGCCCTCATTCACAGAGTCCATCACGTCGTTCTCGACGAGCATCGCCTCCTCCCTGACCGCCACCTTCAACGAGACGCTGCCGCCGCTCATCACTCCGTACTCGTCGATCTACTTCTACTTCGACTCTGCGTACTCGTTCTTCGACGAGGAGCGGATCTTCCGGCGGGAGCGACAGGACCGAAAGACGTTCGCCTTCAAGAGCTACTACACGGGCAAGTACCTCACGATCGAGCCCGACGGGCGGGTGAGCGCCGCGTCCGACGACATCGGGCCGCGCCAGAAGTTCCAAGTCAGCTACAAGTGATTCTTCCGGCGCTCTTGTACAGTTTTTTGCTGTGAGTATACCTCCGTTTGTTTCGGTCAGTGGGCACAACTTGGGCTGACTCTCGACAAGTGCTGGCTTGGTCGTCGAAAGTGGAGTGGTTGTGTGCTACCCGTGCGCAGGGGTCTCGAGTTCTCCTGCACCGTGTGGGCGAGCAGTATGCAAGCATGTCCAGCCGGGCTCAAGGTACTGGCGTTGCAGTGCACTGCCGTTTTTGTTTTTTGACAAATCCCAATTTGGAGGTGGCGCGTGTTGTGCTCAAATAGTGCGGCCTTCCTTATTTGGTAACAAGTTGCGTAGCGGCAACAACACGATATTCTGGAGAGGGCCTCAACTGGCGAGAGAGGTGTGAGGAGCAGTTGGAAAGAAGCTGAGATTCATCTATTGCCTTGCGAGAGATAACCCACGAACTGACCGGATTTCCTCCTCTACGTCTCTCTAGACCGGCCAGCATCGCGCTTTCGAAAGTGAGGAATTGGCAATCAATAGACGACACCCGAACGTGGACGAAAAGGCAACTGAGGCATCAATGAGCAAGCGAGTATAAAGCGCAGCCCAACGACGACGTAGTACAGAACGAACATGGAAGAAACCGGCGAGGCGCCAGCGAACAAGCGAACTGGGAAGGGCAGGCGAAGGAGGAGGAACAAGAAGGGCGGTAAGGCAATGCCTTCAGATGATGGGGAGCAGCGAAACGAAGAAGTGGCGGTAGAAGACAACAAGGTCGAGGATGAAGGAAGAGGAGACGAAGCAATGGAAGTTGAAGAGGGATCGATGGTGATCGGAGGGCAGGAAGGAGAAACCGGAGAGGAGGAAGGCGAGATGATCGATTTGCGCCGCAGCGGATCGGAAATCGCCAGGCAGGTGGTGGTGAACGGTGCCGAGGCCGAAGTAGAACCGGAGGTATCGAATCTAGAGCGAAGCGACAGCGGTATCGTCATCGGCGGCCGGCGGGAGCGAGGCGGCGGCCAGGAGAACGACAAGAAGCGGAAAAGCATCCTCAACAAGTGGATCTCGCGGGATCCCTCACCCATGCCGCGCCACCGCAGCGCGTCGGAGAACATCGTCGGGTTCCAGCGCGGCCCCAACGGCACCCTGCTGGGGATGGGAGGCGGGCGGGATCGAAGCGGGCTCGGACTGGTCGGCGGCGAGGGTGGCTTGGCCGTAGGCGGCGTGGCTGCGGGCCACCGGGACATCAGAAGCTTCAGCGCGTCGGCCGTGCACCATAGCGCGGAGCACGCGGCAACTATTGGCCCCTTTGCCTCCTCCGCCTCGTCGGTGGGACTGGCACAGCCGCACCACTACGGAGGCAGCAGTGTACGGCGAGCCATTATGGGTGGCAAGGGCAAGGAGCGGATGAACCTCGGTGACACCTTCGACATGCTCTTCAAGAAGAAGCCCAAGGCCGAGAGCACGCCCACGCTCCCCTCCATCCCCTCCTTCGTCCTCACCGACAAAAACAGCTCCAGCTCCAGGAGCGGCACCGCCGCACCCTGCCTCTCTCCGTCCGGCGACCAACGCGGCTACCTGTCGCCCCTCCACTACCCCGGCTCCGGCATAGAGCACAGCGACGGTTCGCCCAGCCTTCTCTTTCCACCACTTCCCAATGCCCTCTGCTCCAAGACGACGAGCCGATGGACTATTGGACTGACCAAGGTTGGTCGGGGTGTAGGATGTGGCAATGTGCCGGACTTCGGGCGGTCGCGCAGCAATTCCCTTCCGGCGCGGAACCGCAGCATGTCGTGCCCGATCCCCACCGATGGCGACTCCTCCGCAAGCCAAGAGCTGGCTTTGGAAGAAATCATCTGTAAAGGTGCAACTGGTTCTCCAACTCGAGAATGTCATGCGCATACCGTTTGCTTTGACTAATCACATTACACCAAACCAAACAGAGATCTTCGAGTTGATGGTGGGCTCGGGTATCAATCACAACAACTCCGTCCTCAAGTCTAAAGTGTTCTTTGGTGCCTATCCACCAGCACCTCTCCGCGCGCGCTTCGATTGCGGCCTCTGATCTACAAGAGCGCCCGACTCACGAATTCCCGATCCCAACAGCTTCGGATGCGGTGAGTTGGATGGTCAAGTCCCGCACGGTGCAGGCCAGGGAGGCCGGCGTGGTCCTATGCAGGAAGATGGCCAGCAGAGGCTACCTCCTTCCGCTGCACAACAGCAAGGAGTTCCACGACAACTCGGTCCTGTGGAAGATCAAAGTACGCACTCACCTTCGTGTGGTTGTTTCGTGTGATGTGCTTACCAATCATCGCCTCTTGCGCGTTGACTGATAATCGGAACTGGAAAAGGATGTGGAACCCGCGGTGGGCGAGAAGAGGTACAAGAGGGACAGCCACAACCTGGGCCGACGCTCGACGTCGGACAGCCAGGTGCACAACTTCTGCGGCGAGCTCGGTGAGGGCCAGCTCTACGAGGTGAGCGAGCAACTCTTCCACCCCGAGTCGGGAATCACCCTGCGGGAGAGGCGACACAAAAACAAGGTGTACTACAAGTGCTTCACAGGTAACTTACCTCTTTTGGTTATCTGGCTGAGCATTGAGCATTGAGCTGACACTGTGTCGCCGGCGACTACATCTGTCAGGTTCGGATGTGGTAGACTGGATGATGACGCACCTGCCCATCAAGAGCCGGAGAGAGGGCGTGGAGCTGGGCAAGCGGTTGATGGCGGCCAACTACTTCTCCTTCATCGACGCCGAGGGAGCCCAACAATTCAAGGACCGAAAAGTCTTCTTCTGTCTGCGAGTACGCTCCTCTCTCCCCTCTCTACCGCCTTGCGTACTTGAGTACCAACCATCGTGCGCCCAGGATGATTTCGGAGGGACACAGAAGGCCGCGGTTGGTCGGCTCTTTGTGAAGCTCATATCGGCGGAGGAGCTCGGGAAGAAGCTTGGTACGCACCTATATCGAAACACACGCACTAACGTTGCTTGTCTGACCTAATCGCCATCTACTACACGCACCAGGCGCAAATAACTACTACTGCGAAATGAGTCTCGGGCTGCAGAAGACACTCAGCAGCTCGTTTGCCAAGCCGGAATGGAACGAAGAGTGCGAGTTGTACGTGGTACCCCCTCGGTCTGTTTAACCTCCCTCGCGTATCTCACAAGGACACTCATTTCTTGTGCAGCGCCGTATGGTCCGATTCGCTAGACAACACACTCAACGTGGAGCTGTGGATCGTAGCAGATTCGACAGCTCCACAGCGCTTGGCTAAGGTCAGCTCCTCACCTTTGTCCTGTGTGCCATCGTTGTGGTCATCCACAGTGCTGACCAATGAGAACGGGAACAGGTAGTGGTGGAGAACATAACGTCTTACAATACTGGCAAGCCGAAGCCGTGCACATTCAAATTCAAGCGTGGCCTGTTGGGTAGCGAGAAGGGCCAGATCAACCTCACGCTTCACTATATCCCCAACAATGACATCTCCGCCTTCAAGAAGCTTGAAGCTGTACGCCTCCTCCCCATGCATATTAGAAATCAGTTACGTTTTCTAATCGCACGCACGCACGCACGCAATCGTGGGCCACAGCTTTTGTGCAGCGATTTCCTGCTGGTGCGATCCATATTCAGCGCCATGATGGGACGGTCGCGGCTACAGACCGAGAGCTCCTATTCTACGAGCGATCGGCTGAACCAAGGCGACATCGCCTCGGCGCTCGTCCACATCTTCAACCAGAACGGCCTCCTGCTGGGCTTGCTGCGATACATGATCCACATGGAAGTGGAGAACACAGGTAACCCGCCGACCCTCCAGCACACATTAGGCAGCTTGTTTACTGGCCTTTGTGTTTGGTTTATGGTGCGCAGCCAGCGAGAACCTGCTATTCCGAGACGAGTCGCTCAGCAGTCGAATGATGTCGATCTTCTCCAAGCTCATCGGGCGTCCCTTCCTCCACAAGCACCTGCAGCCGCTTCTTGCACAGGTCCTCGTGCCCGAGTTCGATCTCGAGGTTCGTGCTTCTGGCCATCCTGCCACATTCGAATGGAGAAATTGACCTTTTTGGTTTGCTGTGGCATGGCAGATCAATCCGCGCACTGTGCCGCCTGACGAGTTGGAAGTAAACCAGGGCCGATTGCTGGGCACGGCACAGCAGTTCTTCGACTCGATCATCGGCTCGCTCGACGAGCTCCACTAGTAAGACTCTCAAACCCATCACTCTCTGCACTCTCGATAGATGGCAGAACTCAGCAATCTTGTTGTTGCTGTCGCCTCCCCTCCACGCAGTGCTTTCAAGGAGGTGAGCAGATGCCTGTTCGAGTCGGTCCAGCACCGATTTCCGGACAGCAGATACAAAGTGGTGGGCAGCTTCTTCTTCCTCAGGTACTCCCCTCCACCGGTTTTCCCTCTCGTCGTGGTGGGCGTCTCAGCTGATCGATCGATGCACCACCTGTTATGATGGTCCCTCAGGTGGCTGTGCCCCTCCCTGGTGACGCCCGACGCGTTCGGGTTGATCGACCAGAAGCTCGAGAGCAAGAGTCGGCGGCGGCTGGTGCTGATCGCGAAGGTGCTCCAGAATTTGGCCAATGAGGCCTATTTTGAACAGAAGGAGGAGTACATGAAATGCTCCAATGTCTTCATTGAGAGCAACCTCGACAAGATGCATTCGTTCTTCGATAGCTTAGTGGTACGCGACACTTCTCGCACATCTGCGCAGCACATGCCAACTGCTCACCACGCACGCGGTGGCGAACGAGCAGGAGAAGGACCAGGAGAACGAAACGGAGAGTGGGCGATGGACCTCGATAGCGCCTGCAACGCGGGCGCACCTGGAAGCGGTGTACTACTACCTGCAGCAGAACTACGGGAGCATCTCCAACGAGATACGACGGACCGAATCCGAACCGACGCTAGTTGTGATGACGCCTCTGTCTGCGCGCTCCGAACTTGAGCTTAGGCGAAGAGAATCCCAGGTACATTCCTCTCCTGAAACACGTCGCCATGCCGCGAACAGGAGGAATGCTGACCACGATGGGTTGGTGTTGCAGGAGAGCATGATGGCGACGTTGGACGAGGTGCTGAAGGAGCTGCAGGATCTCAGCAAAAAGGGACAAATAGCGCGGTCCTCCCCAACATGAAGCAAACAGGAGAACATGTCGGGTGACTCGTATGACGCAATACACCAACAACAATACTTTTGATCGCTGCGAGGAAAAAAGGCCTGGGCCCAGGATTTCCGGCCATTTTCTTCAATCTGTGCTGGAAATGCTCCACCAACCCTTCTCGCTCAGTCTGAAAATGGGGAAATGCTCCATATCGACCAAACCTATGACAAGATGTCTCCACGAACAAAATAGTCCATTACCGTACTTTCAGGCACAACGAGAACACCAGGCGATGGCGCACAAGCAAGAAGAGAGGGAGTACGACGTGCTTGTGTGGGGCGCGACCGGGTTCACAGGCCGGCTGGTAGCGCAGTACATGGCGGGGCGCGCCAAAGCTGCTGGCCTGCGCTGGGCCGTGGGCGGCCGCAGTGCCGCACGACTGGCTGAGGTCAAGCGCGGGCTGGAGGCCACCCACGGTGAGCTCGACGAGGTGGGAGTGGTCACGGGCGACTCGACTAACGCGGCCGACATGGAGGCGGTGGCGCGTACGACCAGAGCTGTGATAAGCACTGTGGGTCCCTTCACCAAGTACGGCACGGCGCTCGTCGCCGCCTGCGTCAAGGTTGGCACCCACTATGCAGACATCACTGGCGAAGCGTACCTTGCCCTTCCCACTTGACGTTTCCTCTGGGTCTTCCACTCACCCAGGATTGAGAGATTTGACTAATCATACGAGACAACACAACTGTCGTGGCTCTTTGTGGCGCGACTAAAGGCCTTGGGTAAGGAGTCTCATCGACAAGTACCACGCAGAGGCCAAGGAGAAGGGCGTGTGCATCGTGCCCATGTCCGGGTACGCACAGCCACGCGCTACACGCCCACTCGGGCGGCATTTCCCTGCTGACAACTCTACCCCCGTACCCCTCTGTACAGCTTCGACTCCATTCCCGCTGACATAGGAACGTTTATGCTGGCCGACTACGTGGCCAAGGCACGCCTCCCGTGGGCACACGTCCCGTTCGTGGCTAGTGCGGTGGTGGTCTGACGGTGAGTGGGTGCGTGCGGAGTGCAGAAGTACGGAGCACAGCTGGGCGCGGTGGAGGCCCTGGTGAGGCTCAACGGTGGGTTAAGTGGCGGCACCGCGGCGTCGATGATGGAGATGGCGAGCCAGGGCTCGGGCGGAGGCAACACGCGGTTCCCGTTTCTGCTCAACCCACGCGGCCAGTGGTCCTCCCTCCGCGTCACGCCTCTCGACAAGGACCACTTCCTTCCCTTCTACCACCCCGTCACCAAGTGCGTGCTCTGCAGCCGTTTTCTCTTCGTGCACCGGGGGGGGGGGAAGTGATGTTCACTCGACGAGTGGTTCTGTTCGTGGTGCCTGCAGGACTTGGACCAACTTCTTCATCATGGCCCTGGTCAACACCCGCGTTGTGCGCCGCTCGAACGCTCTTCTGGGCGACGCCTATGGCCCCAACTTCCACTATAACGAATACGCCAAGGCGAAGGGTTCTCTCTCTCTCTCCTCTGTTGCTCCGCGAGTGATCTGGCGCTTACGAGCTTACTCGCGTCCCTCCTCTCAGGATTGTTGATGGCCATCCTGTTCACCGTGGCCCTGTTCATCTTCGGCATCATGCTCCGGGTCCGTTTCACCAGGGAGCACGTGCTGAAGAAGCTCCTGCCTGCCCCTGGCGAAGGTCCCAGGTACGCCACGCCCTCTCCACGCCCCTTGCCGTCTCATAACTACTATGGACAGAATAAATAAGCAAATATATACCACACAAAACGAGTTGGCTCACCGTTGCGCGGCGGCAGTGAGGAGAAGAGGGCCAAGAGCAACTTCAGGTACGAGCTCTACGGTCAGGTGGACTACAGCAAGAGCGAGGAGCAGGTACGGCACAGTGTGACTACACCTCCTCGCGACGACATTGACGCGCGCCGCGCACCACCTCGCGACGCACAGGCCGAGGGCAGGCCCAAGATGGTGAAGGCTGTGGTGTCGGGCAGGGACCCGGGCTACACCGAGACCGCCGTCATGCTCTCCGAGGTGGGTATTGCGCTTGCCGAACTCAGCTCCCGCGGCGAGCTGCCCGTCAACCCGGCCGTGGGCTCCGGCGGCATCCTCACCCCGGCTTCGGCGCTCGGCTCTCAGCTCGTCCAGCGCCTTCAGGCCGCCGGCCTCAAGCTCCACGTCGAAGATCTGCATTAAGCACCACTTCACCCCCTCCCCCCTTCTTGAGACACTTCTTACAGAATCTATCCATTCACAGCTAAGCTATGATTTATGCTAAGGCTCGGTGGTGACGGAGAAGCCGGTGAGGAGGTCGAGCAGGACGTCGGACGGTTGCGCCGCACGAACGAAGCCTGACGCGGCACCGACGCCGTGTGCGCCCAGCCGCAACGCCGCCCGCACGTCGTGCTGGTCCTTGACGCCCGCACCGACCAGCACTGCATGCAGCCCACAGTGAGTACACATTCGATCGCCCCGAGCGGCCCAGCAGCGCATGGGAGTGGTACCTTTGGTGCGGCCGTTGGTGAGGCGGCGCACGAGCTCGACCACGGACACGATCAGCTCGGGCCGGGCCTTGGCCACCGAGGTGTCGGCCGACGCGATCAGCTCCTCCGGCTCGTAGCCGATCCACTCGGGGCGGTCGTCGTCGCCCAAGCTGGCGAGGAGGGCCTCGACTTCATCAAGCGAGTTGGCCCACACCAGCACCTCGAGCCCGGCGCGGTGGCACTGCTGCACCGTGCGCTGGAGTTGGTCGGGGTCGAGCTTGTGTTCGGCGTGGTTGAGCATGGTGCCCGTGGCGCCGGCCTCGCGGGCCACCTCGGCCGGGCACCAGCCTGTGGCCCGCCCTCGCTCCTCTCCGTCGACGTGCTGTGCCCACGCACTGGCCACCCCCTCGCATGCGGTCGTCACCACCAGGCGCAGGTCCACCAGCTGCGGACACACCACCAGCCTGGGCGCCGCACCGCCGCTCTCGGTCGTCTGTGCCGTGAAGGTGTGAAGAGCTGCCACAGCCTGGCGGGTCAAGCCCACCGCCGCGTCGCCCGTCGCTTCTCTGTAGGTCTTGTAGCTCACCAACAACATGTCTCGTGCAGCAGCAAAGAAAAAGGAAAGAGAAAGAGAGAGAGAGAGAGAGAAAAGAAACACGCAACCATCTTGCAGATGTTGAGGTGGGCCTTCAACTTCGAGAGGTGGCAACCGACAGAGGCGGAGTGGTCGGCTGCCCTGGCACTGGTGCCGCCTTCCGAGCAAGATCGCATCGGCCGCTTCAAGCGCCCGACGCGGCATGCCGGCCTGCTGGTGGGCCGGCACAACCCCGACGCCAAATCGGCCCTGGTCGGCCGGCTGCTCATCCTGCTGGCCGCCGCCCAGCATCGCCCACACGCCCCACTCGACGCCCTCCGCTTCGAGCGAACGCCGCAGGGCAAGCCCTACCTCGCCCTCGATGCCCGTGAGTCGTCAGGCCCCGTGGCAGTGGAGCACTTCAACTTCAACGTGTCGCATGCGGGAGAGTGGGTGGTGCTGGCGGCCGAGACGACGCACCTGATCGGTGTCGACGTGATGAAGGTGGAGCTGCGCGGCAGCAACCCATCGCTCGACCAGTTCTTCCACGACATGCGCAGCTGCTTCACGCCCCTCGAGTGGCAACACATACGACAGGCTTCCACCGGTGACGCCCCACTGCAGCTGGATCGCTTTTTCAGGCACTGGACCCTCAAGGAGGCCTACATCAAGGCCGTCGGGATCGGCCTCGGCTTCGACCTCCAGCGCGCGCAGTTCCACTGTCGGGAGGTGGCCGACGGCGGCGGGCTGTGCGCGACGGCGACGGTGGAAATCGATGGGGCGGAGAGGCGGGAGTGGACGTTCGAGCTGGAGTACCTCGACGCCCACCACCTCGTCGCCGTGGCTCGCGGCCCGTTCGCGCAGGCGCTCGACGGCTACAGGCAGGCCATCGGTGTGCCAGAGGAGGAAGAGGAAGAAGAAGTGGCGACAGAAGCTCAGCAATCAGAGGAAGAAGTGAGGCCGTACCGAGCGTGGCGCGTGTGGACATTCGAGGGGCTGATTCGGCACATCACCCAACGACAACATGACCCGCGAGAGTGATGTGACCACGTAGAGCGGATGGAAAGTAGAGACAAAGTACTCTTGCATCAAACACCAAAAGGGAAACAGACCACGGCGCACTGGGTCGGGCTCTCTCATTTGCCGGCTGCCGTGGCCTCCTCCATGGCCGTGTTCCTGTGCACGTACTCGAGGTTGGCCGCGATCTGCCGCATGTCGGCCTCGATCGTCCGCGCCCAGCTCTCAATGTCGCCGATCTCCTGATCACCGCAGCGCAGCGCGTGTGTGCCAAAGCGAAGCGTTGGAAGGCGAAGGAAGGCGCCAACTTGAGGGGAGAAGGAGGCTACCTTGAGAGACTGGTTGAAGCCCTCGATGAGCTGGAGCCACTGGGCGGTTTGCTTGGAGAAGCGTTCGGTCTGGGTCTGGAGCTGCACGGCCTGCACTTCGATCTTCTTCTGGTTGGTGAAGACCTTGGAGACGCCGATGTTCACCGAGTCCACCATGCACGCCGACACCTTGTCCACAGACGTCACCGCCTTTTTTCGCCTCACCTCTGCCCACCCCCATTAGAGGATTGATTTTATTGTAAAAAAGAACGATATCAAGAAATGAATACAATAGATGGAAAAGATTGGTAGGCACCATTTTCTTGTTTGAGAAGCTCCTGCTTTTGTTGATGCTCCTTCAGCAACACGGCCAACATCTTGTGCGGATCAGGAGCGCAAGGTTTTCGTTTTGATTTCTTTTTCTCCTCAGCCTTTTCTCTTTTGCCTCTTCGCGAGGAAAGGCGGGCCATGGACGCGCTCGAGGCGCTGTGCGATGGAGAAGGCAATGTGCAGTGGGATGTCTTCTATAGAGAGCTGAGAAGGACGAACTTGGCAGCTGTCGCTGATCAAGAGTGGGTGTTTAAGATCATGTTGGGCGCCCACACCAACGGCGCCCGACTCCACGTCCGTAAGCTGTGCGTAGTGTCCTCCTTCTTTGGATCCCTGGTCACGGATGCTGGGCTGCAGGCTGCGCTACGCTTTTACCGGGACAAGGTGGCAGGCAGACCTAACAAGCAGTTGGACAAGAGCACAGGGTACCCTCGCTTGAGTCACCGCACCGCTTGGGCTTCACGTGATTGATGGCGGAGATGCAGGTGGTTCCATGGGGTGTTGCTTCCCGAGGAAGAAGCTGAGTTGTTGGCACTGTCCGCCCCTCGAACTGTCATCGCTTCCATTGCTCCAAGCCCGCCCTTCACCGTGGCGTTCACCTACACTGACGATCACGACAACAACACAAGAACAAGCACAACTCTTCACTCCATCCCCTTCGCCTACCATCCGTAGCCGCTTACCATCTTCACCATCCACGTCGACTTGGCTGATGAGGTCAACCTTTGTTTGTACCAACAGGGACCGAGGCGTGTTCACGGGCGTTGACGTGCAGCACCCGGACTCGGGCGATCGAGAGTACGCCACGCTGAGCGACGTCATGGCAGGCTTCGAGGGGCTGGGCTACCACCCTCTCGACCGGCACATCATCTTCGGCGATGGCGACTGACCGTCTGCAACAAACGTTGCGAGGAGGCCTCAGGGCTTACAGCTATTGCCGTTTATTGGTGGTGTAACGTCGGGGGTGGTGCGATCACGGACCAACGACGGCGACGCCCGTAGCGTTGTCTTGGTTGGTGGTGGAGCGTCGTTGTGGTGGTCACGTACGTGAAAGCGGCGACGACCGAGAGAGAGAGCTGCGTGCTTGCTTTAGAGGATGCTGTTGCGGATGACTTCGAGCTTCTTGAGCACCTCGCCGGGCGTCCTGTCGAGCTCCTCAGCGATGGTCCTCTGCTTCTCGGGCGGGAGCAGCGAGAACTGCTCGCACAGATCGCCGTCAATGACGTCCTTCACGGGGAAGTAGTACGAGCGGTAGGCCAGGTGGTCCCGTCCGCACAGAGGAGGCAGCTCGCTGCGCATGTGCATCTCCAAATGCGAGAAGAAGTCCACATCCTCCCTATTGATTGCGGCGAAGCGAGCGTTAGGTCGAGAAACCTCGGTTGTCAGTGAGTGCATGCAGGGGGGGGGACCAACCTGGAGACGAAGGGCAGAAGCGCTCCCATGCCACCCATGAGCGTGGTGTAGACGAGCACATCGGCACCGCCGGTGAAGAGCGAGGCCTTGGTCATCGAGTTGATCGTGTCGCCCACATGGAAATTGATCAGCGTCTGGAGCTTGAAGGCGGCACCGTTCAGCGACTGCTTGCTCATGAGGAAGTTGCCCATCGGGTTGTCCTCCAATTCCTGCCCCCGCACCCGCCCCCACAGAGACACGTGTGTAGAGATGAGCTTACGTTGAGATGGGGGCGAAGGGTGCGGAGAGGTCGTACCTCGTTGACCTCGCTGGGCAATCGCACGATGAAGACGTTGCCAAACTTGTCTGCGCCCGCCATGGTGTCGTAGTCAAGCATTTGGCTGGCGGTCAACCAGCGCGGGTTGGAATCGTCAGCGTAGACGTTGAGCTGGTTCTCCGCCTTTCGGTATTTCACAAAGTGGAACGACTCGGCAAGGTCACCCACAATGATCCGCTCGCCCTGGCGTTGTCAAAGTGGCGTCCCCCCACATTAGCCCCAACGCCCGGCATTGCCATCTAAAAAGAGAGAGATTGGGTACCTGGGTGGTGATGCTCTGGATGCAGTGGGGGAAGCCCTTGTTCTCGCACTTCCTCAGGAGCTTGCGCTTACCGAGATCGTAGATGCGCAGCATCTTGCCGATGCCCACGAGCAAACGGCCCTGGAAACCGCAGACGGCCGTGGGAACGCCCTCAACCTGCGTCTTGTGGACCAGCGAGAACCTCTTGCCGCCATCGAGCAAGCGATAGACGTGAATATAACCTGCAAGCACCCACAGTGACAAGAAGTACGAACCGCGGGGGGGGGGGTGAGTCATTGTGCCACCTACGAAACGGTTGGCAGAGCGCCGGGGCGCACCTGCATCGCAGCTTCGCGGGTTGAGCACGAGGCCCTTGGCCGTGCCCACAACCAGGAAGATCTCGCCGCCCCTGTCGTGGAAGACGCAAGTGCAGGCGCTGAAAGCAGCCTCGTTGTTGTCGAGCTCGACGACGTCGATCGTCTGCTTGGTGTTCACGTCCAGCAAACGGACGCAGCTTGCCCACTTGCCCACGCCTGCACCAGACGATGGAGGCAATTCTCCGTCAGCCAACCAGGCAACCAGCAGGAGAGGCGGGCGAGGCTGGAGCGCACCTGGCTTTTCCGTGCCAAACACTCTCGCCGACTCCTCTCGCTCTGCCTGCTCTCGCTGCAGCTCCTCGAGCTTCCCCATCTTGGCCTCCTTTGTCTTTTCTCCGTCCTCGGTCTCCATTTCCTCCTCCTTCTCCTTCTTCACCGCACCCTGAAAGGCGCCAGGGGGGAAAAATCGCGTTTGGTTAGTTGCGGTCGATCGACCGACAGGCAAGAAGGGCGCAGCTGAAGCAACGCACCGAGTCACCGTCGGCAGCGGCAGCGCTGGGCTCCTGCTGGGCCTCCAGCAGCCTCTGCCTCAAGCCGCCCTGGATGAGCGCCGGGTAGGTGTTGTGGTCCGTCTCAATGGTGATGAGGTTGCCGGTCGTCGGGTACACCAGCATCTTGCGGGGCGTGTAGCGCAGCGGGATGAGCTCTTGGTGGAAGACCTCACCCAGCCTCTCAGGCGAGATGATCCTGTAAAGAGAGAAAGCCCATCAGCGATCGGCGCGGCGTGTGGTGACCAGCAGAGAGCTCTAGCGCTGATGCAAAGAGGAGCTGGCACATACCTCAGGGCGTTTCCGATGGTGGCAACCATGCCCTCGGGGCAACGCTCGGAGCAGAAGTTGGAGGCGTAGTCCAACGCGGGGTAGGAGAGCGGGGTGAGGTGAAGGTGCAGCTGGTAGTTGTAGCACAACCACGCCCTGCTCGTGAGCGCCAGCATGGCCGGCTGGTCGCCGACTCGCAGCTTCAGCAGCCTCACCGGGCGCGAACCAAGGAACCTGCGAGCATACGATGCAGCTCAGTGACGAGCAACAAGCTGATGTGACGTGATAGGAAGGCGATGTACCTGGTCCGCGTGTCGGAAAGCTCGCCGGTGACCTTGTCCAGCACGGTTCGCTGAAGTACACCGTTGGTGAGACCGATGTTGAGGAAGAGGGTGCCGGCACTGGAGTCGGTGCCGCCCTTCATCTTCACGATGCAGAGGGACTCGGGCGGCGCGGGAAGCGCCTGCACGGCCAGCGAGGAGAACACGTCCTCGGGGTCCAGCGACAGAACCCTCACCGTGTTCTCGTAGTCGCCCACAGCCAGGAAGCGAGCACGCAGGCGACCTTAGGCCCATTACCACACGAGACGAGGTTGGTCACTTGGTGCTGAGGGCGACAACGAACCGTTCAAATGTGTTGTGTTGAGGGAGCGCACCTTCGGGGATGGGAGCGATGTCGATGCAGGCAATGTCCCGGCCCATGTCCTTGCGGCCCACTTCAACCAGCGACCCCGTGATGTCCAGCTCGAAATAGAGGAGCTCGCCGCCGGTGAGGGCGATGACGACCTGCTTGTTGTTGATGGCCGAACGGACGATCGTCCTCCGGGCCGGCGTGGGCCACTCGGTGATGCGCTTGTCGCTCCTGATGAAGCGGATGCCGGTCGGGAACACCTGCACCAGCGAATCATCGCCCACGAGCCCCACGTTCAGCGTCGACGCGTTCTCGTTGAAGCCGGCATCTGTATGCGTGCAGAGAAAGGGAAGCGATGAGTTCAGTGTGACGTAGAGGCTAAAGCGAAAGGAGAGACATGTCGCGTTGTACCTTTGACCTCTTCAACGTTGTCGCCGATGGAAAGCACGAGGGTGGCATTCAGGAAGGAGACGATGATGTAGCTGTCGTACTCGTCAGCCACGTTCTTCCTGACGGTGAAGATGTTGTTGGGATTGCCGGGAAGCGGCGAGTCGGCCATCTCGGCTACCGCAAGACCGTGCTTCAAGAGTCGGAGCGACGATCGAGGACCACGGCCGCAGAGTGTGAGGAATTGCTTGGTCTCTTCTTTCACCATGTCGGCAACCTGGAGTGAGCACGAACATGAGACCTTTGGTCTGGAGTCGTTGGTCGGTAAGAAAAAAGCAAGTGTGGCGTACCTTGAAGTCCATGATGGGCGCAAGGCTCTCGATCTCATCGATGGCAATCAAATTCTTGAGCGGCTGGGGGTCGAAGGTGGGGATCTCGTCTTCGTCTTGGTCCATTGTGGACTCTTCTTCCTCATCACCGATCGACTGGAACTGGAACAAGAAACTGTGACGGAGACGAGTTTCGTTAGAGAACGTGCGCGCAACCAAGGCATGACAAAGGGGTCGTACTGGTTGCCAAACTCGGCGGCCACAAAGAGGAAACCGGTCTTGAGGATGCACATGGCGTTCGACGTCGGCACAGTGTCAAAGTAGTTGATCTTGATGGCGCTGACGTTGTCCTCTTCCCAGGCCAGTGTCGCCTTGTAGATATCGCCGTACTCGCTTTGGAGCAGGATAAAGAACAGGTCCTAGAGAAACAATGAAAGGTCAGCAGAACAGTTGGTCGGACACCACCCGAATCGGCATGAAGTACCTTTTGCTTGTGCGCTGTGGCGGACACGATCAGCACTGATCGCTCCTCGCCCAGAATCTTTCGGCGGGGCAGGGCAGCACGCACTTCCTGATGGCCCTGGTTCTTCCAGACCACAAAGTTCTCGCCCATCACGAGCACGCCTCCGGGGCCGTCGGAACCGCCAGGCACGGCGACGAGCATGTTGGCAGTGATGTCCACGGGTTCGCTCCATTTCCTCACCACGTGGTTGAGACCGAGGTCAAGCTAAAGACCCACCCACCAGTGCAGTTAGCCACAGCCCCGCATGTAGCGAGAATGCTGAAGAGAAGAGAGAAGAGTACCTCGTAGAAGGTGAGGTTCTTGTGCAGAGCCTCGAACTCCTTGCCTGTGGGATCGTGATCAACGTCGGCATAGTCGACCTCGAGAGTGGCAAAGATGGGGTTCTCGAAGCCCACGTCAACACCCACCATGTGAATGTTGATGGTGTGTGACTTGTGCGCCTCAAGCGGCGAGGAGATAGTGAGCCTTGCTGCAGAGTCGCGGTTGAGGATATACACCAGCTTTTGCTTCTCCACGGCGCCTGTTGTGGACCATGTGAGCAAGGGCCTTGAGAAGCAGAGCAAAATCAATATCGCACCAATCATAACCGCTCGTCCCTTGGGGTCCACGGCAAGGTATTGGCCGGGCACGATGCGTCGGCAGCCTGATTTGCCGAACGTCTCCTGATGGATCTTGTCGAAGGTGTTCCTCTCGTTGTTGTACTGCAAAATCACGATCCGTCCCGAATCCGACCCCACGATGATGTAATCCCTCGTGTCGCCTACAACCTCAACAATTTTAGCGAACTCGGACCCAAACCTCGAGCGCAGAATGAAATAATTTCGAGAGATTTGGGGATTTGGGGGGGGGGGCGCCCTAAGAGTCAGGGCGTACCAGTCAGTCGGAAGGGCACGATCGAGCGGATGGTGCCGAACACCTCGACCGAGAGCACAGTTTGCACCTTTCCATTGAAGTCGTTAGGTCGCAGGAGCTCAAGCACCTTGCCCCTAGCCACCACGATTTCTTGAGCCTTGGGCGCCGAAAAATTGCCAAAGATGGCGTGGGTGATGGCGGTCGCCCGCTGAAGGGTGAGGTTGTAGATGTGCATGATGAGGCTTATGGATGACGCTCCCTCAGTGAGCAAGGGCCACGATTCCGCTGTTCGATCTCCTGTGGCTGATCCAACAATCGCCTCGCGAAGAAAGGGGAAAAGCCAGAAGGAAAAGGAACAAATAATTCTACCCCCCCCCGCAACGAGATCAAGAGAGATCATTCTGTTTACATTATTACAAGCGTGCAAGGACAACAAACATGGCACTTTAGGGAAGATCAGCGATGCTCTTGGGCGGAGGGGGAGCTGTGGGCTTCTCCTTCTCGATGCGCTGAGCCTGCATGCCAGCAGGGCCACCCACCCACTTGCCTCGACTGTCCGACGTCACGTTGGAGGTGTTCCAACCGCCATTCTTCACGCTGATCTCCACGTCATCGCCGTCAGCGATAGCCTCGAAGGCTGCACAGAAAGATGGAAAAAGAAAGCATGAGATTAACGCCGAATCACTGTTTCAAGCACCATGGATAAGGTGCGTACCAGTTGCGAAGGCCTTGATCTGGCCCTTTGTCGTGCCGATCTTAGTCTGGCCACCCTGTGCCTTCCTTCTCCTCTCCTCCTCTCGCTTCTTCTCTTCAGCCTCGCGCTGCTTCTGCGCAGCCGCCTCCTGCTCCGCCAGTTGCTGGAACCTCTCCTTTGCTGATGCCATGATGCTCCGTGTGTGTCTCTGTGTGTGTTTGTGCAGGCCGTGTCGCCCTTTCGCTTTTGTCCCTTCGCTCTTCTTCTTCTGGTCCGTCGCCCTAATCGCAGTTGTGCTGCCACCAATCCCAATTCAAAGCTCTAAAGTGTCTGCGTGCCTGTGCGACCACGGTCGTGGTACCTTTCTGCCCACGACCCAATGCACGCACAAAGCTTTGAGCGTGTGCCCACGCGACCCTCACACGGGACTAGCCACCACACACGGCCCACAGGCCACGCAATGTCTGCGAAATATTGAACGCTCTCCGCACATGTTTTGGCGGAAGCGGTAGCGGCGCAACTGTGCTGTGGCAATTCGACCGCTGCGAGGTAGCACGGGTTTAGGAAGGTGGCCACAGATAGTATCCAAGTTGGGGCGAATGAACACCTCTTGCACAGCCTCAAATCAAGAACCTTCCGCCCTTATTAGGAACGGGCCTGAAGTTGGCTGACCCAACGAATGTCTTAGGGAACGCGCAAGACGGGAGAACAAGAAAGAGTGTAGGCGAGGCGGTGTGCAGGCGAGGGGCTGCTTCGTGGTCGAAGGGACTCGCGCATCTCGAGAAAGAAGACATGTCATTCCTCAAGCGGATGGTGGGGGAGAGGAAAGAGAAAGCACCAGGTACCTGCGCCTCCCTTTATCTTGATGATAAGATAGACAACTTGGCCTAACGAGGGTCGTGCTTCTTATGGGGGACAGAACCGTTGAAGAGGAGGGAGAAGACGATTGGCAACTATGCCATCATAAAGACCATAGGCGAGGGGCGATACGGCAAGGTGAAGCTCGCGGAGCACATCGTGACGAGAAAGAAGGTGGCGGTGAAGATCATGAAGAAAGCACAGATGGAGGCGGCCGACTTGGCGCGCATCAAGCGAGAGCTACGTGTGATGACCGTGCTCGACCACCCCAACATCGTCAAGCTGTATCAGGTCATCGACACCCCCGAGACCACCTGTATTGTAATGGAGTTCTGTTCGGGCGGCGACCTCTACGACTACATCTCCACCTACCGACGCCTCTCCGTTCCCAACGCCCTCAAACTCTTTCGCCAGATCGTCGCCGGTCTCCTCTACTGCCACCAGCACCTGGTCATCCATCGAGATGTGCGCCCTTTTCTCTTTTGTTTTTGTTTTGTTTTGTTTTGTTTTCGTTTTTGTTTTGTTTTATCAAGCAAGGCAAGACTTGTTGTTGATGTGCTCAAACGCGGGGGCGGTGTGGGGGCGGTGTGCAGATCAAGCCAGAGAACATTCTCCTCACCGAAGACCTGCAGGTGAAAATCGGCGACTTTGGCTTCAGCCGCAGCTTCAACCCGCACGCCGCCATGGAGACGGCCTGCGGGTCACTCACCTACGCTGCGCCCGAGGTCATTGCCGGCAAGGTACGACATGCTCTCTCTGCGCCCGTGCCTCTCGTCTTGTGCTGTCGGTGGGGTCTGACCACGTTCACCACTGTGGGCGCTGTGGGTGCAGGGCTACCTCGGTCCCAAGGCCGACGTGTGGTCGCTTGGGTGTGTACTGTACGTTCTGCTCACAGGCGCGCTGCCCTTCGACGGCGCCAACGATTTTGAAGTGATCCCCAAGATACGCAAGGGCAAGTTCCAGGACTCGACCTTCTTGAACGAAGACAACATGCGGTAAGCACTCCATCCTCTCACTCTCTCAATTTAACTACTCTTCTTCCTTTCATGCTGGTGGAAGGAGAGTGCGCTCACCCGCAACGACCGTTGCTGTGCTGCAGAGAGTTGATCACGTGCATGTTGAACCCGGATCCAAACAAGCGGGCCAATCTGGAGGATATCCAGAAGCACCCGTGGACGTGGTCAGACAAATCGATGCTGGCCATGCTCGTCAGGCCATTTTCCAACGCCCTAACGAGTCGCCGCAAGATGGGTACGCCCACCACACGCACGGCTTGCTCGGGAAGAAGCGGGAGAGAGAGCTCACCCACTTACCTATCCCGCAGCCGTGCATCAGGGGTTCGATTGGGCCGAGTCTATGGCGATGCCCAGTCCGCGCAGGGACAGAGGGTCGAAGAGGCCGGCGTTGAGTCGGGAGGTGTCCTCCATATCAGACAGCGAGCTCAACGACCCCACGTTGCCCAAGGAGGTTCGGGGGTCCACCAGGAACAGGGGCAAGTCTATGTCGGACCGGGTACGCATTGCGTGGCTTGCCTTGGTTTGCCTCCCCCCCCCACTGGCTAACTTGCGTGTCTCGCACAGAACGAAAACAATCTGATCGAACCGATGAGGAGGAAGCGAAAGTCGGGCGAGATGAAGCCACAGAACGGCGCAGCCAATGCGCACCAGGGAGGTGGAGGTGCCCGGACCAGGGCGGCTGCGGGGCGAAGGGAGGGCGAGCCGCTGTACGGCACCGTCTACGACTCGCGGTCAATTCTGGGCGAGTACGATGAGATGGATCTGGTGGCAATGATGGCCGAGCGGATGGACGAGCGGGAGATGGCCGAGCTGGAGCTCGAGCTGCAGATGGAGATCGAAGCGGAGCGGAGCAGGCGAAAGAGCTCCAGTCTGGCGAGCGACGAGCCGGACGACGACGGGGACAGCCGGCCCGGCTTTGAGTCCAAGGAGCAGTCGACGGTGAGCGACAGTGGGGAGAGCTCAGCAACTGGCGAGAGACGGAACCGCAGTCGGAGCGTGGGCTCGCGCAAGGCCAGCAACAGCTTGGGCAGCTCGAGCAGCAGCAGCAGTTCGTCGTCGAGCGGCGGCGGAGGCAGCGGCAGCGGCGGCGGCAGCGGCTTGGTGCGAGGCCGGAGTCGGAAGGGCAGCATGGGCGCCCACCGAAGCAGCAACGAGAGCGGCGACAGGGAGTCGAGCGGCAGCACGAACCTGTCCAGGCCCAGCCATGGCAGCCCGAGCCCCAGCAGCTCCAGGGAGTCGTCGGGGGCACACAGCACGCGGAGGGAGGAGGCGGGCGCCGAGCCGGACAGGCGAAACAGCCGAGGGAAGCGGGTGCCGGACAGGTTGATGAAGCGGGACTCGAAGGAAGACAGCAAATCGGGGCCGCCGTCGCCCTCGTCATCGTCGTCGACCACCTCGCCCCTGGTGTCGCCATCAAGCTCGCAGTCGCACATGGCCACCGTCGTTGGCCGCGACCGGTCGCAGTCGACAGCCGGCGCCACGCGAGACAACATCATGTCCATGCTCGGCTTCCGGCCTCGGACCAGGGATCAGCGATCGCAGTCAGTCTTCGAGCCCCCAACAGTTGATGCCTCCATCATTGAGGTACGTACGCAACCACTCGCTCGTTGGGCGTGCTGCCGCGTGTTTCCGTTTTGACGTCATGTTTGGCTGTTACGTGTGTACGTACGTAACAGGAGCCGGTGTCGGGGAGGGGACGAAGCCGATCGCGAAGCCACTCGATGTCGGCAGCTGAGGAACCGCCGCTCGATCCCGCCAACAAGAAGACCACCAAGTGGAAGAAGGGCTCCTCCCGCGGATCCCCACTCACCAACAGCCAACCGGCATCGCCCAGCGGCGACGAGGAAGAAGAACCGGGCACCCAGTCCCCGAAGAGGGTGCGTTCACCTCCCTCCCTCACCAGGCGCCTCGGCCAACCACACACAGCCCATCGTTAACGTGTGGTGTTTTGGGCATTGCAGGGTGGACCGTCGCCGGCGTCGTCGATCATCGAGCGCTACGCACGTAAGAAGCGAGCATCGGGCAGTCCGCAGGGAATGAGCAACAGCGCCGGCGTTCCAGCGACCAGCTCGAGCGGCGTCAGTGCTGTCATGACCAACAGCGGCGAGCTGGAGAGGAGGCCCACGATGCTGTCGCGACTGAAGAACATCACCAAGAAGACCCCGAAGAACCAACAGCACCTGGTCATGACGAGGAAGCGATCGTTCTCCACCGAAGACGCCATCAACCTGGCCAAGGAGAGGGTCTTGGCCTCGCGTGAAGACATCGACAACGGAACGCAGGAAGAGGACCAAGAAGCGGCCCTCCGCCACAGCACGGCTTGATGCGTGGCACCGAACAATAAGAACACAAAGAGAAAAAGAAAAAGAAATCAGACACACCCGACCTTGAGCAAGAGGATGGAAGCGCTCCTGTCCCCTACGCTGTTGAAGATCACCTCGGCGGATCCGTTGGGTCACTCGTCCTTTCTCGTGAGCGAGCTATGGTTCCTCCTTTTTCTGCAAATCGTGTACAGCTACTACCTGGACTGGAACATCCTCACCCTCTTCATCCGTCTCGCACAAATGGTACACCCCGCGTCTGGTCATTGGGGATTTAATCCAACAAAAACATCTTAAATTGATCAATTAAATCACGTTGTGGATGAATCGATTGTTTTTTTGTGCAGGTGTGGTTGGCCCGAACGGTGGGCAACCCGCAACAGCGTCAGCCGGCAACAAACTTCTTGTGCATCACGAACTGCTACGTGATCTTCATGCACCTCATCAGCCGGGGACACCCTTTCTCCATCAACTTCATCGGCAAAAGTACGCTCCTTGTGGCTCGTGCGTGCTTGAGGCAGTTGTGGGTGGACACAAGCTGATCGTGGTCACGGTCGCCTGCTTGCAGCGGTACGGGCGTCGTTCTTCCACCTGCTCCTTGTGGACTCGATCGTGGCCTTGCTCGAGCTGCTCATGCTGCACCTCCTTGCCACCGTTCCGCCCAGCACCTCCCGGTATCCACAGTGCACTTCCGCTCCCCTTCTCAATTACTTTTTTGCTCACTCTCTCGTTCACACACAGACGAACGATGCCACTCTGGAACTACCTCGGCACGAACCTAGCACCCAACTAGGGTGAACAATCTTCGATGTACATATGCGGCGCCATCGTGGAGTTCGTAGCTCCTGCTTCATCTCTTCCCCCACAGGGCAAAACGCCAATTCTGTTGTAGAAATGTGTGTACATTGCGGCGCTCGCGTCGACATGCTAGTCGCGAGTGGGAGGCTGTCAATGGGGGGAGGATGGGGGGGGGGGAGAGGAAGGTCATGGTCTCCTTAGGCCATGGACAGAAGGATGAGGGCCTGCTTCTGTGCGGGCGAGGCGGCGAGGTCCATGATCTCCCGGTTGGCCTTCGACCACAGGGCGTTGAAGTTGGTCAGGATGTCGAACACGTTGTCAACGGTGGCGTTGAGCCCGCTGCCGGCCACCTGCACCAGGTGCGTGTACTCATCTACAACAGAGGAAACCAGATCAGAAAAACACCCTACACGCACCACCGCACACACACAACACACAACACACACACAACACACAAACTCGCACGGCATGACACGCGTCAGAGGAGGGCGCTACCAGGGTAGTAAAGGCCCCATTGATCGTCGAGGAAATCCTTGACGGTCTGGGCGACGTAGACCTTGCGCATGAACCCGAAGCTGAGCAGGCCGGAGTCGATGGCCTCGCGGAACTGCACCTGGACCTCGACCTTCTTGTCGACGGCGTACTTGGTCACCAGGTTGACCCGCACCGAGAGGCTGCTGCCGTCGTAGGTCCACGAGTCCCGGGATGGCGTGGAGTACGGGCGGAAGGGGATCTCCACGCCGTTGACCGTGACCGACGAGGCCGGCCACACGCCGACGAACTGGAACTGGTAGTTCCTCTGCGACGGCATCTGGCTGAACCCCTTGCCCTCGAACGGGAAGATGGTGAGCTCCACCGACTTGCTGCTGGCCGCCTGTGCACAACATCACACCACCATTGATGTGTGAGCCATGGTGACGGCCACCAGGAAGGAATTGATGGAATGCGTGTGATCGGCGGGAGGGGGGGCGCACCTTGAGCTGAACGGTGGTGAGGGCGTAGGCGCCGGCGGTGTAGGCATTGGTGATGCCGTCGTCGTCGTAGTAGGTGCTGTTCCTGACGGCGCCAGGGCGCAGGCCGGGGTAGACGACCAGCTCCAGGCTATCGGGCACCTCCTGGGCCGAACCGAACTGGCGCGTACCGGGCGAGCGGGTGGGAATGACGGCGCCGGCCTGCACGTAGACCGGGACCTCGCGCAGGAGGAAGTTGCGGGAGATCTGGGCCGGGCCGACGAACTGCTGCCCGCTGTAGTACTCGATCCAAATGCCCGGAGGGATCCACAGGTTGGTGCTGTGTGTCGTGTGTGGTGTGTGGTGTGGTGTGTGTGTGTGTGGTGTGTGTGGTGTGTTTTGTCGGGGTCAGATCGGCCTCGAGTCGTGAGCGGTGTGAAGGTCGATGTTTACCTGGAGATGTTGTACTGCTGGCTGGGCGTGGTGATGGGCGCGACGACCATGTCGCTGCCGAACAGGTACTGGTTCGGGTTGTTGTACGCCTCCTCGCTTTCGGGGAAGGCGTAGTAGAGCGGGCGGAGAAGGGCCTGACCCTTTTCGTAGGCCCAGTAGTTGCCGGTGTAGATGTAGGGCACCAGCTTGGAGCGAAGCAGGAAGGACTCGCGCATGATCACGAAGTTGTCAAACGGATACAGCCTTGATGCCACCACCACCGCCGCCGCTTCCAGGTCAGTTGCGTCCATTCAAAACACGAGAAGTGATTGCACAACAACGCGTTGGTGCGCTCGTACCAGATGTCGCGGGTGTAGCCGCCGCCGCGCTTCTTGCCGTTGCAGTGGGTGCGCAGAATGGGGCAGAAGGTGCCTGCGTCGGGGGGGGGTCGGTCAGAGCAAGACCAGCGGTGGTCAGGAGAGAACGAAGGGGGTGCGCACCCCATGGACCCAGCGGGTGAAGAGTTCGGGGTCGGGCTGTCCGTTGAAGCCGCCGAGATCGAAGCTCCAGTAGAAGCCTGCACAGTTCCAGGTTAGGTCGAGGCTAGCATTAGTCGACCGCCGACATATGGCGGGGAGTGCGGGAGCGGTGACACGTTACCCACGTTGGCGGCGGTGCTGGCGAAGTAGGGCTGGAACCGGAGGGACTCCCACGAGGTGACGACGTCGCCCGAGAATCCGATGGTGGAGTAGCGGTGGCTGCCCACGCCTCCCCAGCGGGCCATGATCACCGGCCTGCGATTGACGACACAACGGCCCAGCCCAGGCCCGAGTTGAGTGATCGGACATAAAAATTCACGTGAGCCGGAACTGTACCTGTCCTGCGGGCTGAACCAGCTCCTGGCGCTGGAGAAGACGTAGTTGACCCAGATGGTCGGGTTGACACCGGGCGCGATCGGGGTCTCGCCCTGCTGCCAGTCGATCCACCAGTAGTCGATGCCGTCGGGTCCGCCGAGGGGCTTCAGCACCGTTTCGAAGAAGTTGGCCGAATACTGATCGCGCAATCAAATATATAAATAGAACGTTTTAGGAAGTGGCGTGGGCTTCTTCTGGAGAGAGGACAGGTCGTGTGCGCACCTTCTTGTCGTTGATCGCGTAGGCGATGCTGACGTTGGTCGAGGGGTCAACGCCCATGGCTTTCAAGCAGGAAACGTGATTATCATAAGTCTTGCTGTGTTTGTCAAGCTGGGACCTATACAACCGGCAATGGGGCGCGTACCGCGGGCCATCTCAGGATAGTTCTTTTCCGTGCACTGCACGCCAGCCGCGGGGTGCATGTTGTTGGTGACGTGCAGACCGTACAGCTGCGCACATATTATTATTCGCGTCAGTTCCTCATTGTTTGCTCAGCGGGCACATGAGCAGGCGCGAAGTGCGTGTGTGTGTGGTGTGTGTGTTGTGTGTTGTGTGTGTGTGTGTGTGTTGTGTGTGTGTGTGTGTGTGTGTGTGTTGTGTGTAGATATAGACATGAATACCTCCTTGATGCTGCCCAGGAAGTTCGCCGGGTTGGGGAAGAGGTTGGTCTCCCACGTGTACCCGGTCCAGCCGTCCACCTTCTGACCGGCGCAAAGGACGGTCTCACCGTAAACTGCAAACATGATTGACGGATTGCCACCACGAGGCGCTGTGTCAAAGCAATGCCCACCATCAAGACGTGGTGGCCAGTGATGCGCGTACAAGTGGTGTGCCAGTCCATGTCGAGCACCATCACGTCCAACGGCACGCCAGACGAAGCGAAGCCCTGCTCAATAAGCCTGGTGGGAGGCGGAAGCGGAGGAGGCGGAATGCGGAGGCGGGAGAAGAAGGTGGTCAGTGATCGGGGCGTGAGCAGCGCTGCAGAGTGTGTAGGGCGGTGGTACGTGCGGACGTCGTGTTCGTTGAACGCGTGCCACTGGCTGTATTGCGGACCCATGAGGTAGCGCGACAGCAGAGGCTGGCGGCCGGAGATGGTGTAGAAATCGGCCATCGCCGCGTTGTAGTCGTGACCGTACCCGAAGAAGTACGCGTCTCTGCCCCGTTCAGCGCCATCACACCACCCCAGCAAGCGGTGTGGTGAGGGTCGTGTTGCAAGCAGACCACATAATAGGCGAGGGCCGGGTGTGGGTGGGGGGCAAGTACGAGCTCGTGACGGGGTTCTCGGGGAAGTAGCACCGCGGGACTCCCTCCAGCTTCCCAGACCCGTCCGGCGCGTACAGAGGACGGTAGCAGCATCCTTGGGGGGAATGGACCAGACGCGAGGCTGCCAGTCAGTCACTCGCGAATGAAGACGAGGGGTGGACGAGGAGGTGTGGGCGTGGGCGTGGGCGCGCACCTTTCTTCTCGCACGCCAGTTCCGCGCCGACGTCGCCGGGGTTGCAGTCGATCTTGTTCGAGGTGGTGAGAGAGCAAGTGGCGTTGCTGTCGAGTGGTCAATGATGAGAATGTTGTCGCGCAAGACGCTCGAGCATCATCACCACCACCACCACCACAAAGGGCACATATGGCGCACGTACCTGGCAGGCGGCGGAGGAAGGAACCAGGGCCAGTTGGTGTCCGTGTCCCACGCCGCGGCGGCAGTCTCGTTCAAAACGGCCCACCCGTCCCTCGAGATCATGGCCAGCGCTGCGTGAGTGAGAGGGATGGAGGTAAGCGAGCCTGTTGGCAGTCCAGGCGTGGCTTGGCCAAAGGCGATGGTCGTACCGCAGTGGTTGTCAGAGAGGTCGCCGTCGTTCATGCTCGGGCAGTACAGCGGAACGCTTCCGTTGGCCCCGTCGAGCGTGCGTACAGTGCCCAACAGGTTGCCCTTGGGTTCCGTTCCGACCACCCACTTTTGCATCCGCCCTACGAACGTAGTAACGGAGCACACATGGGTCAGCAGCAATGCGGTGGGACGAGCCCACCCCCAACACACAGCATCGAGATGCGCGTACCGCCCACGGGCTCGCGCAGGGTGATCATCAGGTTGGTGGCGTCAAAGTCCCTGGGCTGCTGGGCATAGTACTGCAGCTGCAGGTATTGCGTCTGGGCTCACATACGAATACAATCAGCTACCATAGCTTTATATGTAGCGCGTGTGGGCCAGACGCAATGATGGGGCGAGGGAGTGGCTGTACCGTGATCACACACCAACCACCCTGCATGTCGACCTGATGGTCCACGGCCGGCAGGTTGCGGTTGAGCACGGCCAGCGTAGCATTGTTCTGGAAGCGACCGTTCGCCGACCACTGCACCACGCCACACAAACAAAACAAAACAAACAAACCCGACCGTTACCTCACACGCGCCCACCGCACCCGCCCTTGCGTGGGGCGCTTCGCAATAATGATGGGGTCCCGATCGTCATGTCGCAGGCGCCCAATGGGAGGGAGTGTGTGGCTCCCGGGAGTGGGTACCTCCATGCGGACGAGGCGCGAGGTGAGCAGGGTGAACCGGACGGTCTGCGTTCCGCAAGTTACGACCGACTTGGGGTTGGGGTTGGGGTCCAGAGGTGCCGCAGGGAGGTGCGTGGTGGTGCGGCGCTCGTGGTCCACAGAAACCCGCGCGCCTGTGGGCACCCACCCCCCGCACTGAATCAGTTGACGCGTCCACTTGTGTCGATTGGTGCACCAGATCGCAAGAAAGAAACGGAAATCAAATGATGAAGGGAGGAAGCACCGGCAACGACGGCGAGGAGGGCCACAAGGAGGCAGCAGAGAAGAGCCGGCAGCAGGCGGCGGGACCCCATCTCTGGCTTGTGTGCGTGTGCGTGTGCGTGACCAAGTCAAGTGGAGCGACGCGAGTGACGAGCGCCAGTGCCGCCTTGTGGTCCGGAGTGGCCGTGACAGACAAGGCTCACCCCGCCATTTATCCGGACATTCTCCGCCTCGGCCACGTTCGTGCTCGTTTCGTGCTTCTTCTTCGTCCTCGTCAGCGCCGGCCCTCGTCTGCTGCATTTTCGCTTGTTCTGCCACTCGCGCGAGACTCCTCCTCTTGGCTCCACCACGAGCTCCAGCATCGAGAGAAACGAAGCAAACGATCGAGGCATCAACGAAAGAAAACAGCAGCATGAGCAGCACGGACGTGGCGCAGCGAAAGGCGGAGTGGGAGGAGGGCGTGAAGAAGTTCCTCGAGGTGGCGGCCAGCACCGACGGCTGGGCCGAGTCGCACGAGAAGCTGGGCGTGCAGGTCCATAGGAAGGACACCGATGCCATCGCCATCATCAAGGTGCCCCTGCCATCTACAAAGAAAGAAATACCCCCCCCAAATATAAATAATAAATAAATAAATAAAATGGTACAACCGACCGACCAAGTGGTGTTGTGTGCGTGCAGGGCGTGGGCGTGATCAAGGCCAAGCCCGAGGCGGTGGTGGAGATCTGTGCCTCGCTGGAGCAGCGTCCCAGGTGGGACACCTTCTTCGAGGGCGGCAAGCTCCTGGAGGTGCTCGAGGAGCCCAACAACGTACGCTCGACCTCCTCTGAGTGCACTGCGATGACCACGGCTGCTGACACCATTGGCCACTCCCCTCCTCTTTCTTTCCACGGTAGCTGGCGTTCGGTCACGGCTGGACCAAGGGCGGCATGGGCGTGTGGCCCAGGGACGTGGCCCTTCTGCTGGGCCAGCGGCCTCTCACTGCCGAGGAGGGCGGCGGCTACGTGCTCTACGGCCAGTCCATCAATGGCGTGGTCGAAGAGGACACTTCCAAGTGCGTACTCTGCACACCCTGTGTGTGTATGTGTGTGTGTGTGTGTATGTGATCTGAGCACTCATGGGTCACACACGTTCTAGGTTCGTTCGTGCCACGGTGCACATGTCCGGCTTCATCATCCGACCGCTGCCCGACAATGCTGAGCACTCGTCCGTCACCTACATCTTCCAGAGTACGTTTATTGATCCACCGTGTGTGTGGTGCTGCGTGCAACAACGGGCTCACCAAGCTTGACATCTTTCCACGCTTACGCAGTCGATGGTGCCGGCTGGCTGCCTTCGTCCATCACCAACCTGGGCTACACCTACCAGCCCCTCGGCATCATCGGCCTGCGCAAGATCCTCACCGGCTCGCCGCAGCCCTAGGGTCTCAGGCCATTCACCAGCACCTTTCTGGAGCACCCAGCTCCACGTTGTTTGCTTTGTTCGGAAGAAAACAGCGAAATATTTCAGGGAAGAAGCCAACACAAAGAAAGAAGACACCACACGGCAGGCCACCTGGACAGGGACGAAGAAGACAAAGGAGAGAGAGAGAGAGATGAGTGAAGATGGGGAGGCCAAGTGGCCTTGTCCGCAATGCACGTTCTTGAATCCGGATTACAGCCCCACCTGCGAAATCTGCGACATCACGAGAACAGATGCCGACCTCACCATCCAGGTCTATGCGAACGACCCACCCTCGCACGACGCGGGGCCAGCGTTGGGCCAACATGTCGCGCCCGACCAGACGCAGCTGCACAACGAAATCGCTGCCGATGTTGATTTCTCGTCTGTGCAGAAAGACGACACCACCCTGTTCGCGCCAGAGGTTGCCCCCCCCCCTTTTCCCCCACTCTGCATGCACGCCCGCCTCATCTTCTTCAGGCCCATGTGAGGCTCATGCACGTGTTCCCACCCACAATGCCTGCCAGACCATACGCGCTGCTACGCGTTCCTACTCGGACATCACACCCCCCTTCGGCGATGATGACGACGGCGCGCTGCTGTACGAGGAGGAGCCTGCGCAGATGGGCGCCACCTCCGCCGACGCCGCCACACTAACGCCCGAGGAGGAGCTGGAGCTGCAGCGCTACTGCGACTCGATCGAGTTCCCCTCGCCTCCCCAGGACGAGGCCCAGGTAATGCGTAGTGCGCTGGGCATCGTGGCCGACTGGTGGTGCTAATGGGTGGTGGTGGTGTGCAGGGCCTGGAGAACCTGGCGGAGCACTTGAGGTCGGCCTACGCGGGGAAGTCCTACCTGGAGGTGCTGCGGGAGTACCCCGAGGGCGCGCGGAAGCTCTACCACCGCTACTTTGCGGTGGTGTGCCCCCTGAAGAACCTGTCGTTCGCCTCGGCCATTGAGGCCTGGGACGCGCTCAGCTTCGACACAGTGTTCAAGTCCTACGCCGAGTGGAAGGAATTCCTCCTCCATAAGCAGAAGCTCAAGGGCAGCATCAGCAAGGCATCTCTCTCTCTCTCTCTCGCGTACCACACCGCTACCGTGCATGGGCTCATCGCCTCTTCTCCTGTGCTTGACGCTACAGGACGGGTGGCAAATGCTATGGGCCTTCGCCGAGAGCGAGGATCGGCTGCTGAACGAATACTCGACCGACGAGGCGTGGCCCAGCATCATCGATTCGTTCGTGGAGTGGAAGTACGAGAAAGAGGGACGCACCTTCAAGTCCGAGGTCCGTCGGCCTTCCACGCGCGCTCATTGTGGGCCAGCACTCACGGCCACACGCCACACGCCACACGCCACACGCCACACGCCACACGCCACACGCCACACGCCACACGCCACACGCCACACGCCACACGCCACACGCCACACGCCACACGCCACACGCCACACGCCACACGCCACACGCCACACGCCACACGCCACACGCCACACGCCACACGCCACCTGCACACTTGGACCCAGCAGTCGGCCTTCACGATCGATACCTCCGCGTTCGACTACCGATGGAACACCACCAACGGCGATTCGTCGTCACGCACGGGCGACTCCCCGTCCGCCTTCCTCTCGTCCAGCGTGGGCGGCGCGTCGTCGTCGGTCTCTTCGATGTTCTCCACCAGCTACTCGTGGACCTCCGACTACCGCGGGCTCTACAACCAGGGCGCCACCTGCTACATGAACAGCCTCCTGCAGACCCTGTTCATGACCCCCGAGTTCCGGCGCAGCCTGTACCTGTGGAAGGGCGGCAAGGGCCTCACGCAGGAGGAGGAGGACGACAGCATCCCGCTGCAGCTCCAGCGGCTGTTCGCGCGGCTCCAGTTCGGCGAGGGCTCGGCCGTCTCGACGCAGGCGCTGACCAAGAGCTTCGGCTGGGACAGCGGGCAGTCGTTCGTGCAGCAGGACGCCCAGGAACTGTGTCGCGTGCTGTTCGACGTCATCGAGGAACACTTTGCCGGCACGTCCGAAGGTACAGTGCTCCCTCAGTCCTCATCAACCACCAACGCCAGGCCTTCGAGTTCTAATCGCATGCGTGTGCTCCATTTCGATTCACAGAACATGTCATCCAGGAACTGTACCAAGGGCGGGTGAAGGACTACGTACAGTGTACAGTATGCGGCTACGAGGTCCGCCTCCCATTATCTTCGTTCTTTTTTTCGTTCTTTTTCTTGCGCGTGAGGTTCAAGCGCCGAATGGCTCTCATCTCGTCGGTGGTGGTGACAACAGTCCTCGCGTCCGGACAAGTTTCTCGACATATCGCTGGACATCCATCAGGTCAGCAACCTCACCGAAGCGCTCGACAAGTTCGTCACCCCCGAAATCCTCTCCGGCTCCTCTCGCTGGCGATGCTCCAAATGCGACGCATTGGTCGATGCGCGCAAGGGCCTCAAGATCGTGGAGCTGCCCTACATCCTCATGGTGCAGCTCAAGCGCTTCGACTACGACTACGACCGCGACCACCGCATCAAGCTCAACCACCTGGTCGAATTCCCCTACCACCTCAGCCTGGACAAGTACGTCGACGACTCCTTCGAGCCCGAGGCCATCACCCACCCAGACACCCCCGCTCGAGGTACTCCTCACCCCCCGCATGCTCGGCCCGGCTGGGGCTGATCGCTGGAATGTGGAATGTGGTGTGAAATGTGGAATGTGGAATGTGAAACAGGCAAGGGAAGTGGGAGCGAGGGCGCCAGCTTGATGGGCGGGAAGACGATCCGCGAGCAGAGGCAGGTGCTGCAGGACAGTGTGGCGAGGCTGCAGGAGTCGCTCCTGGACCCGCCCAGCGAGCTGCTGGCCGACCACTACCGGAGCGAGATCGAGCGCCATCAGGCCACTCTCAAGCTGCTGGACGAGCAGGAGAGCAAGGAGCGCGAGGAGGCCGCCAACCAGGCACTGGCCGCCGCCGAGGAGGAGATCGCCAAGGGCAAGGAGGCGGCCAAGGACCACGACGACGATGGCACATCGAAGGCGACCACCAACAAGAAGAGAAAGGGGGACACGAAGAGCGAGACGATGGTCAGCGGGGCCGACGAGACGAAGGGCCACAGCTCGGGTCTGGACACGATGGAGTCGTCGACCACTGCGCCCGACCACTCGTACAAGCTCTACTCGGTGCTGGTGCACAGCGGCTCGGCGACGGGCGGCCACTACTACGCCTACATCAAGTCCTTTGAGAAGAACAAGTGGTATGTACCACCTCCGCTCCCCATTCGAGGATAAAGGCCTCGCCTCACCCAAGGGCCCACAACACACACACACCAGGTATGAGTTCAACGACAGCTACGTGACCGAAGTGTCGGAAGACAAGGTCAAGCAGGCCTACGGTGCGTTCGGAGCCCTCGCAAGCCGGCGTCCACCTACACCACACGCACACACACACACACACCACACACGCACACACACACACACACTGACCGCGTTGTTTGGGGGTGATGGCCTGATAATTATCATCAGGCTCGGATGGCAGCGGTTCGATTATGGGCACCTCCTGGGGATGCTCCGCCTACATGCTCTGCTACAGGTGCCACTCGCACACGAGCCATAAATCGAACCACGTTTGGCGTGCGTGCGATCTGATACACGAACATGCGCTCTATACCCACACAGGCGCGTTGATGCGGACCGCAACATCAGCTCGGTGCTGGCGGAGGAGGTGGACGAAGAACTCAGGAACATCAAGGACGGTACGAAGTGCGGGCCGACGCGGCCCTCGCGCGATTGTGTGCGTGTGTGCGTGTGTTAGTGACACACGCTCGTGTTCTTCCTCCCCCCCACACACACAGTCGAATCGGCCGCCACGCCGTGGACGTTCAACTTTGCGGAGAAGGACAAGAGGAAGTGGCGCCGAGACAGCAGCGACGACGAGGCCGACAACGAACGAGGCGCGCCACCTTCTTCTTCTTCTGCCCGTTGCTTGCTCGGTGATGGGTGAGCTGACGATCGAGCTTGACGTGGGTTCTTCGCAGGGAACACAAGCGACGATATGGAGGTGGGCGACGAGGACTGGGACACGGGGTCGCTGGACGGCGAGTACGACTTCTCCGCGGCGACGACGACGACCAGCAGCGGCGGCGGCACGACCGCCACTGAGGTGATCGTCGCCACGAAGGAGGTGTTGAGCGAGGAAGAGGACCTGGAGCTGCTCGTCGTCTACAAGCACTCGACCGGCGCCGGCGGCGACGGCGGTGATCCGCAGGCCGAGGCGATGCTGGAGGAGAAGCGCGTGCGCGTCTCGTCCAACGCCACCCTCAACCACCTCCTGAAGAAGCTCAAGGTCGCGTTCGACCTCCCCAAGATTGACGAATCGGCGCTCGAGCTGTCCGACTACGACCCGGTCACACAGCAGGTCACGCACTCTCTTCCCCCGCACCGGGCTCTCTAGGAGAAATCGTTTACTGCAACGACGCACTCACGTGGCCGCAAAATGGTGTGACGACACGCGTTTACACACAACAGGTGGGACATCCGTACCGCAGCTGGGTAACGCTGTCGAACCGCCTCCGCGATGAGTTCATCGACAGCGAGTCGGCATTCTTGCTGGAGGTACCTCTCCCACTCCACACACACACACACACACACACACACACGTCACAACACGGCCTTGACTGTGTGTGTGTGTTTGTGTGGATGCAGGTCAAGCCCCAAAGCGCCAACCTGTGGTTCTCCAATTTCGACTCGGACTTGGCCCTGGTACTCCTCATTTCCCCCCTCCCCCGGCGCAGCGCAGACTCCTGATCACTCCCTGGTGTCTGCCGGTCAATCGATGCACCACAGGTGCTGCTGGTCTTCGAGGTGCTCCCGACGTCCAGCGAAGGAAGCACGAGCGAGGGTACGAGCGCTCGCTTGCCCCCCCCCCCATCTCGAGACTGGGAAAGACGCGTGGTGGGTGGGACTGACTTGTTGGGGTGTCGCCGAATCGCAGGGTCGCCTGCGGAGTGCGAGTTCAGTGCGCCCAAGAAAATCTTCATTCAGAAGAAGGGCACCCTCCTGGACCTCAAGCAGGCCATCCATCGAGTGCTGGGCGACCCCCTGACGCCGGACAAACAGCGGGTCATCCACTCTCCCTCCACCTGGAACACGGTATGTCCTGCTCCACACACACGACACACACGACACACACGACACACACGACACACACGACACGACACGACACACACACACACACACACACGCGACACACGTCATTGTGACTCACGTGGCCCATTGTGTGCGCTGTACGCGATTTTCAGAAGGACTTGTGTGAGTCTCGCGACTCCACGCTGCTCTCCACGCTCTACCTGTTCGACAAGGACAAGATCTACGTCGAGTACTGCGAGGACCTCTCCGCGCCCTCGCCCGCGCTCACCAAGCTCCGCGGCTCCTTCTCCTTCTCCTCCTTCTCTGCCAACACGCCCTTGACCACCCCCTCCACCTGGATCACGTCCAGCGACTCTTCTTCCTCGTCTTCATCTTCGTCGTCGTCGGCCGCAAGCTCGTGGAGACCCAAGGAGAAGGGCATCCAGATCCGACGCCGCGCAGACCGACCACTGACCCAGTCCTCGGCCGAGGAAAGCCAACGCGACCCGATCGACCCACCGCCGCCACTGCCCTGAGCCAACAACACCCTTGAGGCGCCACAAGGTCGCGCGCTGCTAAACGCACTTTACAAAAATTACACAACAACTACGAAACGAAGCAATCGGGGGAGGAGGGGTTCAAGGACCCTTGGCCTCTAGCCCTCGGGATCGAGGACCTTGTCCTCACGTATGGGGTAGGGCAGCTTGCCGTTGGCCTTGAGCCGCTGGAGGACCTCCATGCGCTTGCGGTTGATGGCGCCGCGGTACTTGGCCTCCCACGCGCTCTCCTCCTCCACAAAGTACTGGTCGTAGGGTCGCGGACCCACGAGGCCGGCGTGCGGACTTCGCACCGGCAGGCCGTTCGGGCCGACGAACTGGCCGTGGTTGGCCACTCGCTGGTCCCGCAGCCACAGGCCCACGTACTTGGTCCCGTCCTCCCACGTCATCACCCCTGTCGGTGTCCACTCTTCGTCAGAACAACACACACGCACACGACACACACACACGACACACACGACACACACACACGACACACACGACACACACGACACACGACACTCTGCAAACCACCGGGGGGGGGGTGTTGTGGTACCTTGTCCGTGTCGATAGCCGTCCTCCCAGTGGCCGGTGTAGGCGCACCCTTCGTGTCCGAAGTAGTAGGTGCCCACGCCCTCCTTCTTGTTGTAGTCCCACTGTCCCTCGTAGCGCCGCCCGTCGAGCCACGTGTACACCCCGTAGCCGTGGTGGCACCCATTGCTCCACTCGCCCTCGTATCTGCTCCCTGCGCAGCGCATCAACCCCACACGTTTCGTTTGAGCACACACACGCCCACACACGCACACTACACGCACACGCACCACCGCACACACGCACACGCGCACACGGGGAACTCGGTGGTACCGTTGGGCCAGCTGTAGGTGCCCTTGCCTGTTCGCTTGCCGGCGACCCAGTCGCCTTCGAACACGTCTCCGTCGGGCCACGTGCGCACGCCGTAGCCGTCGCGGTGGCCTCCGCGCCAGAAGCCCTCGTACTTGTTGCCGTCGGCCCTGTGTTCACCCACCACCCCCACCACCCACCACCCACCAAGAGAGGTTAGCGCACAAGCGAGAGAAGCGCACCGCGGCGGCGTAACAGCGTCAATCTATACCAGCGGTAGACGCCGTAGCCCTCGTGAAGGCCCTCCCGCCACTGGCCCTCGTAGTAGGCACCGTCTGCCAGAGGGAACGAAACGACGTGTGTTATCAAAACGGAGACGCATGTCAACGGGAGGGGCGCGGTGCGTGCGGTGAGGCGCTGTACCCGGCCACTTGTAGACACCAAAGTGCATCTTGCCGTTCTTCCATTCGCCCTCGTAGAACTCTGCGTGCGATGCGATGGTGGTGAGAGCCGCCCAGAGGGGGAGGAGGAGGGCGTGGCTGGGCCTGGTACCGTTCTCGCCCCAGACCTTGGTGCCGAGGCCCTCGGGCTTGCCGTCCTTCCACTCGCCCTCGTAGTACGACCCACCGCTCCACGTGTACCGCCCCACTCCGGTCACCTTGTCCGTGTGCGGTTGCAGCAGAATGGTCTGCGCACACGCACACGCACACGACACGACACGACACACGCACGTGATTAGGCCAGTCGCGCCGAGCGAGGGCGAGGGCGGGAGCCGGTACGGTCTTGCATCGGTAGACCCACTTCCAATCGCGGGCGGCAGGCTTCCGCAGGTCGTAGGTCTGCATCTGGGCCTTCATCTTCCGCCTCCTCTCCTCCGCCGGCCCCGCCGCCGACCTCGTCTTCCTCCTGCCCACGCCCGCCGCCACCACCGCCGCCGCCCCCGACGCCGCCTCCTCCTTCTCGGCACAGCCGCACTCGTAGTCGCCGTCGCCCTCGTCGCCCTCGCCGTCGTCATGGGCTCCGTCGTCGTCGTCGTGGGCCATCAGTGGGCGGCTGCTGCTGCTGCTGCCAGTCGCGTCGGGGGCGTCGGGCTTGTCTTCCATCTCCATCTGCTCGCCCTCCTGGGCTGCGGCCTCGTCGGTGCGCCCGTGCTTGCAGCCGAGGCCGTGGCTGCTGTCGGCCGCGCCGGCGTGGCTGCTGAGGCGTCGCTTGAGCTGGGCCTCGCGGCGCTCGTCGTGGGCCTGCTTGCGCCAGCGCTCGGCCCGCTCGCGCTTGACCAGGCGCTTGGTCATCATGAACCACAGGTAGTCGTCCTTCGTCAGCCGCAGCAGCCGCTTGCACGCCTGCCCGCTCTCCTCCACCTCCCGCCCGTCCAAGTGCGACAGCACTCCTACACGCGGCGCATAGTCGTGGCAACACGGCGAGCGTGTGCGGTGTTGTGGTGAGTCGTGTGCGTGTGCGTGTGCGTGTGCGTGTCGTGTGTGCGGAGAGGGAGTGGTACGTAGAAGAATCTCGTCGGGGAAGGAGAGCAGGTGGAGACCTTCCAAAGAAGGGGTCGAGGTGGTCGAAGTCGAAGAAGAAGATGATGAAACTGGCGTGAAGGAGGGAGATGCCCGACGACAGAGGGGAGAAGAGTCGTGGCCCTCGCTCGGGTCGGAGCCGGCTTCGTCGACCATGGCCTCGTGGTGCGACGTGGGGGTGGGGGGCAGAAGGGAGAGAAGGCGAGGAGAAAGGGGACAACGATCGCGGAAGGATGAAATGCTTGCCGTGGAGTCGAAAGAAAGCGAGGGCGAGCAGGCACGCCAAGTCGGCGCTGGGCTGGGGCTGGCAGCGGTGGGGGCGATTTTGGCCTCCTCGATCCGATGTGAAGAGGAGATAGAAGAATGTTCGAAGGAAGCCATCTCCTGATCCTCCTCTTCCATCATCATCCCTCGGCCCAAGGCAAGGAGATGCACTCGTACTCTCGTGCAGCCGCGGGACACAACAGCCGCACTCCAAGTCTCGCGTATTGCTGATAGACTCGACGCCTCGTGTGAGGTCTCGGTATCTGTGTGACGCGAACAGTTTGCTTTCCATTTCGTCGCTGCATTCCGTTCATTCAGCCGACACACCGAACACGAGGCCGCGCGGTGGGGGCTTGTGTGTTGTTGTATTGCACGCAAAGGGACAAGGCCTTCACGAACCAAAAAAAAATGAGGTTGAAGCTGCCGTGTGCCAAGGGCACCTCCCGCGAGGTGCACTACCCTCTTTTCTCTCTCTTTCCTTCTCTCCTCGGTGCTCTCGGTGACGCTTGACTTCGTCGTGCGTCTCCACTATACTCTTCGTCTATACAAGGCTGCAGTTCTTCTTCTTTTTCTTCTTATCGGACTTCTCGACCGGCGGTCCGGCCTCCTTCCTCGCCTGCATCACCTCGCGCACAAGCGCTGTGTCGAGGAAAGGGCCAAACGATCAGCGTGTACACCGTGTGTGCGCGCGCGGGTTGGGGAACGCACTGATGAACATCTCCTCGACGTTGATCTTCTTCTTCGCCGAGGCCTCCATGAACTGCGCATTGAGCTGCTTGGCCAACTCCTCGCCCTCCTCCTTCGTCACCTTCCTCTCGTCCTCCAAGTCCGTCTACGGCGCAAGGGCAAGGCCGCGGTTAAGAACCGCCCACGACAAGATCACGGTCGTGGGCCACGTCTGGTGCACCAAGGTACCTTGTTGCCGACGAGGACAAAGGGTATCCGGCTGCCGCTGTCCTTGACGCGCTTGATGGCGCTGTGGAAGATCTTGACCTCGTCGTAGCTGCTGCGGAGGATGATGGAGTACACGCACAGGAAGCCATCGCCCGTCCTGTAGTACTGGTCCCTGATGGCCGAGAAGTCGTCTTGCCCTGCACGTTTGCCAAACGGTTTGCCCCCCCCCCCAACGAGTCGTTAGCGACCAAAAGTGGACCCAGCCCCAACGTGGCCAACCCAGCCATGAACATGCCCGCCTACTTCCCGACCACACGTCATAGATCAAGGGTGTGAACAGTGCGATACTGGTACCCGGCGTCTCCCAGTTCGCGTTCATGCAATTTTATATAATTTCCTTTTCACGAGGTTGCAGTGCTTCTTGATGTTCACGAGGAGGCGGACGGGGGGGGACGGTGGTTGCGCGTACCGGCTGTGTCGAAGATGTCGAGAATGCACTCGCTGCCATCAATGGTAATTTGTTTTCTCTGTTGGCAAATTGAGATTAGCAAACGCACGCGCCTCGAAAAAGCGCAAATGGGAAGGATGCCGTACGTAGCTGTCCTCTAGTGTGGGATCGTACCTGCACGCGCGAGAAAGAATCCAACGTGCACGCGATAAGGAAGAATTAGTGATGAAAATCGGGAGTAGCGATTCGAAGGCGAAGTCGAAAAGAACGAAAAAGGCAACCCAAACGAGTTTGCTGTTTTGCACGTACTCTTCGATGAATCGATCTGCGATGAACTGGATGGTGAGGCAACTCTTGCCCACACCTCCCACGCCAACAACCACCAATCTGTAGACGTGATGCGACATCTCGCTCGTAGGAGTTAAATCAATTGATCGAACGCGGAAATGGACCAAAGTAATAGATTCAGATCGCCGTCGATTTGCTGTCTCTCGATCTCTTCGGGTGTTCTGTCTTTCTCGCTTTTCTGCCTCGCAAACGAACAACAACCCCAACGTGTCTGCTCTACCGTCGCCCAACCAGGCCCGGCCTTAGGCGAAATCGTGGTAGCTTTAATAGTTCTACCACCAATGGCCGTGTTGCCTGTTCATGCATTGGCGCAAGGACGGATCCGTTCGGGAACCAAAGAGTGGTCGGTGTGCATGTCTCTTTCCAAACGAGAGCTCTCTTGGGGGAGTCGTGGTTGTAGTGTACACTCTTGGCGACGCAACTGGGAACTGGCTGTAGGGCGTCGCCGTGTTCGAGAGACCTGGGCAGCGTCAGGCGTGTCACGGGCAACAGGCGTTGGTGATCGTTGTGCGCCTCAGAACATGGAGCCCACCTTGGCGATGCCTTCCTGTGCTCGGGCCTTGACGGTGTCCTCAGCGTCGTCGTCGTCGTCATCGGACGAAGAGTCTCCTGCGTCCGACGAGGCCGCGGCGGCGGTGGCGGCCTTGTGCTTCTGGAGGAGGTCGGCCACGTCGTTGGGGAGCGCGGTGGTCTGCTTTCGCCTGTCGGCGTCATTGAGCATGGCACGGTCGTCCGCAGCCTCGCTGGGGTCTTCCCCCGACGTTCCAGCGTTGCTGTCCTGATCGCCGGTGACAATGGCGCGCTGCCGCTCCTTCCTGTCCGCCTCCATGCGCTGCGCCGTCTTCCCCGACGCCTCTCGCAGCGCCTGCATCCACAAATTCCTGCGCGCCAAAGCCGGCGGGCGGCCCTATTGAGCACGGCTGCGCACGGATGGCATGACCACAAGCCAGGCTGAGGGCGGACGAACCTTTCCTCTTCGTCCTTGGCCTGGAATTCGAAGACTCGCATGATGGTCTTGATCTTGAACACGTTGGGCGACCCGCCGTTTTCGTCGTCGGTGACGGAGACGACCTGCTCCATTGACACGGAGCCCTGCGGCAGCCGGTTCTCCTGTGTGCCGTGTCGTGTGCCGTGTGTGTGTCGTGTGAGCGTGCATGGCGCTGTGTTCCCTTGGCCGAAACCTAGGCATGGGGGTGCGGGTGGCGGACCTTGGAGCGGTAGTAGTACAGCTTGACGATGTCCCGCTGGCGCTTCTTGAGCACGCAGTACCGCTTCTGCCACGACTTGTGGAAGGCGGGACTTCGCTTGGCGATCACGCCCTGTTGTTGTCCAAACAGTGACCAACAGTTGAGTCCCAAACCCGAAGCGAAGGCGCGGCCCTTGCGCTGACGACGCGGTCACGTGCTTACCTCAAAGATGGGCGCTTCCACTTGGAAGCTGAGCCTGATCGACCCGAGCTTGATGCTGTCGCCGACGGTGAGAGGGACCTTGCCGGTCACCACCTTGTCGTTCACCCTCGTCCCGTGCGTCGAGTTCAGATCACTGCAGAGTATTCGGGAGAGTCGTTACACGTGTGCGCGCTCATAGTCAGGTCGGGCGAGGGTCCAGCATGGTACCGAATGAACGCCGTTCCGTTCTTGAGGGTGATAGTGGCGTGCTTGCGGGACACGCTCGCCGCCTTCAGCACGATCTGGACGTCCCCTCGGCCTACGAAGACGTGCCGCGTTGGTGGTGAGCGCCCAGCCCAGAGAAAGTGGGAGACGGAGGGAGGGTTACCCAGTGTGTTGTTGCCCTCGGCCAGCTTGTAGGTCCGCTTCGCCGACACGAGTGACGCGCTGCCGAAGCGGCTGAACTTGACGCCACCGGCGGCGCTGGCCGGCTCGTCCCGCTTCAAGGCCGGAGACGCGATGATGACCGAGGAAGAGGCCTGCGGGTCGTCCTTCGACGACTTGCTCCGCGCTCGCGTGTCGTCCTCGCCGCCGCTGCCGCCGCCGCCGGTGCTGATCTTCGAGCCCAGGGGCACGTCGCCGGCGGATTTAGAGAGCGGCTTGGTCGATTTCTTCAGGTCACTGCTCGTGCTCTTGGCCAGCAGCTTCTTGGCGTCTTCGTCGTCCGACCCTCCGTCTTCGTACTCGCTGGCCTCGTCCTCTTCCTTGCCTTGCACCTCCTCTTCCTCTTCTTCTTCCTCCTCCTCTTCCTCTTCCTCTTCGTCATCGCTTTCCACCGCTTCGTTCTTTCCTTCCTTGTCCTCCTTCTCGCTTTCTTTCGCGTCGTTGCTGTTGCTCCTCGGCTTCGTCGCGGCACCCAGCGTTTCCTTCCCGTCGAACGGGACTACGGGGTCGGCAGATCGAGGGCCGGAGCTGGTGGAGGTCGTGGTGGTCGAAGCTTCCGCGGGTGGGCGCTTGGCGAGCTGGGACTTGAAGGGAGCGAGCCGTCGGTCGAGAAGGGACTTGCGGTGGTCGGCCTTCATCCTCTCCTTGGGCGGGGCCGCACGAAGCCAGCTCGAACTCATCGTTTCCGCCTTGGGTCTCCCCACCCTCGGCTCCTCGACCACCTCTCCCGCTTCCGCTTCCTCTTCCTTCTCGCTTTGCTTCGCGCCCTTGCTGTCGTCTTCGTTTTCGTTCTTTTTGTCGCCTTCGTTCTCCGTTCGCTTCATGGCGATCGCCTTGCCCGGACCGAACGTGATGCTCCTCGGGCTGTGTGCGATCTTCTTGGCGAGCGTCGGCTGGTGCTCTTCGACGCGCTCCCCGTCGACAATGACCTCCTCCATCGGCACCGGAACCGGCATCGGCACGGGGACCGGCACTGCCATGGCCATGATCGGCGCCGGCATGGCCACGGGCTTCACCGAGACCGAACGCAGCAGCGGGAGCGTGCCAAGCTGCACCGGCCCCGCGGCCGCTTGCTCCTGCGGATGCGGCTGCGGTTGCGGCTGCGCGGTGGCGACGGGGACCGACGGGGACCGGAGCGTAGTCGCTCGACGCCGTGGTGACGGGCGAGGGCATCGGCTGGAACTGGGCCGCGGTCGGGAGTGCGCCCGAAGAGGCGGCCATCGAGGGCGAGCGCGAGCCCGCGGCCAGCGGAGCCGCAGCCGCAGCTTGCGTGTGATCGGCTGCCGAGGCGGCGGTTGCGGTAGTGCTCACGCTCTTGCCGCTGTCGCTCGGCTTCGTGGCCCTGGCCGCCGTCGTTGTCACGTCGTCGCTGCTCCCTCTCGGGCTGGTGTCCCTGGACCCCGCTCTGCCACCGGTGGCGGCGCCGTTGCCCTCGCCCATGATCTCGCGCTGGCGCTGCGCCTTCTTCTCCTCGACGGCCCGGCGGATGCGCTCCATCTCCTTGTCCATCTGCGGGTTCCTGGACTTGCGCGTCGGAGTCGTCGCGTCTTTCCTCAGGCTCTCCCGCGCGAGCCGCGTGGTGCGCCCCGGCGAACCGGCCGCCGATGGTTCGTCTTTCTTCGCTTCGCTTGGCGAGTGCGACGGTGCGGCCACGACGGTGCTGGTGCTGGTACTGTCTTCGGGGCTCTTGCGGGGCTCGTCGAGACTGGACCGGGAAGGATTCTCGGCGGAAATAACCTTCTCTTTTTCTTTCTTGCCGCTCACGAAGAGGTGGATGAGCTTGTCCACTTCCACCTCGTCCTCCCCTTTCGATCCCTCCCCACTCGGACCGGCTTCGATCTTAGTCGCGTTTTCGCTGTCGCTTTCGCTCTTTTTTAGGTCCGAGAACGAAGTCGAGGTAGAAGTGCCCGCCTTCGTCTTGTTCTGCTCCTCATCGGCAAGGTACTTGGCGAGATGCGGGTGATTCTGCAACATGGGGTCCTTGAGCATCGGTCCCAGGTCGCCCATGATTTGCGCCAGCATTTGCGTCGCCGATCTTGACGATTTCATCATGGCCGATGCCGACGAAGCCTCCAAATCTTCGCCCTTGGCCCCTTCGCCTTGCTTAAGCTCCTCGTAGATCTGTCTCATCTCGCGCTCCATCGATTCCATGTCCATCGAAGCGGTGTTCGGCAGCCCAGGCCCTCCCGCCTTGTAGTCGCCCATCTTTCGATCTTCGATCTTCTCTCTGGTGCAGTCGAACCAAGCTTCTTTCTGTTGGCCAAATTACGTGGGCTTCGCCATTTGGGGCGAGACCCAGGAAATTTCTGTCCATCAAAAGTTCAAAAAAAAGTGTTCAACTTTCGGCCGTTCATCTTTTTTTTCCCACGATAAGAACGCGGCTGCACGTCCTGGCAAGTGAGTGCGCCTGTGGGTGCGGCCCGGCTCACCTGCGCGGCTGCCAAAGAAACGCGCTTACCACTTCATCTGCGGGTTGGCCTTGAAGGCGGCGAACTGGGCTGCGTTGTAGCAGGAAATCTCGGTCTCGTGCGCTGCACGACCGCCAGTGCGAACGCGTCAGCGACAACTTCTTCAGTTCAACGAAGCTTACACAAGAAGGCGGCACTACGAACCAACACCAAGCTCGGCCAGCGTTTTGTCCATGTCGAAAGGTTCCTCCGTCTCATTGATGAAGTAAATGTTGTTGGGCTAACAACAGGAAAGGGTTCAGAAGGTGTGAAACCTCCCGATTACAACGAACTCTACATACCTTGGCGCCTTGGGCCTTCGTCATGATGCGCAGGGTATCTGAACGCGAACAAGATGGCTCAAGGTGAGATTCAGATCAGAGCCACACAATTTCGCGCTGAGATGGCAGGTACCCAGGGTGGCGTTTCGATATGGCACGTATGCAGATTGATTTTGGATCGGTGAGGACAAGAGTTAAGGCAATCGCGCAGATGAAAGGAGAGAGGAAAGCAGGAAGGAGAAAGAGTGAGGGGGGGGGAGGCAATGGAGGATATTAGACGAGATCTGCGCCATAAGCTCAGAAGCTTTCATGCTCAAATCTATATCTTTGAGCACCATGGTCTTCATGGTTCGGTATTCGAACGACTTGACAAGGTAAATCGTGAGCACCACCGACATTATTTCGATTACAATCGCGTTGTCAAATTGAGGCCAATTTGCAGATTGCGTTTTTTTTGTTTCTCTGCATTTTCTGTTGTAATTCCCGTAACCCTTTGGCGCCAAGAAAAAAAACGTATTTTCTTTGAGGGCTCCGATTGGTCTGGAATTGCGGGAAGGGAAACGAGGCCGTACCAGGACTTTTCTCACAGCCACGTCGCCTGCATCCCTGTTCCGTTCTGCAGCGAAGCCTCTGATCGTCTGCGCCATCATCGCCTCTCCCCGCCTACGTTTCTCTTCTCGAGAGATTAGATTGGTTAGAGTCGATCTAGTCTGTAGCATTCCCTCTCCCTACCCCTTCCATCGTCGTCGTTGAATGCTCCCTGTTCAACAGCCAGTTGAAAATGGGCAACTTCAACCACCTCCTGGAGGGGATACGGCGGGGATGACGATCTTCAAGAAACCTGCGGTGGGCCTTCGCCAACGCCTGACCTTCGATGATTTCCACATCATCGAGCAGGTCGGTGAAGGAACCTACGGGTGCGTCCCATTCTCTTCTTTATATCCTTTCTTCTACCTGTGTATTGGTTGTTTTCTTTATTCTACCTCTACGTCGTTGAATGCTCCTGTAAGTTCAACAGCGGTCTACACACCATGTACATCCGACATCGAGTCGCCCAGCTCTCGAATAAACCCACCCTTCGAATCGCGCAACCCATCATTCAACAACTCTACGTAGCTCCTTGTCTACTTCCACTTGGCCTTACACGTGTTCTGTTTTTCCTACAGGCGTGTATTCAAGGCGCGAAACAAACACACTAACAAGCTTACCGCGCTTAAAGTCGTTTTCCCTACTGAGGATGACGAGGGGGTATACGCCCCACATTTCTTTTCCCCTTCACCCCATCATCAGCTCATCCATTCTCATCCCTGTTTGCATGCGTCTGCGCAGCTTCCGTTCACAGCGGTCAGGGAGATCAAGTACCTCCAGATGCTGCACGACAACCCCAACGTCATCAAACTCGAGGGAACCTTCTTTACTAAGGGTACGCCACCGCGCGTGTTGCCGTCTCCCCAGTCGCGCTTGAAACTCATAAAATTGTTGGTGTCAATTAGACGGCGAGCTTGTGTTGGCGTTCGAGTACATGGAAAACGATCTGTCGGGGCTGCTCTCGTTGAAGAACCTTCAGTTCACCCCGGCGCAGACCAAGTGTCTCTTCAAGCAGGTGCTCGAGGGCCTCCACCAGTGCCACAGCGCGGGCATCATGCACAGAGACATCAAAGGTAATAGGCGGCACTGGCTCAATCTCTCTTGCAGAGGAGGGTGAGCCATATGGTGGCTAAACCAAGTGCTGTCGTACCTCTATATCTTTGTTCCGCGCCTTCGCTCGCACAGCGGCCAATCTGCTGCTGAACAATGGCCAGCTAAAGCTGGCCGACTTCGGCCTTGCATCAAACTACGCACGGCGACGCACGTTTTCGACAAACGTTGTGACGCTATGGTACCGCGCTCCCGAGCTTCTGCTCGGCGTTAACACGTATGGCCCCAAGGTAGACATCTGGAGCGCAGGGTACCGTAGCCGCCCTTCCCCTGCCACAGCTCAAAGCGCGAACCGCAGTTCCCGCTTGCGATGTCTGACGCCCTCTCTCTTGTTGTGGTGGCACAGGTGCTTGTTCATCGAGCTCCTGACGCGCCAGTCGCCATTCCCCGGGCGAGAAGAAAAGCATCAGCTGGAGCTCATCGTGCGGACTTGCGGAACGCCCGACGAGAGGAACTGGCCCGGCGTCACCAAGCTCGAGGGCTACAAGTTGCTTCAGGGGCTCATGGGCCACAAGAACCGACTGTCGGAGGTCTTCGGCAAGTTCGACCCGAGGGCGCTTGATCTCCTGTCGAAGATGCTCGCCTTGAACCCGGCGCAGCGCCCTACCGCGTCGGAGGCCCTTGACCACGACTACTTCTGGGCGGACCCGCTGCCCTGCAAAGCTACCGAGTACGCCCCTTTATCTTCTTATTGGTTCTCGTGTTCTGCTCCGAGATCTCACCAAACCCGCTGGGACTCTCTGTTCCTCTACACAGACTGCCTCATTACCCTGCGATGCACGAGTACGAGGCGAAGAAGACGCGACAGAACGAGCGGCAGCCGAAGAGACAAAAGGTCTCGAACTACGCTCCTAACGTTCCAGTCGCTCCTCTTCGAGCGCAGCCCTACCCGTCGCATCATCACCAGGGCTACCCCTCTGGCGCTCCCGCGCCGCAGTCCTCTCGCGGCGACTACGCGCCTCCGCCTCACTACCCTCACCCCTCGTACCCGTCGAAACCCGGCCAGTACGCACCGGCGAGGCAGAACCCTCCTCTGGGTCCTCACTGGGGACCCGCGGCTCACGGAACGCATCCCCAAGCCGACCGGCACCCCGCCGCTGCGGGCGATGGCCTTCTCCCGACGCCTCCCGTCCCTCTTCCCGCCGCCCACTCGATGCGGCCGGCCGGCTACGCAGGCGCGTACCCCAGCGGGCCACATCCCTCCTCCTCTTCCTCCTCTTCCATGCCGCACTACGACGCCGCGCGAAGTAGTCGACAGCCAGGCGGGCATGCGGCTCCGGGGCCAATGGGTGCGCGGCCACCTCAGCATCACGGTCGCCCCTCTGCTTCATCGTCGACCCTGCAGCGAAACGGCCAACACCCCCCCGCGGCCGGCCACCCCGGTGCCGCTTCGGCGGGTCTGCCGCCACACCGCAGCAACGTAGTACACCCCCAGGCACAGCTGCCGCCTGCGGGGAGGAGCGCCGAGTACAGCCGCGTGCCGCGAGAGCATCGGCCGCCGACGTCGGCCGCCATGGCGCCGTCTTCGCTCGGCGGTGGCGGACATCACCTCGGCGGGCCGCGACACGACATGCCGCCCATGGCCTCCTACAACCGACCGCCAGCCGGCGCGCATCGACCGCATCACCACCTCCACCATCATCAACAACTCCACCACCCGATCACCGACGGCCACGCTTCGGCGGCGGCCTACAGCGGCGTGCACAGGAGCCACGCGCGGGCGACGTTGAGCAGCGTCGAGCGGATGGAGGTGGGTGTGGACACCATGGGAAAGCGCAAGAGAGAAGCCGCGGTACCTCTCTGACGTACGCCGCCTCGCCACCGGGCTGACGGCACAGCCGCAGCCGCCTGGGGAGGAAGCCGCGCGACCAAAGGAGATTTTGAACGCGCTGGCGCGGAGGAGACGAAGAGGAGGCCTCTCCCACAAAACACAAACGGAACAAAAACAAAGAAAAAGTAAAATAATAAAAAACATTATTTATTTACACGGGGAAGAATAAGAAGAAGGATGAAGAGGCTGGCTCGGCCACAGTGCCAGGCTGCAGGCATGCGAGGCCGTGCTGTGGGATCGTCGCCGTCGTATCTTACAGGGAACACGGCACGAAGCTTCAGCCTCCGCATTCTGGCACCAATGGGTCCCCCGTCTTCGAAATCGCAGCGATTTACCTCGCTGCCCGCACCGACACTATCGCGATGCCCCTCCAGTCACCGATCCTCCTCCCTTTCTCTTAGAACCCCTTCCGCACCACCCACATCTTTGCTGCCATCCACGCAAGCGCGATTCCACGGTGGGGTCAGCGATGGCGGCGGTGGTGGTCCTCCCCGCCACCACAAGCCCGACCACCACGGGAAGGAGGGCTCATCTGCATTCTCGCTGGCCGCCCTCTGGCGAAAGATCTCGGGTCAGGAGGAGGCGGAGGACCAGAAGAGGAAAGAGGAGGAGGAGAAGGAGGTGGACTACAGGAAAGAGGCCGAGGACGTGCAGGAGCAGAACAAGCAGATGCGGGTCATCACGTGGGTCGGGCTGGGCCTCAACATCCTTCTCGGCACAGGCAAGGCCATCGCCGGCACCGTAAGCGCCGCCCCTTCCCGCGTGCGCGCGCGCGGGCAGGTCGCGTGATCTCACTGCCGTGTGTGGTGCGCGCGTGCGTGTGCGTTTGTGTTGGTGTGGTCGATGGATGACAGATGGGCAATTCGCAAGCGCTGGTGGCCGATGCAGTGCATTCGTTCACGGACGGCATATCGGACATCGTCACGCTGTGGGCCATCCACATGATGCAGGTGCGTGCATTGAAAGACACCTTCTTCTTTGCCCCCTCCCTCATCACGGTCACATGTCTCACATTACTGTTTTCCGTTGCCTTGGCCGTGACTCACAACACCACAGCTGCCGCACAATGCCCAATACCCGTACGGCCACGGCAAGTTTGAGACCATGGGTTCGCTTCCCTCCTCGGCTTCGCTCGCCACGATAGTGTGTCGTGTCGTGTGCCGTGTGTGTCGTGTGTCGAGCTTGGCAACTAATCGGTGTGTGTTTGGTTCGGTTCGGTTCGTGCAGGCACGTTTTTGGTGGCTGTCACGTTGGTCGCCACGGGAGTGGGCATCGGCGGCCACGCCGTGGATTCTCTCATGAACATGTCCACCGGTACTCGTCGCTTCTATTCGGACGACCGAAGAGCACAACGTCGACCGTGGACCCTCACCACACTCTTCTCTTTTTTCTCTCCTCAGAGGTGCCCTCCAATTTAGCCCTCTACGGCGCCCTCGGCTCCATTCTCTTCAAAGGTACGCTCACACTCTTCGCCCACGAGTGGTGTGATTGTACTGACGGCCACCACCAATTCGTGTTGGGGGGGGGGCGAATCTCACAGAGGCCTTGTACCACGCGACGGTGCGAATCGGCAAGCGAGCGGGAAGCGAACTGCTCATCGCCAACGCATGGCACCACCGAACGGGTAAGACCCACGCCCGCGCTCGCGCCCGCGCCACTTTGGCGCTCATCAAAGTGCAAACCCAGATGCGATTTCCTCGGTGGTGGCGCTGTTCGGCGTTGCCGGCGCGCAGTACGGCGTCGCGTGGCTGGATCCGGTCGCCGGCCTTGCGGTCGGTGTCATGATCGTGAAGATGGGTGTTGGTGCGTACACATAATTCGTGTGTGTATGCGTGTGTTGTGTGTGTGTATGTGTGTGTGGGTGTGTCGGAGTCACAGCGCCTGGGCTGCAGTACGACTCACCGCGATCAAACACCGCTCACTGCAGAGATGGGAATGAAGAGCGTGCGGGAGTTGACCGATGCCTCGATCGAGCATGATATGCTCAACTACATGGAGAAGCTCATCAGGAACGTGGAAGGAGTGGTCGAAGCACGCAAGATCAGGTACCCGGCGGGCCGCTCTTCTTTCGCTGCAGCTGTGGTACTCAGTGGCCACTCATCTGTGTACGACGGTCACAGGGCGCGAAAGATGGGGACCTACAGCATCGTGGACGTGAAGATCCAGGTGGACCACCTGCTGAGCGTGTCCGCTGCGCACCAGGTGGCAAAGCGAGTCAGGCTCACGCTCCTCGACGCGGTCCCGCAAGTGAACGATGTCATGGTACGTACCACACAACCCACCTCGCACGCGCCTACAAGCACCGCTTTCCCTGCTCACGCGACTTCCTTCCGTCGTCGGGGGCCATTTCAGGTGCACGTCGACCCCGAGCCACCGCAGTCGCAGACCCTGCAGACGCTCATGCGACCGCAGTCCGAGATCTATCAGGACGTCGTTGCCAAAGTCGACCTCTTCCCCGAGGTCCGTCAGCCTTCCGCACCGCACCACCACGCCACACCACTCCACGCACGCACGTATTGACCATGTGTGCATCGCGTGTGTGGGCAGGTGTACCTTTCGTACATGTGCTGTCATTACTACAACATGCGATTGACGGTGGAGGTGGACCTGCTCTTTGGCGACGAGACCATTAGCCTCAAGCAGGCCCAGGAGCTCGCCAAGAAGATCCAAAAGGAGGTCCTCGCCATCAAGGACGTGCATCATGCCGACATCATGGTCAACCTGACCCTTCAATCCGCCAACAAGGAGAGGGTGCGCCTTTCCTCTCCACGGCCGTTGTTGGCACAGAGCTGTGCTCAGCAGCCTTTGCTGACTGTGCGTGTGCGTGTGTGCGCGCAGGAATGGAACAATTGGATCAAGCAGCAGCGGATGATGCGGGCGAGGATGGAGGAGGAGGGAGGCAAGGGACTGGGCGACCTCAAGCTACCCCTGTCGCCCCCCTCCCTGCCCTCCTTCCCCGCCATCCGCGAGGCCGAGTACCCCCAAGGCCGACCGGGCCACATGTGGAAGTAAAAGCTGGCGCCTATTTTTGTCGACCGTGTTCGATCGCAAGGGAACGTGTGCTGCTTGAAGCGAAGTGGTCGATTGTGTTGTGTGATGTAGCGAGCAGCGCGGCCCTAGTCGACTTTGGCGAGGTCCTCCTGGAGTACGCTGACGAGCTCCTTCTCGGACATGTCGACGTAGAGCATCTCCTCGCCGGACTGGCCCACCTTCTTGACGATCTTGTGGTCAAAGAACTCTCGAAGGTGCGTGTTGAGCGCGTCGCGCCCGCCTGCGAGCAGGTTCTGCTCGCACATCGTTGAAAACTCGGCCAGCGCGATGGCTTTCCTTCGTGCCGCACCTGCAAAAGATGAGGCATCGTGAACACGCCGCACACCAACCGCACACACGCGATGCGCGAGGCCTGGAGGGCGCGTACCTCGACCGCCGAGTTCCTTCATTTCCTTGATCTTTTGGAGCTGTGTGTTGGCCAGGAGCTTGAAGATGCGTTTGGCATTGGCCGGCACGGAGTTGAGTACGGATCGCACGCTCTTGTGACCCGCTGCGCGCACACGAAACGGTAAATAAACATCGGTTGTGCCGTTGTCCTACATCGATATACGTTGGAGCGCGACTGGTGAGCGGGAGGCCGTACACTGCACTTCATTCTTGCCAAAGGATTTGTAGAGGGCGAGGTTGGCTTCGCTTTCGTGCTCGTAGGGCTCGAAAGTCGTGGCGTCCTGCCATGCAAAATTGAAGTGGCCGACCATGATGTGGTTCCACACTGCATCGCAAAAGTAAGAGCGGCTCGGCAGTCTGAGGTCAATAGGAGGGCAGAAGGGGGTGAGCGTACGTAGTGGGGCGTAGGCATGATCGATAGACGCCAACATGTGAATCTGTGGTATGGAGGCGAGGCGGGCTAGGACCTGTGACCGCCGCGTTGGTCGTTAGCTACTTCGCCTCAGGCCGGCTGCCGAGATATCATCATGTGGGTCGGCGACAGGTACCGATTGAGCGGCTGGACTTCGGAGCGCGAGGCCGTCGATGTTATGTACAATGATGAACAAGTCCTCGGGGATGGCAGCCCGCGCAGCCCTTGCCGCGGCCTGACGGAGAGTTCGGTAGAGAACGGTTACAAAATCAGGTTGAAGCTTGATGGGGGGGGGGCAGAACACGCTTCGTCTCGTAGTGCTTGCTCGCGCGAGAAAGCTGACGAGGGTGGGGGCTGGTCGGTACCTGACTATGGAACATGGTTTGGAGCACTCGGCAGTGGTCCATGGGTTCGGCGGGCATCGGTTGCACGACGCCGAGCACGCTTTGAGTAATCATCGTCAACAGCTGGTTGCACAAGAATTGGCAACGGGGAACGAAGTAAGCGTTGGCAGTGAGACGCGCGGCACGACACGACACAACGAAGGAGCAACGTACGTTGCGAACAGTGGTGGTTGGGGAGTAGCCCTCGACCGTGACTAGCGGATATGCAGAGAGCATTGACTTGCCGAACTCGTCGAGTAGTTTGAGCTTCGAGCCGAAGCCGTAAAAGAGGAGATTGAAGCCCGACCTGAAGCGAGCATGTGCACCCACATGGTAAGCTGTTCTGAGATGAGGCGCCAACAGTAGTGTGCAGTGCGTACTGAATCTGGTGCATCCATTTGGGAAACGATTTCTTGAGCTCCTTATGGAGGAGGGCGCGATGCTCGGCATACTCTGTGTTCCTGGCTTGTTCCGGAACGCCCTCGATGAAGGCCTTGATGAGGACCTTGTCGCTCAAATCCTTGAAGCTAGATTTAGTAGTCTTGGATGGTTTGGCTTGAAACGCGAAGTAGTCCTCGCCTTCATCGTCGTCCACGCCAAGTTGGGGCTGTGTATTCTTCTTCCTTTTACGCCCCTTTCCATTGCCTTCACTGTGCCACTGCCGCACAACCTCAATGCTGGGCTGAATCGCCTGCACGCCCTCTGATTCAAGCGAACAAAATTGAAACCTCTCCTCGTCGTGGTCCATATCGTTGCAAGAGAGGATCTTGGCTGAAGAACGCGCCAAAAGAGCGGGAAAGCAAATAAAAAAGGGGCTGCATATTTGGCATAATTCAGAAAAAAGACGCTGGCTGGATTTTTGGCGGCACTCTGGTGGTCGCTATTATCCGGCTTTGGTTGGTTTTATTCTCCTTCTTCTCTCTTTCTCTCCCGCAAGCATCGGCCATCGCCCTCCCGCGTACGACCGGCTTTTATCGAATCAGCAACCATGGGCAGACAACCTGTGCGGTACGTTCTCTTGCTTTGTCTATGGTGTTCGTCCTCTCCGTGTGGACGCCCTCTCTTAGATCTTCATTTTGATTTTCTCCCTGCCCATTTGAATTCTAAGGGAGGAATCTGATTCTTGTTGATCGCCCATCTCACCTTGCATTTCGTAACACACAGACTCTACACCAAGGGCACCTTCGTGGGCTTCCAGAGGGGCCACCGTACCCAGAACCCCGACGTCGCCCTCGTCGCCATCGAGGGTGTCCAGCAGAAGGAGGACACTGAGTTCTACCTCGGCAAGAGGATCGCCTTCGTCTACCGGGGCCACAAGAAGAAGCAGGGCACCAAGATCAGGGTCATCTGGGGCCGCATCGCCCGCCCCCACGGCAACAGCGGTCTCGTGAGGGCCAGGTTCGTGAACAACCTGCCCCCTCAGGCCATGGGCGCCACCCTCCGTGTGATGCTCTACCCTTCGCGCGTATAAATTAAATGTTGTCGTGCTCGATCTTTCTGACACATAAACAAGGCTCTGATTCTATTTATTTTGATCGTGCAAAACCTGAGACATGAGCCCATAGAAAATGTCATTGCGAAGATGATTCGTCAACATCACCCCGTCCAGACTAACTGCGCCTTGGTTCTTGCCGCCAAAATCTCATACTCGACAAGGATGTCAAAAACGCCAAAAGATGTTCATACCTTTGAAGCGCAGCTGGTGACAATTTTCACTGGGACATTGTTCCGCAAATGTTCCTTCGCTTCGGGTCATAACGTGATCGTGCAACACCCGGCCACACCTCAAGGCGGTCATATCGGTCACAAGGCCGAACTGGATTCAGCTGATTGGCCGAGTTATGCCGAAGCCTTTTGTCCGAGTGGAGCACATAGCGCACCAGCACTGAATCCCCCGCTAAACAGTCCTCGCAGTCTTGTGGCCTGTCCCGTGTCTGCATCTACGCCACCCAGCCCACGCGAAGAGGTGCTTTTCTGCGCTTTCGTACCCCCTTCCCCGTCGCGCAGCGCTCCCGGACGCTTGATGGCACGGCCGGTTGCACCGAGTCAGAAGAACCGCGCACCCACACTCACGCTTTCTATTGGTGTTGCCAAAAAGACGCGAGGAGGGCGGAGCCACCGCCAGGTGGGGACCAAGCACTTGGAGCGAGCCTCTCTCCTTGCGGGGCTCAGTTGTACTTCTGCGCCCACCACTGAACACACCCCTGTCTTTCACCTGTGCTCGACCGTCCATCAACCTAGCGTGGAACTCAGCGCGGGCAGACGTTGGAGAGAGAGAGAACAAGGTGCGCATCATTGCCGACACGCCAGTTCATTGGGCCAGCCTCCTCCCTTGAGACTGACTGACTCCCGGCGGCGCCGCAACCAGAATCAAACCGCGCACGCCACACGATCGAAACTACTCCCCGATCGAACTCTGACCACTTCACCACCAAAAGAACGCTCGAAAGGATGGAATCATCGGGCGAGTGTCGTGGGTGCCAGCGAAACATCAAGTTCGCGGTCAAGCAGGCGCGGCTGTGCCGGACGTGCTACAACAAGACCTACCTCACCTCGCAGAAGCGACGCGAGTACTACAAGAACAAGAAGAAGAGGCGAGAAACGACATCATCTGTGGAGCCGGCCATCGACGTCCATCAACACCGCCATGGCAAGTCCATCAAGAAAGAAGACTTCCAAGAGAATCGATCACCGCCTCGTACCCTCCCTGACAACCTAGGACAGGTACCTCATCTTATCCCTTGCCTTTTGGCCTCCGTTCCTTGGTCCATCTTCTTCGTTTTTTTGTCCGCGGGCAGAAAAGCCTGCCCTGCTTTCGCTCTTTTCACTTCATTCTTCTGACCGACTGTGTTTCTTGTAGGACCCGGTCGCGGCGCATCTCTACCTGCTCAGCTACCAGAGCCGCCACACCCAAAGCTGCTCCGACTGTGTGCCTCAAGCCGGCCTCTTCGCATCCGCGGTATCGTCGTCCGCGTCGCCAGCGGCCCTATCGCTGGCCGCCCTGGCCCACGCCTCCCAGCACCACGCCTCCTCATCGCCGGCGTCGCCCCAGACCGCCGGTTCGACCAACGGATCTTTGCCGCATCATCTCTCCTCGGCGACCACGAGCTCCTCGAGTCCCTGCTCGCCTGCCTCGTCGCCACCTCTGTCGATGGCCTCCTACCCACAGCAACTCCACGTGCAGTACCACGTCGCTGCTCACCACCACCCGGCATCGCCCGCGAGCGCATCTTCTTCGGCGTTGGTCACGCCCTATGGCTCGCCGCCGACGCCCGGTCCGGTGCTGTTCCAAGATCTTCTGCAGCAGATGTCCTACTACGCGGCAATGGTTCCCATGCTGGGCTTGGCACCGGTGGCCATGCCCACGGAGATGTTTGCCACCACCTCGACGACTTCCTCATCTTCGTTTTCTTCCTCATCTTCTTCTTCCGCTGCCGGCGGCCTTCCTTCGCTCTCCACCTTCTTCCCGACGAGTTCGACGAACCCGCTCGCCATCCCCACTCCCCGCTACCCTCCCTCTACTCCCCAGCCTTCGTGCCAGCAGTGCCACTCGTCGGCCGCATCGGCCCAGCGTTTTGACACCACCACTCCTGAACCCACCTGGTACGTCGCTCACATACCTCGAGGTCGCTGCACTGCCACATGGCGCTGACATTGCACTTCTCCCGGCGCAGGCTTTGCGACACCTGCCTCGCCAACCGGCGACACGGCGCGCAACCCGCGACGAGGAGCCCGGCGATCAAGAACCTTCTCAACTGACCGATGTCAGCACACTGTTCTGTACCACCTCACACAAACACGCGTGTAAATATTTGCACAGCGTGAAGATATTTCTCTCTGTCCCTTGTTGTCATAAACAGCACACAACTTGTTCTCCCAGTCAATCTTCGTTTTATCAGATCCCTTCATTCCGGTTTCCCAGTAACAACGTCCGCGGTTGAACAACCAATCATGCATAAAGCCACGATTAATATGCGCGGACTTCATTCCGCTTCGGCCGAATTTACCCATGGGCCGGTCACATGTTCTCGGGTTATTTTCTAGACCAATAGGCATGAGAAATAGAGAAGAAAAGTGCCGCAATCTTTCACTTCAGTTGACGCGGTCACTGGGCGCGAGGCCTTGTTCCGCCCGAGCACCTGGCGAGTTCTTCCTGCAAATACTCGAAAAAAAAGAGAGAAAAATTCGAGAAATTGCTTTTCCCTAACACCAGCCAAGGAAGCGGAGCCGTTGGTGCCAGGGAGACAAAGATGGAGGCAGGCAAACCCAGGGGTGTGTTGGCGGCATGCCTTGCCGTTGTGTTTCTAGTGTTCTTTTTTGAGTACCTCGTGGCCGGGGTGGCGGGAGCGCCAAGGGAGGCCTATGTCACTTTCGTTGCCAGCGACGAATACGCCGTCGGCGCACGCGCGCTGGGCGCTTCCCTTCGCGCAACTGGTAGCCCCTCCCTTTCTATCTCCCCTCTTTCGCTCCTGACCCCCCTCTCCTTTTTCCGTTTTCGTTCTTTGGCAAAAGGAACGAAGAAAGAGCTCGTGGCGGTTGTGCTGCGGAAGGTGTCGGAAGGTATGCGCGCGAGGATGCGGAGCGATGGGTGGCGGCTGATCGCCATTCCACTCTTCCCCAATCCGTTTGACATGGACCACTACACCTTCACCAAGCTGTCGCTCTGGTCCCTCATCGACTATCATCGCATCGTCTTTCTGGGTATCTGATTACCCCCCTTCTCTTCTTCTTCGTGCGACCGATTCACTCTCACCCCAAACGCGTGTGGTGCTCAGATGCCGATTGTATTGTGCGCACAAACATCGACGAAGTGTTTCAGTGTGGCGAAGTCCTGTGCGCCGGCATGGGGAGACATGAGTCGCGTAAGTTCGACTTTGACTTCGGCCTGTTGGTGCTCCATCCCTCAAAACCGCTCTTCCAACAGATGCTCAGGTGCATCGCTTCGTTACCACCACGTGTCCGCCCAATTCAATTCAATTCACACTCGCCAACCACTGTTTGTTGTGCAGCACTGCGGAGCAGATAGCCAAGACCAGGCCGGAAACCGAGTTCAACTTCATGAACACTCTCTTCATGCACTGGTGCCAGTACGTGGACGCCCACAGCCTCCCCTGTATTTGGTACATCAAGGTCTCACCGCCTTCAGGCACGGCACTCACCCGGGTTCTGCGCCGGAACCTGATGATCTGCGCTACGAGCCGCCGCGCTGGGAGCCCACTTCGAAGGCCAAGGGCCGCTGCTTTCAACTCGATGAGCGCTACAACTGGCAGTGGGGCTCGGATTCCAACGACACCCTTCTCGGCACCGAGGAAGGCGGATCCGAGTATCAGCCCAGCGTGCGCGTGGTCCACTTCGCGGGCAAGAACGTCAAGCCGTGGGTGTGGAAGAACTACCCGCTCCACGGCTGGATCGCCCTTTGGCACTCCTACGCGAGTCAGGTACGCGCACGACATTCATCACCCTCAAAGTGCCCGCAATGCCCTCGTCTGACGTGGTCTTCTGGACTGGCTAGGTCACTGGCTTGGTCCCCGTGTCGTGGTACGCACTTCACTTGGGAGTACCGCTTGTCGTCCTGCTGGTAGTCTTCTCCGTCTCCGCCAGCCGCGTCTTGGAGACTCGCTACTCGAAGCGCATGATCGCCTCCGCTGGAGGGCGGCCCTGGACCTTGTGTCTGCCTCCCGTTTTCTCCAAGCACCTCTCGATCTGGCTGTTCGGCGCTGTCCCGCTGCTCGGCATCCCCGCCGCGCTCTATCGCTGGGACGTGCTCCTGCCCACGGCCCTGTCCCCGCTCATCGGGTGGTCCCTGTTCTTTGCCTGGACGGCGATGCTCTACTGGGCGGTCTACGGTCCCTACGTGCTCTACCACTACATGCTCGGCTGCGCCTTCGCCTCCCCAGCCGGCGCGGTTTCGTCGCAGCTGACCAAGCGCAAGATGGGCGCGCAGCTGGAGTGGCTCCGGAGCACCCCCTGCTTCATCCCGCGGCAGACATCGGTCATCACGGCCTGCCTCCTGCACTCCCTCGGCTTCGCCGTCCTGGGCAACATCCTCATCCTCGTGCTGGCCTCCTTCTTCGCCTGGTCCTCGCCGCTCTCGCACACCACCTTCGCTTGCGCCTACAGCGCCGTCGTGTTCATCCTCTTCTTCGCCCTGTGGGGTGCCGGCCTGCCCCGCCACGCGTTTCTGACGGGCTTCCGGCTCATTGCACCACCTGACGGGCAATCTGCTCTCACCACCAGCCTCGCGCGAGCCGAAGCCGGCGCCGCGTCCAGCAAGAACGATTGATTCCTCCCGAATGAAAGGCGGGCAAACAAAAACGAAAAAAGTAAAAATATGCGAAGAAGGAATGTGGCGCAAAACAACACGAGAGAGGGAAGAAACCTTGTAACCCAGATTTCGTTCTTGTGCCCCTCGATTAGCTACGGCTGCACTACCGCCCAGAAGGGCCGAAGGAAGTGAGGCTGAGGATCTATGCACAACGACGCCGCAGCAGCACAGAAAGAGGTGTCGAGGCCGCCCAGCAAGCTTAGTCTGAATCGAGGAGGGAGTGGCAAGCCGCCCGCCAGCCCGCAGCGACCACCCTCGCTTTCTGGCCACACCGCATCACCTGCGAGTGGTAGATCCTCATCCGCCCAGGTCCCCCTCGCGTCTTCATCCTCGAGTGGGCCTCAATTCAAGGGCGCCGCGACATCCTCTTCCACCATTTCATTCACCCGCGTAGGCTCGACAGCTGCACGAGCAAGCACCAGTGCTAAGGCAGCTAACTGGACAGAAGATGTAACTCTTCCTCCTTCCAAGATTTTACATTGGCGGGTGATCCTTCATCAATTCAAACTCACTCCAGAAAGCGTTTCCTGATTACCGCCAAGCAGATGCAAACGCAAGAGGGCAGCTCACAAGGTCCACTGGCGTCGCAGTTTGACTTGGGCGCGTCGCAGCTCCTCTCCACACAGGCCAGAGATTCAGCGCCTACCTTGGCACACCCTCCACGAAAGATTGGTGCAGTTTACTGTCATTGTGTTATTCCACCGTCTTGGCCACACCTCACCTACATGGACCGTGCACGGCACAGACCCGCTTGACGAAGAGAGTGACTCAAGCGAGGAGAGCAGCGACGACGATGACGACAGCGACTGCTCCGAGGAGGAAGGAATCGAGGTAATATCCGCCGAGGACAGCTCCGACGAGGAGGACCCGCGGCGCGTTCAGACCGAGCGGCTCAAGGCTCAGGCGGCCTCGCTACTCGCAGCACCCGCCGTACTGGCCGCCACGTCTAAACCTACCACGCCAGAGAAAGGTACGTGTGACCGGTGGTGGGAGGTGGCACCAGCCTAAGCTGTAGCTCACCCCATAACAGGAGGAGCGGCGACGTCGGCCTCGCACTCGCCGATCAAGGACGAAACGGCCTCAGGGGCGTCGACCCCGGCCAAAGAACTGCCGGTGCCCACCGGGCCGGGAATGGATCTGTGCTGCATCGCCAGCTGCACCAAGGTTCACTCGAACCATGTCTACAACGAAGCTGTCGGTCGCATGCGAGAGCCACCCAATAGCCAACGGTACCCTTTCCTCCTTCTTCTGAATAAACGTGCAGTGCTTGCTTAGCTTTTTGTCCTTTCTCTACATTCAGCATGTGTCGAGCACATTACATTCAAGGCCTCGGGCAATGTTGTGTGAAAGATTGTACAAATAAGGCAACAAACAGGTACCAAAAGCCTCGTCCCTCTTGTGCGCCAAGTCACATTCGCCCGCTCATCGACAATCACAGAAACTTGAAGAAAGGCGCCAAGCTGCCCATCAAAGAGGGGCTTCATGATCAGCTGCACAAGGTGTGCATGGAGCACTGGAACCTGGTCGACCAACAGACCAAAAGCAACGAAGGCAAGAAGAAAGGCAAGAGAAAGAAGAAGGACGCCAAGACGAAAGGAAAGAAGCGAAGAAGAAATAGGTACCCCCGCTTCAATAACAACCGAAGCGATCAAGCAACTGAAACCCTCTTTCTCCTCGCAGCGGCGATGCCGAAGTGGAAGCGTTCCTTGCGAGCGAGCTGGGAGGCAAGGCCTCGGGCGAGTCGGATTCAGGATACAGCGATGACGAGTCGGAAGCTGAGATCGACGCTCGAAGGAGCAGTACGTTCCATCTTTGCCTCCGCCATGCGCCAGCGATCAGCACTAACGGCCCTCCTTCCATGCGAAGGTCCCAACGACTTTCATGCGGTGCAAAAGAGCACCACAGAAGCCAGAGGGGAGAAGAGGGACCGTGTGGCAAGCACACTAAGCGAGGAGGACGCATCGAGTGATTCGGACAGGGAGAGCGCGAAGCGACGGAGGACCTTCAGAGAAGACAATGGCAGACCACTCAAAAGTGCCTCCCCCCTCCCCCGGGTTTCTCAACTCGAGAGGTCCTGTGCCTCCTGGTGGAGCCTAACTAACATTCCCTCTCGTTCTCTCGAAGGTGCAGTGGTGGTCAGGGCCAAGCCTGTCCCGGTTACCCCCAGCCGGGCTGGAGTTCCGGTGGATCGAACGGAGGTCGGCCTTGGCGAACCCAAAGCCAAGGAAACGAAGGGAGCCACACCGGAGGGTACATTTTCTCTCTGTGCCTCTTATGCGAGGTCCAAGCACTCTGACAGTGTCTCCACCCTCATTCATTCACCAGTCCAACTGCTGCGAGGCGAGGTCGCGCAGCTTCGGAATGAGCTGAAGGAATTGAAGCAGTTCATGAAGGTTCGGCCTCCTCGTTCTTCTCCTCGCTGATGGTGAACCGCTCGCCTGATGTCCTTCTCCGATTGCGTAATTGTGATCACGCAGAGCGCGATGGCCGAACAGCTAAGTGCGCTCAGGACCGAGTGCACGGGCCTCATCAGCGCCAAGCTCACCGAAGCACACGAGCGGGAGATGGTCCAGCTGCGATTAATCCACCAGGCCGCCGGCGGCCGCCAGGTACGACCGGCATCCGGTTCCACCGGCGCAACGAGAGGGGAGCGGCCCGGCTGATAATCAAGCTTGGGTCACCTGCCGTGGAGCTCTCTCCTCTCGTCGAGCCTTACCTAACACGAAGGCTCTATCTGGTTGAAGCAACAACCTCGTGCCTGGAGGGCAGAATAAAAATTGCACAGAAAGCAGAGGTTGCAGCGGAAAGGGGAAGAGAAGAAGCAAGAGCGCGAGACGAAGCGAGCGTCAGCAGGCAGGAAGCAGAAGGAGGAAGGGCTGCACTGCCGGAAGGAGAGGGAGAGCTCTGATCCAGATGAGCGTAAGGAGATGAGAAAGGCGCTGCCAGAAGAATGGCTACAACAAAGTAATGGAGCGGCACCCGAAAGGGGGGAGGAAGAAGATGAGCAGCCGGTGGTGAGTCCGCGTGGGGCAAGGTGAAGGCGAGGACAAAGCTCAAGGCCAAGCTACTGGGAAAGAGTAAGAAGGACAATCATAATATCAGCAACCCGAATGAAGATGGAGAAGCCCGCTCGAGTGCGAGAAGGCAGGGAGAGATGGAAACGGCAAGGGGCAAGATGAGCGTCAGCGGACCCATTCGATCGATGCATCGAATTCACGTCGACGCCGAGCTGGTGTGGTCCCCGTTCGGTAGCGGTGCCGACGAGCAGGTGGCGGGCGGAAGGGACATGTTTGCCCTCGACGACGAACCCATCGGGCAGGGAGCGTTCGGGAAGGTCTTCCGGGCCACCCACCGCAGCGGGTTCCAGCTGGCCATCAAGGAGATCGATCTCTCCATACTCGATCGCATGAGTCTCGCCGGGGGCGTCTCCGTGGCCGAGGAGATCAGGCTCGGCATCACCCAAGGCATTCCTCCCAACACACAACACGCATGACACACCGCACGACACGCGCGTCTGACGTATGTGTGCGACGCAGAGATCGATTTGCTGCGGCAGCTGGTATCGCCGCATGTGGTGCAGTACTACGGCAGCTTGTGGGCCGAGAAGAATCGCTTGTGGATCCTCATGGAGTACTGCCAGGCCGGCTCCGTGCGCGACCTCATGGAGACTATCAACCTGCCCTCCATGAAGGAGAAGCAGATCGCCTTCGTCATGCACACTACGCTTCAGGTGCGTCACGAGTCGTGCGTGCATCATCACTTCCAAGAAGAGAAGACGTCGTCTAATATCGCTAACCACTACACATGCTCGACTCGTGTGGTGAATGCAGGGTCTGGCGTACCTGCACCAGCAGGCGCCGCCGATCACGCACTTCGACGTGAAGGCCAACAACGTGCTGATCACGTCCGAGGGCACGGCCAAGCTCGCCGACTTTGGTCTCGCGCGCAAGATCGACGACGCCAACGGCAAACGACCGGTTGCCGGTACCAGGTACTGGATGGCGCCAGAGCTATTCGAGCGTGGCCAGCCCAAGGCCGGCCCGCCGGCTGACATCTGGTCGCTGGGCATCACCGGAATAGAACTCGTACGCGCAGGTGGTCTTGTGTATTGTGCAGATGTGGGCACCACTCGTTCTAATTGTGTGGTGTGTGTGTGTGTGTGTCCGTGTTGTGAACAGGCACATGGGCAGCCGCCCTATTTTGACGAAGGCCCGATGGAGGCCATGCGGGCGATCACGCAACGACCGCCACCGCGGCTGTCCGACTTCGGCCACGAGGGCAAGAAACGGAAGAAGTGGTCGCACGACTTCGAAGATTTTGTAGCGCAGTGCCTCACCAAGGAGCCCAACGAGCGACCAACAGGCAACACCTCCCCCCCCCGCTTCGCCTCGCACTCACAGCATTGCCCACAGCGCGGTCTAATCGTGTGGGTCAACAAACAGCCAAGGCGCTTCTGCTGCACCCGTTCGTGGCGAGTGTGCCAAAGGCGGGGAGGAAGACGGTCCTACACAAGAGCCTCACCAAGCGAAACAAGGTGATCAAGCAGCGGAAGAAGGAGGCGGCCAAGAGCGACAGCGAACAGAAGGCCAAGCCGAGAAAGGTCACCAAGCTCCTTCACACAAAGAAGAGGAGCAAGGGAGAAGAAGAGAAGCAAGAGAACAGGGACGAAGAGGCGAAGACCGACGAAAGCGGAAGCGGCGAGGAGACCGAAGACACGGACACCGAGCACGGCGACCATGAGCCGAATGGGGGTGATGCCGCTCCACCTCGACACCGAGCAGCACCTTCGTTGTCGTCGCAGGGCAGCTCGTTCCTCGACAACGCCAAGGTTCCCTTTCTCTTTTTGTTTGCCTGCAGTGGTGTTCTAGTGTGGTGGTGCTCATTTTGGGTCCGATATGCAGGTCCCTCTGCTGGGCGGCGACAGTTCGGCCGGGGCACTGGCCCGCCACAGACCGCCGTCCTCCGCGAAGCACTGCTGCTGCATCCTCTCCTGATGATGCCCGTCCCCCCCTATTTATAGAGCACGAGATTGTACCACCCACCCCGCGTCTCGGGTTTGATTTTTCTTTGTGTCTGCCGTGACTACAGAGGCTCACTACAGAGCGACTTCCGCGGCAACGGCGGCTTCTCGGTCTTCCTCCTTGGGGCGGTCGTCTTCTTGTTGTTGCTCCGTCGTCTCCGTTGCGACTTCCTGTTCGGGCTTCGATGCTGAGGAGGGTGACCCTAACGAATCGGCCGCCTCCTCCTCGGCGGGTGATCGCTGGCCCGATCCCTCGACCGCGCGCCTGAAGTTGCGTATAATCACCTCGTTGAAGCGATCCAGGCACTCCATGTTCACCGCGTGCCCGGCCCCTTCCCACACCTTGTGTGTCAAACACACACACACGACACACACACGACACACGGCCGTGTCAGAAGTGCTGAAGTAGAGACAGGAGGTTGCCGTACATGAAACTCGACCGGATTGAGCTCTTGGGCGAGAAGGTAACTGTTCTTGGGGCGCACCAACGCATCAATGGTACCTATTGTGTCGTGTCGTGAGCGCGAGAGCCGGTGAGAGTTTGGGCTTGGTGGGGCGCGTACCAGTTACGATTACGATGGGCACCTGCGCCTCGCGCAGTAGGCGGAGCCGTTTGGAACTGACGTGGTGGGTGGTCACGCAGCGGATGTGACCCGCGAGCGCCTTCGGGGTCATCTGCGGCTCGGACCTCACGCGCTCGATGTAGGTCTGCACGCACAAGCGCACGACGCCATCGTGTGAGCTTTGCTCGCTGGCTCGCTCGTTCGTCACAGCTGAAGACACGTCAGTACCTGTTTGCAGTACTCCTCCCACGTCTTGGACGAGTCGTATTTGCACGGCTCCGTCAAGAACTTGGGGGAGTAGATCAACTTCATCACTGTTGCGTCGCGTGTGAGTTGGTGCGCGCAAGAACGTACTGAGACTCACCACGCACTCACTGAAATGACTCAAAAAAGAGGCGTACAGATGTCGGCCTTCTCATCGGCGGTCTTCTTGAAGATGCTGGTCATCATGCCAAGGACGCCGGCCATCGGTGCCGTGGCATAGAGGCCACCTGCGCCACCACCGTCACGACGATATTAGCTGCCTGAGTCGATTGAGCACTCGCTGGAGAGTGACTGACAATGGTATCGGTACCGGCGTGGGTGACGGCGAGAACGAGCGAGGCCAGGCGCTCCTGCGGCAGGAGCAGGAGCGAGAGCTCTTGCGAGATCATTCCGCCCATGGAGATGCCCACCAGGTGCACCTGCCCGCGCGCGCAGCAGCATTTGAGTGTTTGGTGGTGTGACGAGTTGGTGACGCAGCGCGTGGCGAGGTCGAGTCAGAGTACCTTGTCCCACTTCAGGTGATCCAACAGATCCAGCGCGTCGCTGGCCATAATCGACGTGCTAGTGTTGGCGAGGGCCAAATGGTGACACGTCAGCAAAAGTGGAGGCATACGCTCGTGTGTGCGTGTGTGTGTGGACAATGAGCGAACCTGAACTTGGAGTCGGGGCACGACGAGCGGCCACAGCCTCGATTGTCGAAGATGCACACCTCGAACTCATCGCCGTGCTCCGCTACCAGCTCTTTTACCTGTTGGCCCACCAACGTTTGGGTGAGCGAAGGTCAGGGCTGTGGGACCAGGCGAGTTCCCATTGGGCTGTGCACAGCGGTGGCGTACGTTGGGCATCCAGGCCTTGCATGACGTGGCAAAACCTGCGGGGAAGATGAGGATGAAGATGGTGAGAGGGGGAAGGTGCACAGGGCCAAAGGGCCGTGGTTTGGTGCACGTACCCATTACGAGGAGGACCTTGTGGGGTCCACGACCGTGCAGTTCGTAGTAGAGATCGACCGAGTCTTTTCGCCCCTCGCCCACTCGCGTGGTGTTTCCGTTGACCGGCGTGCTGGCACTCGTCCCCGTCTTCTGCGCATCTCCCTCGTACGTCGGTGCCTCGGCCTCCATCGCTGCGTTTGTTTGTTTTTTTGTTTTGTTTTATTGTTTTGTTTTTGTTGGTGAAATTTCATGCGCTGATCCCCACACATTGCAACATTCACACAACCACGTTGCACGTACCAGTTCGTAAGCCCCAACTAACATAGCTGGAGAGATTTGGGGGGAAGGGACCACTGTGGCTGGCCTGGCTGTTTGCCTCGGTCATCCCTGCGGAATTTCGGCACACTAATGGCCAACCACCCCAGACAAGGAACACCTCCCGACCCGGCGCCAAGGCTCACCACGGCAAGTTAGAGCCTGCTGCACCAACTCCTCATTCTTTCCACCACACCACCGCACCAGCAACTCCACCTTCACCCAAACAAAGCACTAACCACACCACCACATCACACACACACAATGACGATCACACGACACTTCACCTGCACTCTCCTCTTCCTCTTGGGCTTGGTGCTCGCCTCACTATGTATGGAAGCTTCGGCCGGCTTCGCCTCAGGCTCACCTTCTTATGAGAATGATGGACTTCGACTCGACGAGTTGATCGAAGAGGAAGACGAGTGGGTGGTGGCCCCACCCATCGACGACGATGGTGGCCACGAACAGCAGCTGCACGACCAGATGGCGAAGCGATCGGGCAGAGCGCAGCAGATGCGACTGGAGGACCTGTGGGAGAGGCACTTCTGGCGAACGGTGGCCGGCGTGGCGGTCGAGGTGGTGATGCTGGCGGTCATTCTGGGCGTGTGCATGGGCGTGAGCTCCAAGATCGGAGCTCTGTTCCTCTTCGTGGTGTTCGCGCTCCACGTGCTGTTCTTCTTCTTCGTCCTCCTCCGCGTTCGCATCACCGACCCCGTCAGCGACCTCGGCAAGGCCTGGGGCGACGTCTACTGATGTTGCAACACACCTCCACCCCATGTACATAGCATATCATACTGCCAAACTGGCGCAGAGGCACCACTGGTAGATAAAGAGTTCATCTGCAAGAACTAACATGTTTTTCTATTCTAACAAAAATTGTATTTTCTTCTGGAATTGTGTGTGAAATATTTTTTTTCTTCTTTTCTGATCTTTTTTTATACAATCGATCTTGCCCTCCGGAGAGAACGAAGATGAAGAGGCGATCACGGTCGGGTGACAGCAATACCCTCAAGGGTGGCAAGAAGAACACAGCTAAGAAGGCCAAGCCAGCAAGTGCGTTTTTCCTGATTTAATCTCACGATTTTCATCTTCGTTGTGGGAAATTTTTCGATTCTTGTTTTTACCTTGGGCCAGCTGTGGCTCCGTAGCTAAATGGTTGTGGGCACAGGGGCCAAGCCTTCCGACGCGGCCGAGGCGGGCGGCTTCTGGATGGAGAAGGAGGGCGACCCCCAGGTGCGCGCACAGTTGGCAAGAGAGAAGGAGAAGGCCAAGCGGCAGCAGGAGGAGCTGGAGCAGCTGCGGCGCGCCCAGGACGCGCTGGCGCGGCAGGTGGCCAGCTTCATCCCTGTGGTCCCGGCACCGAGCTGTCGACCATCACCGTGTCCGCCTACCGCATCATCCCGCTCCTCCCCTTCGCTCCGCCCTCGCCCAAGGTCCACACCATGCTCGTTCGCATGAAGCCCAACGAGGTGCGCTCAAACCCACCGCGATGACCTTTGTTACCTGATGATGGTGATGGCGATGATGATGGTGCTCACTCAAGCTGCATTGCGCCGTTCGGTCCGTTGTTGTGCTGTGTTATGTGACAGCGGCTGTGCTTTCACGGGCGAGTGCACGTTCGAGTGTTCGAGGGGTGCGCGCAGGTGTTCGGCCACCACTTCCACGCTTCGGCCGAGTATCACACCCTGCTCTCGCCGTTCACGTCCGGGTAAGCCCCACTGGCCACCACCACCACCACCACGCACCAGCGCGAGGTCGCTCACCATGACTAACGCGTTCAACCCCCTGCCCTCCACTAGCGCGCTGTTCATCGACGCGGTCGCGCCAACCGAAGCCATAATCAAGATGAAGGAGGAACGGGACAAGCTCCAATCGTCCCACCCCCAATCGCCATCGTCATCTTCATCGTCTTCCTCTTCATTCTTGTCGTCGTCGTCGTCATCGCCAGTGGCCGACCAGGTTGCGACGGCTCAGCTAGACCCCGCGTACAGCGTCCTCGATGAAGACATCCGCAATGTACTGGCGAAGAAGCGAGCGCAGGAGAACCCCAAGGGGAAGCGCGAGCTCGAGACCAAGGCCGAGACGGTGCTGGTCCTCCGCAGCTTCTACGAGGAGCCCTCGAAGCAGAAGACCCAGGCCCAGACCCAGCTGAGCGGCATGACGCCGGCGAGCCTGCCCATCTCGCCGTCGTCGACGACGCTGCGCGAGTCGGCCGCCCACCGCTACTTCGTCCTCGATACGAAGGAGGCCGAGGCGCGGCAGCCGCTCAAGCTTCGCGTCGCCCCGCCCGTGGCGGAGGAGGACTCCGGCGAGAGCGACAGCGACAGCGACGACGAAGCTGAGGGCGCCGCCGGCGAGAACAAGGAGGACAAGAACAACGAGCGCGAGCAGGGCGACAAGCAGAGCGAGGCTGCTGCCGAAGGCGGAGCGGACGGTGCGTCGGGCGACAAGGCGACGGAGATGGTGCTGGAAGGTCAGCCAACGACGGCGACCACGACGGCGAACACGACGGCGACCACGACGGCGACCACAACCACGACGACGATGCCAACTGCTGCGGCCTCGACGGAGAACCGCGGCGAAGATGAGGCCGAGAGCGAAGCGGTCGAAGGCGAGCAACACGTAGACGGCGCACAGCAAGCCGCGACGTCGTCAACGGATCCGAGCCCTCTGCCCCAGGAGACGGTGGACGAACTGGTCAGCCACTACCTGCGCATCCCCGGATTCTACGCTGTACGCTCTCTCCCTTGCTTGTCATTGAGTCGCGCTCTCTCTGATTAGTCGCACCGGGCCAACACACGCACGCACACACACACACACACCATATACACACAACAGCTGTTTCCACACAGTAGTCAGCAGGACGCCGCCATGCAGATCCCTCGTGCGTGGGCACCGCTTGCCAACTCGCTCATGCCGATCGCCGCCGCCGACGGCAATGCGCAGCGGCCAATGGACGTCGAAGCCGAGTCCGCCCATCCGCCTGCGGAGGGCTCTTCGACGCCGGCGCCGCGGGTGGTGATCACGGGCAGGAAGGGAATGGGCAAGTCGACCATTTCCCAGTACCTCCTCAATTCGCTGCTCAATAGGTACCTCGCACACACGCACCACACGGCACACGGCACACAGCGCACTCACTCGCCGCGTGTGCGTCTTTTGTGTGTAAGGTATCCCCACGTGGTGTTTCTTGACACGGATTTGGGCCAGCCGGAGTTCACGCCTGCCGGCCTCGTGTCCCTGCACGTCATCAGCTCGCCCGTGTTCGGCCCCTCGTTCATGCACCTGGCCAGTCCGCTCAAGTG